ATAGAAGATCCACTGTCTGAGACGAAAGCATTGGCTGGGCAGCTCTTATGGCCTCGACAGCCTGCAGGTTGTCATAGTCGACATCTGCATCTTGATAAACTTAACTCTCTGGATGAGGGAGCTGGCCGTTCTCATGACAAATCCTCATGTCGACGGCGTGACTCCACTATATTTGGGTTTGTGGAGTATTCAGCGTCACCGCCATCCAAACCCCAGGTGCCACCTGAGATGGCACATTGGGAACAGGACTTGGACGCATTGGCTGTCGAGGAGAAGCAAACGAAGTATGACCTTGGTGCACAGATGGTTGAGCCGACTGTTGCGGAACGGCATAATGGCCATGGTCCTGTGGTTGTAGACAAGTTTTTGCATTCCGGAAGACATGTTTGTGGTTGATGGTTCGTTCGGCTCGGTGTTAGTTGTGTTGTGAGGAGTATCGTTGTGTTGTGATCACAATACAAGGCTTAGCAGGACCTGGGTCCTTGCCCTCTTTGATAAGTTGGTCTCTTTCATGAAGCTCCGGCTGTGCTGCATATTGCACTTGTCCTAGCCTGACTCGTGTAATGGCTTTAGCCCGTCCAGTCAATCGCGCCAGGCTGGCTAGCCCAGATCAGCGCATTACCATATGGCATATGCTGTCATGATCTGGCTGATCACCCGACGAACGACGAACACCGGTTGGGTTGCCTTGATGGAGTTCATTCGACAGGCCTAAGGCGAATCGACTCTCGGGGTACACAGGACCAATCGACTATAGGTATATAGGTATACGCACCTTCAAGGTACGCTGCCAGACTCGCCTTGGGTGGCTGTGGCATGGGTCTGATCCAATCCATCCACAATGACCCTCACATCACGGAGGTTGGCTATGACCTGGCGTCTGGCCAGGTTCGCACGGTCCTCATCTGAGACGAGTGTTCTCGGTGATATTGTTGTGTTCGACAGTGCTCAAGTAGAAAGTAGTTGGGCGTCAATCATTGTCGCCAGTCTTGTCGTCTCATCCACTGTCTGTTAAGACTCTGTAGTGCATTCTGGGTAAGGGTAAGAGGGTTCCGCCGTCGAACCAGATATTCCCTCTTGTCCTCTGGATCATCACTGACAACAACAACTCTCCCCACATCGCTCGGCTGACCGCCTCATCGTTGCGCCATTTGGTCGTGATTGTAGACAAGCCTGAGGGTGTGTACCTTCGCCAAAAAGGGGACTTGATTTTCTGGGTCAGTTTGTCCCAGGAATCCGTATCACCTAGGTCCTTCAAGCGGATGTTCTTCGGGTTCCCCATGTCCTGTACGAGACGACAGAGTGACCATAACGACAAGCAGGTGTTCTGGACATGACTTGGGTCCGACTAGATCCCCCTAACCCTAACCCTAACCCCTATTTGTGATATAGAAAATCTTGATGTTCGAGTTAACCACTGTCTTGTTTCCATCGGCATTAATAAAATGTAGTTTCCCGGATTGGAGGATTTGCATGAGCTGCTGCTGAATGGGGTGATTGACAATGCTTGAGTGTGGCTGGACCTGTTGTTGGTAGTGAATACTCATGCCGGCGTAGATATTGATTTGCCGTCCTAGCCTTCTCCTCATAATGTTGCAGAGTTGCTTTGTCAAGGTAGTCTGGGTCTGGTCCACTCTGTGCTTGGGATCTCCTTTGACATCCTCGCTCCAGTGAGAGCAGCAGGGCAGAGCATGGATTGGAATGGAGACTCAGGCTGTGCATGGCTCATGACTAGAGCCGCCCCTTTCAAGCCGGTGAAAGGTCGAGATAAATCTTGCGTACTGTGTATTATCATCTTCCAGCGGTAGATGTGTAGCAGCCCACAGATTTTTATCAACCCCGCCTGTTGTCCGATCTAAGTTCCCAGATCTGAGTGTCGCAATTCGCCGCAAATGGGAAGAGGGAGGAAGTGTCAGTGGCACTCCCTTTATGATGTGTCCGTGCCTGTCTGTCCTCTCCTACGCCCATCTGGCTTCAAACCGAAAAGATATGCCGCGTTTTGTTCTCCCACTGCAAAGGGAACGATATGGGCGGCTCTGGTAACGCTAGAGTCGGGCAATATTGTGCGTGAGAGAGGACACCATACCCCTGACGAGTTAGAGGACGCCGCCTGTCCTCTCACAATCCGGGACGCGTCGATCCAGCTGTCTTCTTCTCACAATCCCGGATGCGTCGGTCCAGCTGCTCTGGGCGTGCGCCGCAGTAAATGTCTGGATATGCCAGCGACATGGTCAGTGACGATGGCGACTTTGAAATAACACAGGCCTGTTCCTTCGTCCACCCAGGCGCCCTTGGGTACTGGACCGCCGTCCATGTCCGATATCAGATTGCCTGCAGATCCAGCTCATCAACCTGACTTTCACTCTGGTTTGATTGACTCGGCGAGATGGCACCGAACCCGGAATAAACCCCCCAATCTCGTTATGTGGCCCTGAGCCTGCCCGCTGTTTCCATTTGATGTCTCTTCTGTAGCCCAGCGGACACCAAATACCCAAGCTGTACTACCGCTTCGTTGTAGTCCCCACCCGACCCTTGAATTTCCATGCCACAGCCGAGTACCACACTGCTGGTGTATGCATCAGACATCTGACTCAATGTCATGGCTGGCCGTTTTCTCCGAACAGCCTCCAAGCTGCTTCGCACTCGGTCATGATAGATGGATGATTCTCGATTTGTCGAAGGGGGTGGACCGTAGTTAGTATATATCCCGTATATCGTGTGTAAGCCCTCGCGAGATGTACAGACTCGGACGGTACACAAAACCTGCTCATCGTCTAGACATCTGTGTGTTCTTGCTCATCTGGCCGATGAAGAGAACCAGGCTGTAGCAAGCCTCCCTAGACAGACGTGAACTGGTGGCGAGCCAGTGGCCAAGATATCAATATGTAATTCTGATTAGTTTCAGATGTTGATGTTTATCCACGATGTCGAGCATCTTGGGTTCAATATCGTGGAAACTGCTGACACCTTTGGTGCTCAGGTTGTCAACGATGTCCATCGTGTCGGAAAGGGCGGCAGTGGCCACGGCGACACATATACCCTGTTCGTATGACGGTCGCGTTTCATGTCATGTCTTCATCCTCGTCATAAATGAACGAACTAGTTTCTGCGTTCCGCTTGCAAGTAAGTCCTGGTGGGACTACACCTTGGTAGAAGTGCGATCCCCCTGGTCCAAGAACAAGTTGCTCTTGCTCACGCTAGAGAGTGGTTTGTAGCGCCGTGATTGGGTCTCCTTGTAGATTTGTCGCCTTTGGATCCGTGCTGTTGGTGATATCGCCCATGGTGATGTCCAATCTTTTCTCCATAGCCGGCATACTGACCTATTCCCCAGTCGCGCTAGACAAGGAGGTACGAAACGATCCGCTCGCTGAATGACCTGTAACGGTGGAAAGCCTCGGTGTTTGCCCTTCCAATGGCATCGAGGCTTCCAGTGGAGCCATTGGTCATGCCTGAAATAGCATCGAACAAGGCCGGGTTGATCCATGGATTTAGGGTTAGGGAGTGTATCTTTCCAGGTCTGAGAAGATTGGGCTTATCAACTCCAACGACAACCCGACCCATTGACGAAGCTAGATCGGTGCACAGTATAGCATGTATAGCATGCAACATCAACACCAACACCGATCCTGCATTTGAGATCAAATAAGCCACCGCTGTATCGACTGCGGTATGGTTGGGAAGAATCCGACCGCATGGCCTTGACGATGATGGGATCCAGTCCCAGGGCAGTGCCCTCCGGACTCCCAGACAGGAGGAAGCCGAGGAAATGCGTTCCGTGTCATTGTAACCATAATGAACAGATCTTTAAGCTGACACTCCATCGGGCATTTCCAGGCTTTCGTGCGATACCCGTCCGACTCACCACAACCCTAATAATGGTCTCGTGCTCGTAGGGATGGATGATTTGCAACGAGATCACAAAAGATTGACATAGTCGTGCGGTTTGCGAAACCAGCAGATTCTGTTAGCATTCACCCAATTGTCTTGCACCCCGGCCTGCTGGATAAGATTGGCGACGATGGCCCTGCGAGAGGGTAGGTTGGCAGCCTGCTCTGGCAGTCATCGTCCACCTTGTCACATCTACTGGCTCCAAGGCGCGCGCAGCAGACTTGTTGAGGAACGGGTTTAGTAACCGCTGCACTGTGTTGTATGACACTAGCTGCAATGCCTTGACAATTGGATCTAGCCGGTCGCCAGCAAAGAACTCGTCTTTGACCTGTAGAGCGGTGAAACCCTGCTGCATCTCCATTAGGCCGGAAACAGTGTCCCGTCCTGGTCACGATCGTCTCAGTGACAGCCACATCGAAGTAGGGTAGACTGTAGAGATAAATGCCTGGAATTGATTGTCCAGTGCGGATTGTTGAGATGCCGGCCCTGTGGAATGTTGGAAATCTGGGAAGCCGATTGCCGGGTTTCGAGTGTCTGGATTGCTGGCCTTGTGAAAGGTTGGCAGTATGGAACGCCAATCAATGCCTTGGAGCTCTCGAAAGTGTCTGACAGACATCGAAGCCAGTCTGTATGTCGTTTCGTAAACGACGTCTTGGACAGTCAGTTATATATACTTATAGGTACTGGAGCATGATAGAGAAACCACTGCCTCGAAATTGCCGACCGGGACGAGTCTGCGCGACGTCTTAGTCGCCTGTCTCTCAGGTCTCACAAATGGCGACATCAGGGTGGCCACAATGCCACCTATAGAGTAAATGTGGTCGGTCAGCATCTTCGCAGCAGGCCAGCTCGCCCATTCCATCAGGAGGAGCCACTGCCTCGAAATCACCGACCGGGACAAGTCTGGGGGGTGATTCCAAGCCTTCATACGTTCTTAATGCTCCGAATGGGCACACCACTGAATGTGTGGCACAGAGGTGTTCAATCTTTGTTTGCTTTTCCTGGCTCCCGCACCCAGTGAATTGACGACTGTGTCACGATTGAGATTTTCGATCTCAGTCAATATTGGTCGTGACTCGCGCGAAACCGAAGAGTGCTCTGTCAGCTTTCCCTCATAAGCTGCTTCGTTCAATGGCGCCGATATCCCAGAGCTCATTCGATATTGCTCTGAGAGGAATGCTGATTGCGTTCCGTTGCCCAGCATCCGGGTTTGCAATCGCGTTTCCATATTCTTGAGGGTTCGGGATTATACGCCTTGATAAGACGTTTCCTGAATGCTGAGTTGTCGTTTCCTGTTCGCTTCTGTGGCTGGTACACCGTCCTTTGTACATGACGACGGGTGGCAGTTGGTTAGGATCTCCTACCCACCAGACTGCCTCGAAGCCAGCTTCGTCCTCACTGTCCGACAGTGGAGGGGGAACGTCGCCATCTGCTTCCGATCGCAGGTATTCTTCTTTGAGTTGGTTCACGTGTTGCAAGTGCACTTCGAGTGCCACGAGAGCCTTCTTGGCATTGGTGTGCACGAGTTTGAGTCGCGTCTTGTTTGCCCGACATTTGGGGTCTGTGCCACGTCCTGCCCTCCAGACATTGTGGATGTTGGACCACCATGCCGTACAGTGAATTGGCGAAACGTCTTGGGGATCTTTCTGGTCTCGCCACTGGCAGCAACGTGCGGCCGAATGCATATGCATACGAGCACCAGTTTCCGGCTTCATTAAAGTCAAATATGCGTGAAATAACGCAGCGGTGACGGTCACGGGGGTCAGACAAGAACCTCAACCAGATGTCCACAGTCTCGAAGGCTCTTCGGAGGTCCTTCGGGAGAGATAAGTTCGCTGATGGTCATTTCGGGTTTAGATGCAAATGGGCGGACCAAATTCCGATTCCAGGCAGGCGACGTGAGCTGGCCTGTGACTTTCACAGCTTCCGCAATACCACCGTCGGAATCGATCTGATTCCACCAGGACTCCTTCTCCGAGGTTACAGGGTTTCCAAACCGTCTGATGGAATTGTGCCAGACATTCGGGGCCATGGTCCTGACGACGACATCCCACCACAGACATAGTCCTGACGACGACATCCCACCACAGACACAATCTTACTGCAAATGCAGCCCATGATGAGTGATCGAATTTCATGCAGGGTGTTCAGATTCGATCAGATGTTTAGTGAGCTCTCCCCGTTGTTCTGACTTCTGATCTCTGACTTCTTGGAGCACAGTATCAAGTTGTGTCTCTACCGAGCCATTCAACAACAGTCTTGTCTTGCCAGCTGGCTGGGTTCTTTTGCCATCCAGTCAAGTCTCAGGAATTCCATCTCGTTCACGATCATGTCGAAACTGCATAATCGGAATGCGTTTGAGAAATTTCCGAGTCCGAAGGTGTTTGTTTCCGAGTTTGTTCAAGTTCTTTGAGCATTGCGCAGGTCCAGGTGGAGCTCGTCGGCGTCGATTTGGGCTTCGCCCAGAGCGGCAAGGGGCCAGGTCGGCGACGTCGTCGTTCTCAACCGCTGGGTGCCCCCCCAGCAACCTGGTCAACCAGACCCAAAAGCTCCCTGGCCTTCCCTCCCCCAAAGCCTCCGGGATCTAAACATGGTCAGCAAACTTGTCGCATGCGAATCGCAGGTGAAACGTACGGCTCTGCAGTCCTTGGCAGACCGCTTGTTTTGGGCACCCCGGCCACACCGAGTGTGACCCTGTTGGTAGGTGCAGTCGACAGCATCTGCGCCAGCCCGGAGGGAACGGACACACCGTGTGACGGCGAGGCGGGTGTTGGCGCCAGTAGTCTGCAGGCCGTCCAACAGGCCATCATGGTAATACCTCGCCGCGTCGTACAGCTTCTGACGAAGCTTGCGGGACAGCGGGGGCGGCGACTCAGGGTCCCCAGGCAGTGCTGCAATCACAAATAGGCAACGAGTTGCATGTATATATATGCAGACAGGAATGTGTCGCAGGGATTTATTGCAGATCGTGTAATCGTATAATATAGGAAATATTATATCGATATGTGCAGACGGCCGTACATTGCTTCTTTCTAGAGGGGGTTTCGAAGTATGTCAGTATCTGCTGGCTGGATCGTCACAGGCTGGATGCCCGTAGCTGGCATGTCCGCGAGAGAGAGATACTGAAAGTCGGATCATGTCTTCGAGGGCCTTGTTGGGTGTTCCAAACGCTGTGGTGGCCATGTATGTGCACGGTTTTGTCTTGACGGTTGTATATGAGTAGAGAGGCCCACCGTCTTTTTCGGTAACGGCAACAAGGCCTCCGTAGAAGGGAGGACAAAGCAAGGTTTCACATTCCGGATTGTGGATGACCCTTGGACTCTGCTTGCTGCATGGCATCGTATATGCGGTGATCTGACGAGGACTACCAGAGGTCCTCGGCAGGATGGACCATCTTTCGCTGGGTGGTATGAGAAGTTCGTCACTGACTCTCATCCCGCGAGTGTGACATCGAAGCGCAATTCTTCGTCTTCGTGATCCACGACGAAATTCAGTGTCCCGCCTGTCTGGAATGGCCTCTGCTTATCAAAGTCTCTCCAATAAGTACTTGACTACAGTCAAGATGGCCACATTGGAGCGGACTACCAATATGGCAGCTCATCCTGTGCCACTCTGGTCTGTCGTATACAGACCTTGCACTCGGTTGTCTGGATCAACCGTAACGACTCTTGGGCATCTGGTCCGCTGACACTGGCCTGACCAATTCGGTGCACTGCCCGACCGTTTGAATCAATTGGCCCATGTTATCTGGGCAGGGAAACATCAGGGTCTGCATTTGTCTTGATATTGCAGATGAGGCCTGCGACGTGAAATAGTATTAGGATCGACCAGTCTAGGATGTCATCTCAGGCCACATATTGATAGCGTCGAGACCGAGATTGCTCAAAACGTGCCTACCATTGCTTTTCAGCGGCTAGCCGAGACAGACATTCCACTTGGGGAAGAACGCTTTGCCTGATCGCACCGAACATAACAATGCCACTGCATGCCGTAGTTTCTGAGGCTAATCGGACCTGGTACATTGCCTGGCCGATATGAGTGTCGTACGTCGGCGCAGAAACATCCTCGCGGGTCGCCGTATAGTACTGGCCGAACCCCAAGTACTGATCGGTGTGAGCCCAAATAGGCTATTTGCAAAGAATGCTAGAGAGTGGTCTTTGCCCGATTCAACCCTGGGAACCTCGTCGAACTTCTACTATCCATATAGACATAGAGTGAGATTCCAGAAACGATCGTGGGGCGACGACATTCGCGATCAGCATTCCTGTTACATAGCTTCATTAGAACACAGAGCTAGGGAAAGTAGTGTACTGTGTGGGAAATTCGAGGTTGCATCTGGAGGCCCGAATGTCCATGATCTTCTGTCGGGCCCTGAATTCGGTTCCAGCCCCCATCGGCCCCTTCTTCATATCCGTAGTCGAGTGTAGTCACAAGGGATAGCTCTGTGGTGGGGTGCTAACGAGCGAGAGGCAAGCTTATCAGGTGCGAGGCGTACTTTAAACTGTCGTTGGCGGGCGACCCTCTACCTTGCTTGGTCGAAGGCCGAAGGTCAAACGGGGAGAGGTACAGGTGATAGGTATCGATGGGTGCTGTTATCGCGTAGGCCTTGAGTGATAACCAGACCACCGAGGAACCTCGTTACTCGAGTGTTTGTTTGTCTCTGCCGGTTCGTCCACCCGTATTCCAAAAATTTCCAATCTCGAGCTCTCTCTCTTTCAATCGAGTTAGTACTCGACTTTCGACGCCGCAAGAACCCACAGATCCTCATTTGAGGCGTTCGGTTCGCCCTTGAGACAAACCGACTCGACCTCCGTAACTGAATTGTGTCTTCTTCTCGGAGGCTGAGTTCAATCGACAACCGAGTGTGATGCTGTCAATTGACGACCGAGTGTGATGCTGTTCAGTTTCCAGGGAAGAAGGGGATGACCGAGCGTATTTGCGCCCTTCCGAAAAGCCGAGTGATGGCTGGTTAGCGTTGCTCCTTAGGCTTGGGATGAAGTTATAGGCGGATCTGTCTTACTATGATGACTGAGAATGATTAAACTAAGAGTAGAGAAGGACCGAGAATGCGAGAAAAGGTTGGTGGCGATGAATGAAGCGTGTGATAGAAAGACGAGAAGGTTTAGAAGCGATGAATAAGAGGTATTTATCCGTGTTGTTAGTGCTGGATTAGTGACGGCGAGGCTAACCCTAGCATTGGTGACGGTGAGGCTAGCCCTAGTATTAGTATTGCGTGTCTCATTTGTAACATGAGGCGGTGGACGCGTTCAATGGCTTGAATGACTGTATTTATATTGTCGGGCATCTCCAGAATGACTGTATTCATGTTGTCGGGCATCTCCAGAATGACTGTATTCATGTTGTTGTCTGGCATCTCCAGTATTAGTACCATGTTGCGCGCTCCAGTCACTTGCGCCCACCTTCCACTGCGCTCCCCGTTTGCATGGAGGGCGACCATGGCCGCTCCCACACCGACCATGCGGTCGGTATTGAGCTTCTTAAAGACAAAGCTCAGACAGGTCCCTCTCGGACCTGAATGGGGTTCTCTTCCTCCGGCGAGCTGACGGGAGCGAGTATCGGTGACGTGGACGGGCACGACACCGTCGATTGCCCGGAGACATAGTTGGTATCTTGTCCGGGTGGGAATAGGTCATCATTTGTCTCATTGTCGTTCGCATCTGGGGAAACGTGCAAGTCATTGGGTCAAGGCCCGTGCCACCACAATTATGTCCGCCTCATCCGGCCTCATCCAGAGCACTTCTTCCGAACGCCCTTCGAGCCCTTGGAGGTTGAAGCTGAGGGCAGAACTCCTGGTGTTGACAAGGAGATACATGACAGGACCGTCAGGGTCCTCCAAGCGAGCCAGGAGCTCCTCCTTTTCGACCGCGGAATGTTAGACCATACGTCGAAGTTTCACGATCGGGAATTTCGAGTCTGCGGCCACTGTGTCGTGTGTCGTCGTAGAGGCCTAGTGGTATTGCATCCCAAACCCCACGTTGTATTCTCCATCGATGTTGCTCATTATGCTCATGGCAACGGCACGAATTGCCGCCTGCATCGATGTTGTTCATTTTGCTCGTGGCAGTGGCACGAGATTGCCACCTCATCATATCCATTGAATGACTGAACCCGGACAAGATATTGTCCGTCGATAATGGACTTCTTATTCCCAGCTCCGTCGATGATTGCTTGTACACAGCCATGCCCGCTAGCGTAACTGTCAAGGTCAGTAAAAGCCTTTGCTCATCGACCCTCGACCCAGATGGGGTCGATCAGAAGTCTCAATAGACACCGAACATAGCCCCAAATTGTGGAGGAACTGGTCTCTGAGACTGCGATGCTCGGAGACGACGACACCCCGAATTGTAGTATCGGTCTGGATGCGGACTTTGAGATCAACAAGAAATCGAGGAATTTGATGGCTCTGGCTGCCCTGCAGACACCTGGGGATCCTTCTTCGGGTGTCGAGGCAACTGGCCGCCCACTCTGGTGACATTGGCTACTCGATGAAGTAAAAACACCGTCGACCCCTTACCAACAGGCGGTAGCCTAGGTACGGCCTTCGCTAGAGGGTACCCAGAACCATTCACAGACCTCCCGGTAAAAATGGATCCTGTATGGTGTATCGTATACAATTCAGTATCCCTTTCCCTTTATCAGCTGGAGTTTTCGCCTTCGCTGTCAGGAACCAAATGTCCTGCTTGTTCGCTCGGATTAACCAGTAGTAATCATCACCGACTTTGTCACGATCGACAAAATCTCATCTGACCAGCCCCGAATATGCAGTGGTGTGGTAGGGAAATGTATGATCGGGTTATTGGTTAGCTGGTCAGGGGCAGGGACAGGATCCAGGATAGCAATTCGCACGGAGTGATAGTGATGACCTGGCGACCATAAAGCTCCTGCATAGAGAACAGGACTGTCCTCGCAGGAAACAACTGGTACACTTCCCAGCTAACAGGTATCCTGAACCATTTCGAACCAATGTCTGCACTGAAACGCATTCTGGGAACACCGGTTCGCGTTTCGAAGAAGGTGCCACCACATGTAGACACGTCTCGCATCGAGGATGATTGACTGTGCCGACCATGTAGCCGATCATGGCATTCACATGGGACAAGTTCTGGACGTCTCTATCCCCCACGAACTCCAATTGCCGTACGACAGACCGCCCAAACAAATCTCGTGTCGTTGTATTGTTCGGGACGGTCTTGCGTTCCATGTATGCCTTGTAGAAGGCCTGACCATCGAACGGAAGATCTCCTGGCTTGAGGTAGCCCATGCCATGTCCGACCTGCTCGATGTTAGGCAAACCCATCTCGAACTGAACCAGTGACGCTTACAAAGTGCACCGATTTCGACTTCTTTGCTACCCCTATCTGGTGAACGACTCGGGCTCATCAACCACACTCCGAAAGACTTCCTTGCCATGGATTTTGGTTGAAAGCAAAAGCTGTAGAGTCGAGTCATTCTGTGCCCTGTCAGTCTATGAGCATGGAATTCCACGCTGAGAGCAATTGATGCATCCTTGATCGTTGAGCTTCTTGCATTTCAATGTGGGGCCAGTTCTTCCTGACAATGGCTGTCCAAAAAGTCACATCCGTCGTATTTAGTACGTGGTCTCTGCAGAGCCCGAAAGGTTTCATTGAACTGATTGATATGTGTCGGCCCCGCATTCTGGAGTGTGGTGACATGGGTGTTGAACGGAATCACAGTAGATCCGATCATTTGCCGAGCTCGGGGCTGTTCCGGTTTTCGACCTGTGCTCTCCCCACGACCATTGGCATTGATCGAAATCCATGATGCTGTGGCTGAGACCTTGGCCTTTATTCAGTCTGATCTCCGAGCCCAGTTGTTGGAATTCTTGACACGCATGACCCGAAGGGCGGCACTGTCAATCTTGAAATCAATCCCCGGCACAAGACTATTATATCCGAGAGATGTGGCATACTGTTCAGAAGACAGTGGACTCTGGCTGCATTGTTGTGGTCCAAGACGGTGTGGTATAGTCGACCGATGATTTGAATCGCCGTGTTAATATTATCCGGCATCTTGAGAATGGATGCCGACGGCATGAGCACCGCCACGCCCGTCGCAGCTAGCCATATGGTCACTATTAGTGACCAGACCATCACACGCAGAGCAACAAGGGCCGTGCCCTCGGGTTCTCCTACTAGGAGAAATCCCAGTGAACTAGGAGCACGTTGTTAGTAAATATCACTATTATCATCTGAATATAGCGTAACTAACCTTTCACTACCATAAATGGTAGTTTGGTTGACCGACATGATGCCTACTCCCGTATTATCAGTACTGGTTGATAGTAAGGCGCCGCTGTTCCACTTACCCGACAAAAAATGAAGAAAAAAAACAAGGAAACAAAAACATGGAACTCCAAAAACTAGAAAGCGAGTCTGCTATCTGTTAGGCGATAAGGTTATAAAGGGGTGAAGAAAGGGATACTCACGGATAGACAACAAACAGTTGTCTTAGTGGATGCTATAGAATGTTAGCAGCTCTATCTAATAGTACGGTCATTAGAGTACTCACTGTCGTGGGGATAAGTATGCTGAAGCACAGGCCTGGATTGCGTCGATTGTCGTGTATGAGGAAGACGAGACCCGTATGATTACGAATGCGACGCTGTCGTGACCTAGGGTATGTGTCACCAACTTCAGTATTTTCGGTCGAGGCTCCGTGGTGAACATAGTGCGGTACTCGTGGCGGACCTCAAAGTCAATATCGCGGTTGACCATGTGGGTTTCATCCAACTTGTCTTCGATGCTCCTTTCTTCTCTTCGAAGTTTCTCATTCTCTTCTTGAAGGATGCTCCCATGGACTTCGGTCCACCATTTTCTGTCTGAAATCCAGTCTGCTCGGCATGCAGGAGTATATCATGAACGTAAGAAATAATAAGATGGTATTTTGTTGCGTGATTGGATGTCCGTTAAGGGAGAAGTGGAATTTGACATCTGGTCGACCCTAACGACGACCTCACATCTCTCAGAGCTTCAGCCGAAATTTGCGCGTGGACCAAGGGCCATGCATGGGCAGTATATATTGAGAGAAGCACCATGTGGAGTAAAAGTTTTGAAACAGGCCGTGTTCCGGGCGTCTCTGCCACCCACAACATCAGAATCAGACTTGAAGACTGACCTGAGTCTTGAAACTCGTTCTGAACGTCATCACCGACGTGGGAGCTGTTGTTTCGACCGCCGCAAGCTTTGTATCTCTGCGTCTGGTCACTGACGGCCGTAAGCCTGGACTCTGTTTCCAGATTGTCACGAAACAGATTGGATTGCTTCCAGGGCTGCGCCCTCCGGACTTCCAAATAGGAGGAAGCCGAGGAAATGCGTTCCGTGTCATTGTCATTGCTGTACTTCGACAGCGTCACGTCGAAGCGTCCCTCCGTCGACCAAGAACTTCAGCGTTTCGCTTGTTCTTCCATTCGTCTGGTAGGTAAACAAACCCTGGATGCCGCCTGCATCTAGTGGTGACGCCAACCGATGTTTGCGTTTCACCGTCGACGGCGTGTCTGCAATAGACTTTGAGCCTCTGTCTGTTTCCTCTGGAATGAAAACCCCTCGCTATGCGCAACCGTGGCCGAGGAAGCAATTTGTAATCGTATCGTACACTTTCCCGCACAAGAACCTTGTTGAACCATTGCCTCTCGGAACTTTATTGAACCATTGTATATCGGGTCTTTGGTGCTGTTTTGATAGGCACCAAGGCCACTCTTACAGTCGTCCTTGAATCTTTTCAGTATCGCCCCAGCTTTCTGGGGGTCTACCGCAGTATTTGCTTGCCAGTCTTCCAGCACTGCATGTTGCCACGTACTTCGGCGGCTGTCAATGTGGAGTTCTGTTATCGAAATACACATGCAATCTTCCATAGGCATCGAAATGTCGAGGTCGAGCATAACCCCGAAGTGCCAACATCGCGCGACGACAGTGGAGATCAGGGTAGCGACAAGGATGGCGATCTCCCAGAGGACGCTGGTGTCATGGTGCCATACTGAAAACTGTATGAGTATCGCGACCAAGAGCTCTATGTTCTAGCCTATAGCCGCAATAGCATCAAGGCGACGATGCGGCCAGGAGGCTCCGAACAATAGGAGCATTGGGAAGAGAGCCTTAGGCCAACGGCCCAGGCGTCGCAGGCGAGGCGGGGGCGCCAGCGGTAGAGGACAACGATGTCGTTGACCTTGCGGACGACTTGCACCTGGACTTGCGCAATGTGTGAGACCCTTGCTTTGTGTCGCCCCGCAGGTTGTTACACACGGATTTGTGTAATAGCATGAACATGAAGTTGATAGCCTCAAGCACAGTATCCCTGCTCACGGCCTGGATCATGAGACCAACACCCCTCCCTCATGTGGACTTCCAGATCTTGGACCAATTCAACCCGTCGTTGAACATATTCCATCGCTCCTCGAGTTGTGCCTTCGACTGGCTCGTCACTGATTCGAGAGCTGTCGCATTTGGTATATATAAGACCACACCACCTGCACACTGCCTGGATCAACCGCGACCTCAGCTGTTCGAGGCGACCCGGTCAAATTAGGGTCCCAGTTCATGGTACATAGCCAGACGGGCATTCCGAATTCTCTCAACTCCGGCGCAGGCTTCTTCCGTTCCGCTTTGTGGGTGATGTTCTCGTATCCCATCCGCGTTCTGCCAGTTAGGCTGGAGGGCACCTGGACGGTGGTGGTCGGGCTCTGTTCCCATCCGGTGTCCCGCGCCAGAGCTCGGATCGCGGTGCGGGCCTTATCGAACGCTCTGGAGGAACGGAACTGGGAGCAAACCGCGGGAAGGCCGCAGTGGTCCGACAGACTGATATTGAAGACATGACCGGCAAAATTTGAAGATGTCCTGAGCCCGATTTGGCCACCACACGACAGCGTCACGATGACCGACGTATAATCGCAGGGCGGTGCCGGTGGACTCCATAGAAATCGTGGCACTTTAGCGCATAGTTGTATTCGTGTGAACGCCAACGTAGCGGCATTATGATATCGCCGCCACCACCTTCACCACTTCCATTGCCGTTGCCAGTGCCGTTGCCAGCAGAGTCATCGTTGCCACGACTAGAAGGGGAGCGGCGCGCCACGGTCGAGGGCCAGGACGGCATAGTTGACTTCGATCGTATACATCTCCATGTCCGGCGACTGGTAATCAAAGACGAGTTTGCCTCCCGGTTTGAGGAAAGCTAAACCAAGTCGGATGGATGTATGTGTGACATTCTGGGCAAATAGATACGCCATCAGGCTTGCTGGAGCTGCGTTGTCGGCAAGTCGTTTGAAGATTCTGGTCCATTGTTAGCACTTGAGCGGTTGAAAGTATAGATCCTAACTTGTGCTTTAGTTCTCCTGCAAGTACATTGCAGTTCATCACAGTCGCGTACTCGACAACATTAAGACTGATATGAAGACCAAGTTCCGCATTGAGCTCAGGAATGGAAGATGTGCCTCGGCTGGGATCATGGACAACGTCCAGGAGATGAACACCGCGTCGAATTCGCAGAACATCAGACCATTCATTTGCCTATCTTATATCAGTCAGCCCCGGCGCTGAGTGTATGAAGTCGTGAGAGTGGCCAAGACCCCGATCCCGATGCCGTTGATGTACGACGACCCGTGACTCCCGATCCGATGGGGTTGATGTCACCCCCGAGTCTTTCTGCTTCATGATGCGGCCCAAGGTGAAGAGCCCAACGGCTATCGCGTGGGGCCCATGATGTAGATACCTTCAAAACCATGGTAGTGGCAGAAGAGAAGCAATCATATCTCCCACCCATGTGCAATGCTCGAAGCTCATAGAGTTCATCCTGATCTGATCATCCGGCAGGATCAGGTTGTTAGTTCAGATGTTCAGAGTTTGGTTTGGACAAGCAGCATAACAGCTCGGCTCGCCTCAGGGTCGGGCGAGGGTATAGTCGATTGCCGTTGGAAGGCAGTGGGAGAAGAAGCGAGTCAGTGATGGATAAGGGATACTTGTATCTATCTCCCTCTAGAAGGTCTTCTATCGTTACCTCTGAGGAGTCGGATTGCGGGCCTAGGATCGGAACCAGAGACTGTCGATCGTTCGGTATTCCGTGAGAGGTTATGGTGGTTTTGGGGCGTGTTTCGATGATGGTGGCTGTGGTATATATGTAATTGTGAGCAGTATACCGATTGTTGTTGACGCAACAGGCCTCCGCCGCGGTATGCAAGGCGAATGTAGAGTAGTCATCGAATTGATGTCGATGAAGAGTATATAAGGGGCGACAGACAAAGTTGATTCAACCCGAGTAGGGCGCAGTTCGAGTCATTATCACTGTTGATGCAACAGGTCTCCGCCACGGAATTCAAGGCGAATGTCGAGTCATTGTCAGTGTTGATGAAGTAAACGCCTGTCGAGTTCATACTCGTTCAGCATAGCTCTGTGTTGTTGTCCTCAAACCTTCATCCATGCCCATCAGCACACGCTGTTGGACCATACTATACCTCTCTTGCTTGGCGGGATGTCGATCAATGCCAGAAGTATACGATCTCCCCCTCCTGCAATCTCGCAAAAGTATACCTCGTGGGTCGTTCGTTCATGGGACCAGGTCTGCTCTCTCTCAAGCTCGGTTTCCTCGAGAGGTGTAATACAATTGACAATCAGGAACTCGTCGAAACTTAAGAATGCGTGCTTGCACTGATAGTCGGAGACGTGGGGACGTAAGACTTTTTCCTTTAATTCATTTCGTTGAATTAGGAACGTCGTCTTTCCTTCCAGGATCCATTGCGCTAGAGGATGGTCTCATCTGTCGCCAATAAATTGTTCTTGCAAAGTCTGAACGTTGGCAATCGTGAAATCTGAGCCGCAGACATGTACCCACAGAGGTTGGCTTTCCCAGTAGACTTCATCTCTGCATCAGTGTATTAGCCACTGGTACTGTCGAATCCGTGGTTCCCAATCATTACTTGACGTATTGGCCGACTGGTCTTTGGTGTTATAATTCCAGCCCCGTCCTGAGCCGATTGTTTCCACTTCATCGCTGATTCAACTCCCACTAGCCTGACTGATTTCGCCGGAATTGATCGTGTCAAGCAAGGATCGTATGGGGATGGCCACAGCCACACAAACAGGATAGAAGGAAACAGTCAACATCTCATCCATTCATTCGAGCATGTTTCAATGGCTGCAGAACCAACCGGTGTAACGTCCCCAAGTTGTCTCTCCAGACCTTTCTTGCCCCGGTATTCTGTAGGCTTCCCAGCTCTTTTCTTTCTAGGAGTGTTAGTGTCGAGGGCTGGGATTGCCGTCTTTTTGCGACCAGGATTGCCGTCTTCCTGCCGTATCTAGCACACACAGGGCCGTCCGGAACCTCTGAGAGATCTCGCTAGGGCAAGGAGATCCTGGCGAGGCTTCTCGATCTCTGGTGCTAGGTGTGGATGGTCGGGGAGGTCCAGATAGGCCTGCCCGACCAGATGATCTCCCACTGACTCGTCCGAAAGATGGACGGTGAGATGTTCAGGGGGAGATATAGCCGGGCGTACTTGACCGAAGGGCATCATACGTACTGATGGAGCTGGACACGGCTGTCTGAGTTCAGCTGTTGAATCCAAACCACTTGCAGATTCAATGCAGCCAGTGTGTTCGGAACATCTTTTCCTTTCAACGTATGCTCGACATTAAAGGCAGTGAAGGTTCCAACCACTCGCTTTGACCAACTCGCCATCAAACGATCAACACACAGAGCCATCTTACGGTTGCTGAGGCTGAATCATCCAGCATGCATCACTGGGTACTAGTAAGAAAATATACCCGAAAGTGTATTTGAGGTGTGCCTCTAGCACCATAGGCTTTAAGCATTTCGTTGACAACGAAGATGCAATTGCCTCGCCTAGGCGGCTTTGATCCGGCCTCGATAGACATGGGTTCGTCCCTTGTCGGGGGATTCGAATAGCTGCTTGGACCATGGTATTGGGATTTGTTGCGACTGGTCGAACCATTCCCGAGGCGTATCATGTGAGATGACGGTGATACGGTGTTACGATCTTCTTCGTTGTTGCTGTCGTCGTTATCGAGTTACGACAGGTTCCGAGGTTTTCCGATGGAACACCTTTGTAACTCGATGACGACGGCGAAGGAATACAAATGTTCGGTTAGCATTTGCAGAACATCCAGCGCGTGAAGGAAGACCTCGGGCGCTCTGTGCCTCCTGTAGGGCGTCAATCAAGCAACACTGACCCTCTGTGATTGTTTGGGAGCACCAATTGCACTTGTATGGGGATTGGCTCGTTGACAAGTGCCGCTTGGGTGAGTGTCAGGAATTGCTGTGTTCAAGGATTGTGCTCGTGCCTCTGCCCATGACTGAGAACCAGAGATCGGCAGATTCCCAGAGATCGCTCGTCACACAGGCGTCGTACAATGTCCGCTGTAGAGCCGTCAGTTGGAATATGATGATGACGAACAGGATCAAGTCGATCCCAGGAATAGATATCATATACTTGATGGGCGGTATTCGGCTTCGTGGCATCCTCTCCCCGTTCGTGCCATCCGCTGGCTCCCAGGGCTTCGCTGGGTCGGGGAACGTCGTAGGGCGTACCACAATGCGCCCGATCCCTATGAAGGCGGCGACGGGGATGAGAATGCGGCCGGGGTCGTCGTCGGTGATGCATACACCAATGTTGCCAATGACGACTCTTAGGGTTAGGGCCTCGACCAGGATGGTGGCCTGCATGGCATGGCAAACGCGTTCGACGTGTGTGAAAGGTACTGAACAGTGACTTTCCCTGATCAGTGATGGCCCTAGATCGCAGTTCGTAAATAGAGAGAAATGGTTTCAGCCTGTGCAGCTGCATCTGGCCTGGTCTGACCCGACCATCTGCTTCGAGACTTCCCGAACTCCAGACCACGAATCGTCGGCTTCGGCGACAGGAATTGGTAAGAAGTAGTCTTTCCAGATCTCCTGTAGCTCCTTGTGTAGAGTTAGTGTAGCCTTGTTGCCTCGCGCCCAATATCACTCGAAACTGTTTTCTCATAACATCTGAGCTTTCAAGAGCGGTTCAAAGGCAAAAAGAAGTTCTGGCTTGGACGAACTTGTACCGATTCAAACTGGGATGCAAGGAGTGCGGGAAGCCGCATCCGGAGATCTTCCAGTTTCTGGTCTTTCCGGATTGTTGCCAACAGGTATACCGCTTGGTGGTTATATTGGGAGAAAAGATATCTTCGCGCGCGGTGTAGTAACTCTTTGGTCGGGGGTATGGATCTCGCCCTGGGTTGAGGTGAGAGAAAGTGGTTGCTGAAACCCAGGTGGTGGCATTCCATACGTCTGGGACAGGGGTGCTGATTCGGGGGTTGGAACCTGTGTTGCATGCATGTTGGAAGTCTTGCTGTTTTGCACCTGGTGCATACGGATGTTGACGACCCAAGTCTTGTGCAGCCGTATGTTCCTGCTCCTACACATGGCGCCAAAGACCTCTCAGAAAGAGGCAGGCGACCGCCCGGAGCTCCTCGACCAAGATGGTGGCCTACATACGGCGCTTTTGTGAACTCGATGGAGCAGTAGTCTCTCCTAAACTCTAACCCTAACGCCATGGTCCAGCGCAATTGAATGCGTCCCAGGATGTTGCGTAACACTTTCTGGGCCAAGTCCCCCGCCGCCAATAAGCCCCGGTTGAGCAGGGAAGCGAAGACCCGAGGGTCCCGCATGTAGAGAGGCCACTTGTCGTACTTGTGGCGGTAGTTGGGGGCCTGGTCCCGGGATGTCTGAGTGGTGGATTGCAGAGAGAGGGCCTTGGGGTCGTCAGGCAGGGGAAACTTGTCCAGGTACATCAAGTCACTGCGCCAGGCAGGATCCCACAACAGATTCAAGTATCCCAGCAGATCCGAGACTCGGTTGATCATGGGTGTCGCCGTGACCACCCACTTGAATGGCGTGTAAAGCTTCTCCACCGCGATAGAGTTGTTCGTTCTGCAATTTTGGCAAACGCGTTCGACGTGTGTGAAAGTAGGGCCTTCGAGATCCAAAAAGCTCATGCGAGGCGTGGCGAGATTGACACAGTTTTCGTCCTCGGTCCATGTCGTTGAACAAGAACAATGCCATTCTACCGCAGGCGGTTAACAGGGAAAGAACATGCCAGGCTCGAGAAAAACGAGCACCCGCCAGCATTGCTCAACACAGCAAAAAGATCGGTCGTAGGCTCGAGAAAAACGAGCACCCCCATCCTTGCCAGCATTCATGGCAGCAAAACAAAACGAGCTTGCTGCTTGGGCGAAGACCTCAGTCTGCGTGCGAACCGCGTGCAGGTTTCCTTGCCCTTTATCATATGGTCAACGCCGAGGGCACTGAATGTGCCAGCTCCCTTTTTGGCGGAGTTTGGAAACAGCCAGTCGACATAGACAGCCATTCTGCCCATTCCAGCAGCACGAGAAAGACGTTGAATTGCGCATCAAGTTGTTAAGTTTGTAATTGCAAGTTGATCGTCAAGTTGCTTGAGTTGACGTTTGTAGAGTTGTGTCATGATCGTGAACGAGTCCATCTGGTGCTGAATCCCGATGCTGTACAGCATATGCTGCACTTTCTTGTCCATTTGCTGAAATTCTGCAATGAGCTCGGGCTGGATCCTAATCCTCTTTTATGCCAAATTGGAAAGTATGTTTGATGTTTGACGTTTGGTCTTGGCTTGCCCGCGTTGCAAATAGCAATGAACAATCGTGTATACACATCAGACATCAAATGAGTGTATTTGCGGTTTAGGTAATTTGGACCCACAACAACCACATCAATGCTGTTCCCATGCGATGGTTGGCAACGAGTTTTGCCCTTCGATGTTTGGCAACGAGTTTTTGCCCTTCCACTTTGATAGTAGCAAAGAGGAGAGAACCTCGAACCTCGAACATCTTGCAATCTTTAAGACCAGTGGCATTGGTATCCATGTCTGAAAGAGTGTCATGCGGTGTAGATGCCACGATCTGGGTGGAAATCAATGATGGCGGAGCGCGGAGCGGGATCGCAGTAATCGTAAGCATCATGATCGAGAGGTCAGGGGAAAAGGTAAAGGTCATCAGTTCCTCAACCCACTCGGACAGTGGGGGTACTGACGGAGTCAACACCTCCAGCAACCAGAGAAGGAATGCGGCGCGAGGTAGCCAACTGGATGTAAGCCTGCAGGAGTTCATCCATATCCTTGGTCCATTTTCCGTCAGTGCAGGCTGCCTGGGTCAGTTATGAACGAACACGAAGGATTCCACTCACGTTCGGAGTTGGCTGTACCCTTGCACTGCACAAGATACGCCTCGTCCTCTGAGCTCCGCGGATCTGGACAGCAGTAGTTAGCGGGTTACGAGGAGTGACGAACAGCACCTACTGGCTTTGCTGAATGTATGCTTGAGGTCTTGTCTCTGAGATCGTGGTGTCATCTCCTTGCTAGCCTGGCGGACTATCCTTCGAGCTTCCCTCATGTGGACTTCCATATATTGGACTAACTCAGTCCGTTGTTTTAACATATTCCTTCTCTTTGAGGCTTCAAAGACAATGCTGAAGCTAGGATCGGTGAGACACATGCAAAAATGGAGGTCATTGTCGGCCGGGTCCAGTGCCTCGTGCCCCGGACAGCCCTAGAGCCCACCAAGAGGGTCTCGAATCCATCGACCCCCTCGGACTTCTGGAAGGATGTCACCCAGATCCTCGTCTATTTTGGCTTCTGAGCTGATCGCATTGTCTGCCTCGATCCGGTCAGCGATGTGGAAGTGCGTTTTGTGCTGCATCCCCCACAGGAAGTGCCTAGACACATTGCGCTTGACTCTATAGAGCCCTTCTCGTGGCCCACTTTGCCTTGTCATTCCTCTTCCATTCCGAGTACTTCTCTGTGTGGTCATGGCCATCTGGTGCCTGTCTCCACCGAGCATTTCGTAGACGATTGTCCTTTGCAGTCTTGTCTGTGAGTGCCTCTCTGTGCGATGTGGGAGCCTCCAGAGTCTGAATCTGTTTCCTGCCAGTGCTGTCTTGGCTCGAATGCAAGAAGCCATCAAGTGACCCTTGACCTCCAGCGCTATTGGCGGCGTTGGTGACTTTCTTTGCTGCGCGGACTTCTCGTTCCGTCGCATTTAGCTCGTCACGATTCTTTTCCCGGCACGCTTTGTTGGCTGCTGACACTTTCTCCGCGTAATCAGGGTAGAAGCCATTCAATTGGAAACTGATCTCCGCTGAATGCTCGCCCCGTCGGGCATTTAGTTGCGCTACTGAGATTGACTTCGTTTCTTGTCTCTTGTGTCTTGTGCGAGGGATCCACCCCCAAGGAGACCCTTGTTAAGTAGCGACGCGAACAGTTCGGTGTCAAACAGATACAGCGGCCAGTACTGGTACTTGGCTCGGCACTGGAGTGCGGAGTGCTTGAAGGTTTGCGTGGTCGACTCTTGGAACACGACTTTAGGGTCGTCCGGTAGCACGAACTTGTTTAATCTCAAGAGGTCCGATTTCCACTGGGGTTCCGGAAGAGATTGAGATATCCGAGGAGGCCGGGACTCGATTAATCATCGGGGTGGCGGTGACGATCCATTTCTTGGACATGTACAGTTTCTTGACTGCAACGGCATTCTTGGTTCGACATGTTTGAAATCTCGATTCAGTGTTCGTTGAATTGAACTCTCCAAGTTTGTGGCCCTCATCACAGATGACTCCACGGAAGGATAACCAACATTGTGTTTTGGTTTTCTCCCGGGAAATGGGCGCTGGTTCGAAAAATGGTAAGTATCTGCAAGTAGGGGTTCGAAAAGAACGAGCGAAGACTCGTTGATCAAGCACTTGCCACACTTTCTCCAGGTTCATTGATTTACATCCAAGAATGGCGCTCGCAAACCCCTTCATCAAGTATTTGACCTTGTGGTCCCAAAGAAACCATGCTCCAATGTGCTGCCACAAGCAACCAGGACAGCCTTCTTGCCAGATGGTCCATTATGGCAGCCAAATGCGGCGGATGAAAGAAGAGGTGCTCAGGTTCAGGCCAGGGGGAAGATTTTTGAGTCAACTTACGGCTTGTGCCATTACTTCTGTTTGCGTGCGCACTGCGTACAAGTGCAAAGCCCCAGGTTATTCGACGCCTCCTTGCCTTTCAAGACATGGTTGACACCCAATGCACTAAACATGCCTGTGACTCGTTTGGCAGAGTTGGATAACAATGAGTCTATACCGAATGCCATCTTGCGGAGTCTAGCTTCTGGAATCTGTTAGAATGCTGATCGCCAGCCAATAGCGATGGGAGATCATACCAAGATGCGTATGTTCTTTTGTACCGAGTACCCGGCATGCCTGGATCAGATCCTGAACCGCAGAGCCACAATTGGCTTTCAGTTCTTCGTATATCCAAAACCGGAGGTACCGCTGGGGTCAAAATAATCATTCCTCTCATTCTGTGTAGTGTGTATCAAGCAAAGAGGAATCTATGTAATGACAAGAATGGGAAGAGGAGCGCTCGGCGCACCTTCCGTCACGGCTCCACACCGCGTCCGGCTGTCCGAAGCGAGGGTACAAGTCCTTTCATGTCTCCATTTTTGTTGATGTTTGTTGAAAACTGCGCAAATTGAGGTGGAGGACCAGTCGGGCGTAGAAATGAAGATGAAAGTGCAGAAATCCGCGGAAGAAGGTAACTGAGTTGCCTTACCAACACTCCATTCCATCGTGGTGCTTGTAGTCTTTCCCACAGATGTGGCGGAGGAAGGAAGTGAGATCCTCTCGCTCAGATCGACGTCACGGCTGCTGCCGTAAAAAAAGCGGATGTTGAGGGCGGGTTTCCCGCGGGGAGAGGTCCATAATCCACGCAATTCATTCAGCCAGACACTGATTAGGTTGGGCGGTGCGAGGATCAGTGTGGGTCTGAAGAGGTCAGTGTAGTCGTCCCTGTAGGCGGCCTTCTTAGCAACGGCCTCGCACGCGGCCCGGTGAATCGTGATCCCACAAAGACGTGGCGGATGAAGGCAGATAGATACCTCCTCAAAACATTCCATTCCATCCCACGATGGTGCTTGTAGTCTTTCCTTTCCCACAGATGTGCCATGCTATCCATCCTAATCCACCATTTGAGTGGACCGTAGGTGACAGACAGTGATGGTGATGGTGCTTGTAGTCTTTCCTTTGCCACAAAGATGTGCCATGCCCATCCAACTCATCACAATCCACCATTTGAGTGGACCGCCGTCAGCGAGACAGCAGTGATGGTGATGGAGGGAGAAGAAGAAATAAGAAGGAAGAGGAGATAGTCTCGGATGGATCTGTAATGCTTGCCACTATCTCCACCTGCCATGTTGGCTAGAAGTAAAGGCACTGAACTCGAGGAAATCGAGGCTCATCTGCAGAAGAATTTGCGGCAGGTAGATAGCACGGCCATGTCCTCAGCTGCGTTCGTGGCCAAGATTACTTGGTGTCATCATGCTTGTTGCTGGAGACATGGTTGAGACCGGAGCGAAAGCGATTCCATGGGCCGTTGATCGTCATGGTGTACCTTCATGTGTTTCGCGGGGTTCGCATCATCTGTCATGTCCATTGCTGTGATAAGACACTCCAGCAATTTGGTCTGAAATAAGTTCCGCATTGAGCGCAGGAGTGGAAGATGTGCCTCGGCTGGGGTCATAGACAGCGTCTAGGAGATAAACACCGCGTCGAATTCCGTGACCGGGTCGGCCTGGAGATCCTGGACGACGTGCTGAATGGCGTGACGGACCTCGGCCTCGATGGTGATGTCTGCCACGGCATCTCACGTTGGTGACGTTGGCCTTCTCCGCGTTACGTGCGATGGTGTGAGGTCTTTTCTTCGACTAGATGTAGAAACTCCATCGATTGGGTCTGAAGTACCTTGCTGGACAACGGGATGATCAGAAGTATGGCGAGAGAACCTGAATAGTTACATTCTGTCCGTATGCGTACGCGTATGTATATATACGGGTGTCTGAGTATGTGTCTGAGTCTGTCTCTTGGAACTGGTCAGCAACAGCAGAGCAAGCTAACAGCATGGTGGAAGCAACCTACCGATTCGCATTTATGTGCTTGCTCAATGCAGTACTGACACTTTCCGCCCTCCATTTCGCATGTCAGAGCACCTGTATTGGTGAGCAACAGAAAAGCATGCCATACGCATGTCAGAGCACCTGGGTTTGGTGAGCAAGAAAAGCATGCCACACGCATACCACAAACCATTTTCTCCAGAGAGGATCTGTGGCGATCTCGCCAATGAGCGAATACATCGGCAGCAAAGCTCGATGGATAACCGCGTCCCCGAGGACCGAAGTGGCAAACCATCTTCCCCAAAAGAACCTGGGGCGATCGCGCGAGTGAGCGAACTCATCTGCAACAAAGCTCGATGGGCAGAGTCTTTTTCCTGAAGACCGAAGGGGCAGTGCTTAGGCTTTGCTGGTAGTCTGGTTCCTGAAGACCGAAGAGGCAGGGGCTCAGGCTCAGGCTTTGCTGGCCAACGAGCTTGGGATTGCAAACTGTCAAGACTGCAAAACGTATGCGCATGCTGTTAGCAATATCTACACAATCGGATGTTCACTCACTATTGATTGAATTTGCCAAGGAGCTCATTGAGTCGATCGGACTCAATATGCTGTTGTACGTCCGCGTGAGTGTGTGTGTCTGATTGTTGGTCTGACCATGAGACTGACTGTTGGACTGACTGTTGGACTGACTGTATATGTCTGACTATGTGTCTGTGTAGGCGTGACTGGTGCATAAATGCCTATTTTGGCTTTAGGGTTGTCTCGTCACGACTTCGGGCCTCACGGAGGAGTGCCTTGGCATCAGCCTGTGCGTTCCGGAGTCTGGCGTCTAGCCTCAGCGCTGAAGGAGTTAGCGAGTTCCAAAAGGATACGAAGGAATGCTACTTCCCCATAGGAATGCCATATTGATTGCCTTGAACAGCTTCCAGCATATGTCGTGGCAGTGGTATTCGTCCGGGCCGCCATGCCAGGGTGTTGGAGCGGTACAGTGTCTTCGTTCTTCTGGTCTGGGCGTCATGTTATCTGACAAAAACAGAATCCGAATCCGAATCCGCCGCATTCGATTCGATGGAGAGAGAGACCAGGACCCGGTCGGAGAGGGATATCAAGACATCAAGACATCAAGACATTGGGAGAACAGTGGCCATCTCGACAAGACTGATGATCATCTCGACGCCCCTTGCCCTGTTGGCGAAGGTAGATGAAGCTCGCCGAGGTCGAGATCGTTGCTGGTGGACTTCCAGCCTGGGATACTAAAGGATGGGTTGTAGTTCAGTTGTTCATGGACCAAAGACTTTGACCTGATATAGATATTCGTCCACGGACAGACAGGGAGGAAATAGGATAGGATGAGAAAGAGACAGAGATAGGAAGAGGGCAGAACAGAGAAAGAGGGTCACAGGCTTAGGCACAGACACAGGCACAGGCACAGGGAGGGAGGGAGTAGTGAGTGAGTTGGAGAGGGAGCGCTGAAGTCCTGTCCACTGTCCACTGTCCAGAGATAGAAGGAGGACAGAAGGAGGACAGAACAGAAAGAGATGGGAATAGGAGTAGGATAGACCAGAAGAACAGCACAAGAGACATGAAGATTCCGAATCCAGCAGCTTCTTCAGAATCACACACGCACATACACATATAGAAAGAAGAAATCCTAGATTGGGATTTGGGGGAGAGAGGGGGATATATATACTGTACTGTACTTTACCGTACCATGACGACAACTGTCCCTTGAAACCAATGCAGCACAGCACGTAACAGCACCGGCATCACTAGTATCACCACCACCATTACTAACGCAGCACGTAACAGCGCCAGCATCACCGGCATCACTATTACCTGGGCTGGGGGGACGGGAGAACAGTAAAGCAGAAACAGCCCTGACGGGACGGGGAGACAGTAAAGAAGAAACCCTGGCTGGACGGGGGGAACAGTAAAGAAGAAACAGCACCAGCATCACTAGTATCACTTGTATCACCATTACCAACGCTGACGGGCAAGAAGAGCAGTAAAGAAGAAACAACAACCCTGGCAGGACGGGAGAACAGTAAAGAAACAACCCTGACCCTGACCCTAACCCTGACCCTGATCCTGACTCAGGCCCACGCTCACACGCACTCACGCTCAAACCCACCTTGGTGAATGGAATGGGATGGAATGGAACGGAATGGGCATCACTGACACCCACACCCAAGATGGTAGGTAGGTCGCTGTCCCCTTATGCAATATAGTGCAATGGGAAGACTGTGATGTGTACTGCTGTTTCAATGGTAGGCAGGTTCATTCGCTGCTCGAGCAAGATCGAAAATTGACGGCTGGGAGACGGATTCGCATTCAATGGCTGCAATAGATTGATTGGTATTCAATGGCGGAACTAGATTGACTGATATTCAATGATCAAGTTTCAGACACCGACACCAACTTCGAGGTCTCAGATGCAATGATCGAGAAATTGAGACTGGCCTGTCTGCATTCAAGCTGGGCCAGTGATGACGACCATTGATCCGAAATCAGGCCCTCGAACGGGGAAGGGAAATTCAATTCGATTCTCGTGCCTTTGTGCGGCTACTGCGATTGCAATGGCACTTCTCCAGAATGACAGTGACAGTGACAGTAACAAGGATCCTCAGTCGGAAGGTTCATCGCGTTTCATCGTTTTGCTGAATGGAATGGAATGTCTAGGGTCAGTCACATACTGGAACCCATAAACCCCAACTCCAACTGCTCCGAGGAGCTACCGCCATTGCCAGAGCCATTGCCATTGCCATTTCCGCAATCAGTCACAGACATTGCCAGAGCCACTGCCATTGCCATTTCCGAAGTCAGTCACAGCCACCCTCATGACTCCCTGGATCTACCAAGACCTAGTAGTTACAGTACACCCATTCACCCGCCTTTTCTGGCCCATCTTTGACCAATTCCCCCGGTAGAAGCTAGGACCTAGAACCTCAACCTCAACCTAAACCCACCCTAGAACCTACTCGGCCGTTCCATACTTGGTCAATTGCGGCGTACCCGGTGACGGCGGACCGCTGAACTTGGTCTGCACAAAGACCTTCTGCATTCCATTTTCGCGGGCATCGTAGCGATGGTAAACCTCCTCCAACTCGTCCAGCAGCACCCGGTGGCTGACCATACGCAGAGGATCGAGGGTTCCATCTTGGATCTTCTTGAGCAAATCTTCCCAGTAGAGATGGACAGGGGCCTGGCCATTGCCGATCAGCCGAATGCCGCGTTCCATGAGCGACCCAATGTTAAAGTGGTTGGTGAAGCCGGCGTAGACGCCCGTGATCCCACAGCGGCCAAAGTTCTTGACCGAGGTGATCATCTCGTTGACAATCTCCGACGTGTCCGTCTCGGCGCCCAGCATCAGCTCAAAGTAATGGGCCCAGCCTTTGGCATATTCGCCGGCTACACACTCGATCGCCACGTCCGGGCCGCCATGCTCCATCTTTTTCAGGGTCGACGTGACGCTCTCGCCCTTGGGCAGGTCGGTGAAGTTGATGGTTTCGAGCTGGGGCAGTTTCGACTTGACATAGTCGAGTCGCCATGCGCCGGGGCCGCCGTCGATCAGGATGACGCGTTTGGCGCCGTTAATGAAGGCCATGTCGGCGCACATCTGGCCAATGGGTCCCGCGCCCCAAATCGCCACCACGTCACCGTCCTTCACGCCCGTGTCGACGACGGCGTTCCACGACGTGGCCAGCACATCGGACAGGTACAGACCCTTCTCGTCCGGCACGTCGTCCGGCAGCTTGAGCAGGTTGACGTCGCCAAAAGCCACTCGCACATACTCGGCCTGGCCGCCGGCAAAGCCACCGGTGAAGTGCGAGTAGCCCAGCATGCCGGCGGTGCGGCCGCCGTACATGATGTTCTCGATGGTGTTGTCGTTGGTCTTTTCGCACTGGCTGCTGAGCTTGCGATTGCAGTACATGCAGTTGCCACAGGCGATCTGGAAGCTGCACACCACCCGGTCGCCGGGCCGGACTTTGCTGATGCTCGGCCCCACGCTCTCGACCACGCCGCAGAACTCGTGGCCCAGGATGTCGCCCTTCTGCAGTTCGACGATGGAGCCGTGATACAGGTGCAGGTCGGAGCCACAAACGGTCGAGCCGGTCACTTTGACAATCACGTCGGTCGGCTCAATCTTGGCCGGTTTGAACGTCTCGATCACCTTGACCGAGTTCTTGCCGTTCCACACGAGAGCCTTCATCTTCTCGCCCGACGGGTCAGCATACTTGGCCGGATCGTTGGCTGGATTCGAGAGATTCTGCTCGGTGGCGGCCTCGCCTCCATGGCCGATGATCTTCTCGACGAGGGCGGCTGCTTGGGAGAGCGCCATGAGAGCGGCAGGTTGGATTGATCAGGATATAGGGTTGGCTTGTAGGTTGGGATGTGGCGGTGTTGGTGTTGGTGTCGGTGTCGGTGTCGAGAAGACTGTTGATGCTGAGTAATGGGAGGAGGGAATTGGGAAGAGGGACGAGGAAGAACAGGACTTTAGGAAGATACCTTATATGAGCAGAACGACTGACTTCATCCTGTCCCTGTCAGTGCCTGTCGCCGCCTCTGCTGGCCCGCTGTCCCCTGTCTTGAAATGCTTTCATCATGACATCACGCGGCGATGATGTCGATCGACTGTTCGCGGAGGAGATGAATTGCCGGCCCCGGCCCGCTCTCATTGGCTGGAAGCGCCCTCCGGATGAGCTCTCCGAGACCCAGGCGGCCAGACGGATCTGTCATTGGCCAATCCTGAGCCGGCGGTTGATGGCTAGTTCAGAGGACTTAGGGTTAGGGTTAGGGTTAGGAAATCTCGGGACCGAGCACTCGGGCTTTACAAGGCTGTCTATACGTACCTTATACATACTCCGTACGGATACTCTGTACACAGTCGACCCTCTACCACCAGCCTCACCCTCAGCTTTGGAAAAGCTGGAGGCAGTGTCGTAATCATGCTTGAGTGATCATAGCCTCGCCGTCACCGTTCTCCCCCAGCAACCGTGCCACGACACCATCTTAGACTACTACTGTCCGCCCTGGCCACCTCCATGCCTCGCAACCCTCTCTTGTTCCTCCTGCGCCTTGACCACGGCCCTCAGCCCACCATCCCGCACCCGTATATCCTCCGCACTCGGCAGCCCATAGGCCTGTGTCGTCTGCTCCACCACTTTGTCCTTCCATGCGTCGTCGTCCATCGTGATGGTGCCTGCGTCCCTCCACACCTCACCAATGGACTCGCCGATATTGTCCAAGAACCCTCGAAGGCCCTTGTTGCCTCCACCGAAACCATACATCTTGAACGGCCCCGCCATTGCCCACCGCGGACCCAGACTGGCGCGGACCACTTCGTCAATCTCTTCCGCCGACGCCACGCCCTCGTTGACCAGATGGCACGCCTCCCGGAAGAGGATGAAGCTCAGCCGGTTGGCCACAAACCCTGCACTCTCCCGGTGGATGGTGATGGGCCTGTGGCCCGACCGGAGGGCAGTGAAGTAGGACTTTGCAAAGCTGACTTCGGCCGGCGTGGTGTGCGGCGACGGGACCAGTTCCAGCAGGGGCATGATGTGTGGAGGATTGAATGGATGCACGATGAGTAGTCTCTGGCGCGCCGACGAAGCCTGTATGTCGTCGGTGGTGGGCGGGTATTCGAGGTGTTTGTCGTCAGTGGTGGACAGGTGCTCGAGCTGTTTGCTAGCAGGAATCCCCGACGTCGACGACCACAGATGGCACGTGGGCGCCACGTAGCGGATGACCTCCGACCACGTCTTCTGCTTGAAGCCAACATTCTCCGGCCCTTGTTCCTGCACGATCGTGGCGGCCAGGCACGCCTCCTCGAGACTGGCACATAGATTCAGCCGTCCAACTGAGATCAAGCTCGCCACATCCACCGAGCTCGGTAGATACAGTGGCAGCACGGCCTGGATGTGCTCCTCGAGGTCTGGCCGCGGATCATAGACCGACACCGTGGCAGAGCTGTAGGTCAGGTGCAGCGCCAGAAATGAGACGCCGATCGCTCCCAGCCCGATCAAGGTGATGTGCTCGTCCGCATGGGGTAACGGCGACGTGCCCTCGACTTCATCGCTGGCCATGATGTGCAGGACACGACCGATGTTGCGACCTAGAGAACGAGTGCTCCAAGGACGTCCTATTTGTGCCGCTCGACTGAGGTGGCTTCGAGCTGGGAACAAGAACGAGAATAACAGACCCAGCGGTAAAACCTCGGTGACAGCAGGAGGGTCTGAGGACTCCCTCTGGTGCCTCTCCCCTCCCAGATCGGATAAGCGGCTACATCCGATCACACAGCTACAAGTATACGCAGTGGGTAATTGCGATGCTCTGTATTTGTTACGGTGCTAGAACACCAGAGATTTCGGCCGCTCCTCCCCAACTCAGGCCATCATCCGACTATGTACGAATGGGCCGCACCCCAGACCCCAACATTGAGAGCAAAAAGTGTATCATATGCAAATGCTAGCCAAAAGCTGCTAGTTGAATTAAAAAGAACTTCCCAGGCCGCTTTCCAGACATCGGCCAAATCAAGCAGTAACTTTCAGGCAAAAGATTCAACCGTCATGCCTCCAAATATCACTCCAGTGCTCCATGCAAATAAAAACCACATTCACCCTGGGCCCATCCTGGAATCATGACAGGGAGTGCCACATCCCCTTAGACTTCTGTGACGCGTCCGATGACCGCTTCTCGAACGGTAGGCTGCTTCATCGTCTCATGGACAGGCTCCCCTTTGACACTCGCACTACCGCTGACCTGGGCCGAAGCATGAGCCTGCTCCGCTTCCTCGTCCTCAACTTCCACGATCTTGGTCCGATCAGCCCGGGTGTTGTGGTTTAATGATTCCCGAGCGGTGTAGTTGGTGGGCGCCGTACTGGCCATGCTCAAGGCGGTGCTAGATCGCTGGTGCACCAGATCTGGCGTGGGTGGGATCGAACTGCGGTCACTTTGCGGCGTCAAATGGCCTGTCCCGGTGCGAGAGTCGGTGCTGAAAGGATCGAGAGGGGACAAATTCCCACTGTCCTCTCGGGTGTGGTTGGTCGAAGGGGATGCCCCGGCGGCCTCATCAAGCTCCCCCGCCTCTTCATCATCCACTTCGGCTGCTTCGTTGGCGAGCTGGAGCCCTTCCACGGCAGCGGCACATTGTTCGCTAATGTTGCGGATGATGTCGGCAATGGCATCCGTCTTGTCACGAAGATGTCGATCAGCCACATCCGACATGCTGAGATCAGAATAACGCTTGCTGGCTCTCTTGCTGCTGGCAAGCAGTTTGTTCTCCATCGAAGGCGTGACATCTTGCCCGTCAACCGATCCCACGCGGGATGCACGCTTGCCAGCTCGACTGCTCACGTGTCGACTTCGCTCACCATCTTCCAGGTCCTCATCTTGCTCTTCGCCATCGAGCTCATCCTCGTCGTAACCTTCGTGGATGTATTCGGCCAGCTCCGAAGCTGACCCGATCGACCGGACAATGTGTTCCATATGGTGAGTTTGCCCAGTAATGAGTGACCGCAGGTGGAGGACCACACGCTGGGCCTCATCCCGCTGTCTCTGCAGGGCTTGGTTGGTATGCTGCAAGGCGGCAATTTCTTTCCGATTGCGGGACCGTTCTTTCTCGAGATCCTCGGCGATGCCTTGCTGCAGGACCAGAGCCTCGAGGGCATTGTCCCGCTGTCTCTCAGTACCGGCCAGTCGGAGGGCAAGACGAGCAGCATCATCCTTCTGTTGATCAATAAGTCCAGTGAGGCGGCGGTTCTCGCGTTTGTGGGATTCGATCTTGACCCGAAGTTCGGCCAGTTCTTTGTTGAGCGATTCAACAAAGGCCTGGAACTTCTGGAATTGCAACTTCCAAGTTTCAACTTCTTGTTCGAGGTAGTTGTTGCGCTTGGCAACTTTGGCAAGTTCAGTATCCATCCGGCCCTTGAGGTTGATAAAGTCTTGCCACGCCTCCAGAGCGTCCCGCGAATACTGGTTGCGTTCGCGGACAATCTCGTTCATGTGCCTCATGGAAATCTTGGTCATCAAGGGTTTCTTCATCGACCCACCAAACCACGCCTTCATACCGGTGTTGCGTCCGAGTTTCTCGCACACATGGTCCATGACCGCCATGACGGCATCTTGGTTCCACCAAGACGGATCTTGTACGCTCTCAACCTCGCCACGGAGCACAATAATCTGCCCTGCGGGAATGAGCTTGCCGCCACCATAAGCCGACTTGAGATGTTGTGGAACACCACTGATCTCCACATCGGAGTTCAAGGCTTGAATGAGGCGATTGATCATCTTGGTGCGCTGGCCGGCTGTCAAGATATTGGGGGGGTGATCCGTGATGACGAGATTTCGGTCCAAGTCGACCAACAAGGCATCCTTGGGCGGTTGGAACAGTGATCGGCACTCGGTCGTGATGCCTAGAATGTATGGGCCTGGCTCCTGGACCATCTCACTGGCATTTCGTGCGTGAACCACTGGAACGTAGAGCCCGCTCCACTCGTAGACTCGGACACAGAATCTGACGGTCTCGGCTGCGATGGTAAGCATTGCCGGGTGATGACTTGTAAGGATGATCCGTCGAGTGGGTGAAACGGCCGCCTCCAGGAGCCCGACGATATTGGGGATGCTCAGGCAGGTGAATAGGGGCCACATGGCAAAATTCTGGAAACCAGTAGGCGACGAGGGAAACTGATAGCAGAGGGCGTAATCCTTCATGTCGATGCGGACCAGATCGTTGAGCCTGGGTGCAGGGAAACTGAGAATCCGGGAGACCTCTTCGGCGTGGAAAAGGTTGGTGGCCTTGTTCCAATGAATCCACATTCCGCGAAGGTAGTCGCCGAGAAGATTGTATAGAGGATACCTCGAAAGGAAACTCAAGCAGTAGGGGATCCAGTAAGTCTCATCGGCAGTATCTCTATAATCGGGTTCGGTCTTGCGGCGAAGCTCACGAATGGTCTCGGCACGCTTCTCGTCTGCTCGGGACCAGACTCGCAGGGCAATGCCGTACAAGGTATGTTGGGAATCCTGTTGGAGAACAAAGGCGTGGTGGACACAGTGCGGCTGGCTTCGACCAGTGCAGATTTCGACATCATGGGGAAAGCAAGCCTGCAAGACGATCAGTGAGTGCGTTGAAACAACCAGAATCCAGCATGTACATACCCTCATGGCGCTGTGCAGCGCTCGTGCAATCTCGTTGTCGCTCTCTAGTCGAGGACTGCTCCCCAGTATCTCCGGAAGCCAGAACTGGCCAACCGCGCCTTTCATATGTTGGATTTTCCCATGCGATGGAGGTGGTGCCTTGACCCATTGCGACGGTTCCCTTCCAACACCACATACCATGTACGCATGCGTCAAAGTTTTCGGTGTGGGTCTGTTGTTTGTCTTTGCCAGACTCGACGGTAGAGGTTGGGTGATGCGTGAATGAAGAGACGATGTCCGGCTGGGGACGATTGTGTTGTCGACTTGTTCTCTAGTGATCGGGCGATTGGTATCTCGGGTTTGAGGACGAGCCATCGAGGTCATCGAGGTATGACCTCTCAGAGAAGGACCCATGGTTCATAGACTTGACAGAAGGAAGACGTTCTCAACGGGCGGAGCTGCCCGTGGTCAAATATGTCAACCCCTCTCCACAGGACTCAAGAGGCCTGTGCAGTCGTCGGGGAAGTCGCGATACCCGCGTGTCAAGTATCTCGGCTTTTCTTTTGCGGCAACAAGACGTATTGCAATGCGATGCAGTTGGGGGCTGTCGCCTACGAACTGCAGGAGGGAGGAGGAAGCAAAACGAACGATGCTGGAGAGGAGGTGGAATAGCACTAGAAGAGCTGCCGGAGGAACTGAGGAGATTAATGTGATGCTCCAGCAAGGTCAAAGATTCAGGAGGCCGCTGATACTGCAAGCGAGCGGATGGATGCGTACCAAGTTCACGCCGGGCGTGTCAGGCCAAGGGCACTGGAGGGCCTGTGGAGGGAGCTAAACAACTGAGGCCGGCAGGGATTATGCCACCAGCGCCTGCGTCTTGCCAGATGAGGCGAGCCGGTTTGTGGAAGGCCAACAAAGAAGCAATCAGGTGGATCAACCAGCTATGTCAACTTGGGAAGTGGTCGGTGGAGGGTACGGAGTACGGAGTACGCTGTCGATGATGAGGGACAGTGAGGGTATCATATACCACCGGTCTATCCGTTCTCTACGGATCTTCTGGGCTTGGGATTTGCGAGACGGCACAGCAGCCAGGAGGCGCTCTTGGACACTTCGCTTAATACGTACATAGCATCTAGGGTCATTTATACTACACTTCCGTTTCCGTACTCTGCCGCCCTCAAATAGAAAAAGTATGCAACTCATATGCAAAGCTACGGAGTTCTCAAGCACAAGCAAGCCGTGTTGAGTCTAGACAGTGCGCCATCACGCCTCACAGACAGGCACCCCAACATGTTTCGGCATCTAACAGCCAGCTGATCTCTAGTGCCTGCCCGTGGGCTCGGTTGGCCCCCTTGCCCGGCCTCAAATTTGGCGGCCACCAGCATGGTGAGTCCACTTAATTCTTTGTTTGACAGCTCGGGACCTCCTTAGCCAGGGAGGGGCCTTGCACTTGGACCACCACCGAAGGCTATGGTCCGGGCCACTACCCATCACTGTTCACTGGCCTCTGGCCTTCTGCAGGTCGGCCTCCAGTAGTTCAGGGGCAGATTTTGCACCTCCCTGTGTCTGGCCAGCCCATGTTGCCTCTTCGGTGCCACCTAGGTGCGACCATTCCTCTGCTGGGAAGGACACTTGCAGGGTTCGAGGCAATTGACATTTTGACGTACACGCATTGAGAACCTTTCGAGAGTTTGTTCACGACTAGTGATTTTGACATGTCCATGAAAACGGCGTCGGCGTCCTGTCTTGTGGCCAGATCCAAAGTAGAATGTCCCAGAGTGTCGTCTCCATCGGCAGAAGAGAGTGTTCGATAGGTTGTCTCGGTGAGAGTGACATCTTAGATATGAACATCTTGGATATGACAGGTCGGTTTGTGGTCCCCAAGCTCCTCCTCCCATCACGACATGTGCAATTGCGACTTCAAGTATCGGACGGCATCTCCAACCTCTCGATTGGATGAGGGCTGATGACTCGATGATGCTACCATCTCATCAATCCCTGCCAGACTTCGTCTCATCGAGTTCTCGCTTCAAGAGGGTTTTAACCTGCATATGTCTGTACGTAAAATCTGCATGTGCGGGAAGTCCTTTGCGCTGGAGCTGAGAGGGTAGAGCGCGCGATTGGCATTTCCTTGATCGAGCTCGATCGTATCGCTTTATTCGATGGTTTCACCGCTAAAGCTTCATCGCGTGCGCGTCCTCATGCGTGATTTCTGTTTCCCTGTTCTGACCAGAGACATCCTCTCCACACGCCTTCGGGAAAGAACTTGACCTTGAGGAGATCCCGGGGCTTGCTTCTACTGTACTCCACCCACACGGGACAGATCTCATCCTCGATGGGTTTGCAGATAGTAGAGTTCGATCTGGTGGCGAAAACCCCCCCCTGAATCGCGCAAAGAAACGCCTCGCTGCTCGTAGTGAGACCGTCACTAAGGTTCGAGGTGCGAGGTGCCCCTGTGAGGTGCAAGCTGGAGGATTCATGCAAAAAGTGGCGAGCTGAAGGCCTGCTCTGGTCCATCGCTGCAGCCATGCGCCCCTCTGCGGCTGTATGCGCAGGTGTGAGGGCGCAGGCTGCGAACCATGCGCAGGCGGGCAGATGCCCCTCCTCCCTTAGACTTTTCTCCGCACCACTAGTATTGCTAGTTCTAGTCGGGGCTGATAGCGATAAAGAAAAGCTTGCGTAGTCGCGGAAACTTGCAATGGTTAGTAGCCAGACTGCGGTTTTTCGAGACGCGCAAGACACACGACACCATCGTCTATCAGACACTGGATCGCGATGCAGGAAAGCGATAGCACCCCCTTGCTGACTGATCTTTGTGCTATCTGGTGAGTGCATTATGGAGCCTTTGCGTGTGGACCGATATTGACATTCTGCTTTCCAAGTCACGCGAATCCGATCAAATACACCTGTCCACGATGCGGAATACACACATGCTCTCTGCCTTGCGTCAAGCGTCATAAAACCTGGGCCCAATGTTCTGGCATTCGGAACCCTGCCGCATATCGCAAGCGCGCCGACCTGGCAACACCGGCCTCGGTGGATCAAGACTTCAACTTCCTCACTTCTGTCGAACGATCACTACAACGCGCCGATGACCTCGTCTTGGAGAAAAACATAAAATTAGCCCCTAGTGGCACCATACGAGGCGGGAATGAACCCAAGCGAAAATTCGAGACCGAGGTTCAGGAGAGGGGAATTCGACTGATCAGAGCTCCACATGGACTATCTCGAAACAAAGAGAACAAGTCGCACTGGGCCCGCCAATACAAATGTATCATGTGGACAACTGAATGGCTATGCTTTGATGGGAGGAAGAGGTTCCAAAACGTCACTGAGTCGAGAACGGTCGGAGAGGCCTTCGTGAACATCTTTGGCAAAAATGCACTTCGCAAGAAGCGCAAGCGGAGCGATGCTCAAAGCACAATTCGGCCAGTGACCCAACCTGACGTCCAGCAGACTTCTGTTTCTACAGAAGCGATCGAGGGGCCTGGCAGTTCAGAAAGGAAGGCCGAAACTTCCGACACTGGTCCCGCTGACGAGACACAGTCACCACCCCAGTCCGGGGTGATTGAGCCTGACGCTATATCTGAAACACCAGCACAGCTGACAGATGCCTCACAACTACTACGAAACCTGCATTTTTACCTGCTCAAACCTCACACTATGTCGAAACTGCAATGTCTGATACCGGTCTCTCATACATCCACTCTTACGGAAGTGCTTCGTGACAAAACCATACTCGAATTTCCAACCTTCTACGTCAGAGAAGAAGCTCCTGGAAACCTGCCCGAACCTTACATCACCGAACAAAAATATGACGAATTGTATGGATCCGAGGTCATTTTGGACTTGCCAGCATATGCTCCAAAAGACAAAGTCGAGGACGAAGAGAACAGCCTGTTGCCCGACATCGACGAGAACAAGGTCTTGGAAGTGCTCCAGAAAGATCTTGCAGGTTGAAGTGGAAGGGTTAAATCCTCATTTTTCATGCTAGCTTTCCAGGCACAAAGGGATGCCCGGCACTGAGACCACCACACACAGCCCAGGCTTGGCCGTTGACATAACTCGCCTCGTCGCTTCCCAAGAAGAGAGCGGCTCTGGCAACTTCATCAGCGACGGCGCCTCTTTGGAGAGGGTTCAGTTGCCCAATCTTTCTCTCTGTTCCACGAGTGCGAGCCTGATCATACATGGGCTTGGTCATCCCTGTCTCTATGACACCAGGGCATAGAGCGTTGACTCTCACGCCCGTACCGGCCAATTGATAAGACAAGGTCTGCGCCAGGGAGACCACTGCAGCCTTACTAGCCGAGTAATCGGTACCACCGGCGTTAGACCGTAACCCAGCTACAGACGCTGTCCCAATAATGCTGCCTCCGGAATATGGCTTCTCTTCACTCGTCTTCTGCATGGCAATAGCGGCGTATTTGGCACACAGGAATACGCCCAGCGCATTCACGCGCATCGTAGCCATGAACTTATCGGCTGTGATATGCTCGAATGTATTGGGCACACCGATCACCCCGGCATTGGCGAACATAATATCCAGTCGGCCGTATTTTGCGATCGCATCGTCCACCAATGCTTTTACCTGCTCTTCATCCCCGACATCGACCTTGACGCAATGGACTTTACATCCAGGGTAGAGGCTTGTTATCTCTCGCTTGTGCGTTTCCAAGTACTGGTCTGCCCAGTCGCAGATAAACACAGCCTTTGCACCATTCTGGGCGTATTGGTGTGCAGCGGCACGGCCAATGCCGAGGGGCGAGTTGCAGCCTAGAAAGCAGAGCCACCTTAGTGTTTAGACAATGTCATATCTGAGATTTCGCATATTTGTAAACGTACCAGTCACGATTACCACTTTTCCCTTCACCCGGGGACCCGTCGACGAATCTGCGACATGTCTGATGCGTGGGATATCCTCAAACGTACCCTCCGACGGGATGCCCTCCACCAGCTGTTTCGAAAGAGCGGCTAGGCGTCGTTTGGGAGCTGCTGTCATGGTTGCGAAGAGCGGCAGAGGTTCGGTGACTGCGCGCCGGAGGTTGCGAATCGGAGAGGGTGCTTTGACTCTGTGTTTGGTTTCCTTCTAATGAGGAGTTCGTTCACTTCAATGGAACAGTCTGAAGCGATGTTCCATCTGCTTTTGAACAATTCTGGGGTCAGCGAAAGGACGAGACTGGCCTGCAGACTGTGTCCAATACTGAATACCTCACAGCACTGACAGCAACGAACCGAGGCTAATCTGCGGCCTTGGGGAAATAATCTAGGAACACGATTGGCGGACGAGAGAGACAACCGCGACAAATATGGCAAACGAATCAAATTACTCGATCCTGACTTTCATCTATCAGCCTGCTCGGAGCGCGGCAATGGAACGGCTATCGTTTTACACTAGATATCTTCCAAAGGATCGCTTTCTTGCTGATAGTCAATGACAGCTACCCGAAATTGGTTGCGAAGCCTCCCAGTATCAAACCCCGCATTAACCATTAGTACCACCAGTGCCACCTACAGTATGGCATCATGCTTCCCACCATCGTTTGGCGATAATATTAGGCGAGCATGAGTTCCGTTCAGCATGTTTCAATCCAGTAATATACAATATACCGGAGGTCGATGTGTTGATTGACACTGCATGCGAAGGGAGCGATTTGGAGCAGATGGAGCAGAGATCACGTGATGATAGTTACATAAGCAGCTCTTATCAGTGGTGCCAGGAAAAATATTTCGACCAAAGTGCGGAGAGGAAATGACACGGTCAAAAACTCTTAGATTCGAGAATCCATCCTGAGGCCTGACCAGACGCCCGTCCCATCTTCGTGAAACACCACCATGTCGAAAAGAACAGCTGAACCCCATGAAGGCCCCGAGTCCTTGAAAGCGGGACAGCGACCTGACTCGGGTGCGAATGGAGAAGTAACACTGGACTTCGAGGATGAATTCGAAGATGAATACGAGTCTGAAGATGAGATTATGGAGGCTGGCGTTGATGGGAGACCAGATGCTGAAAGAGAAGCTGAGCAGACACAAGACGCCATGGATGTGGATACGAAAGAACAGACATTCATTCCCGGCCGATCAATACTGCAGCCGGGCATGTCGTTAACTCCCGATCCCTCTACCTATGAAATGCTCCACGTCATGTCGACAACATGGCCTTGTTTGTCCTTCGATGTTGTACGGGACAATCTGGGTGATGAACGCAAGCGGTATCCTCGGACATTATACGCTGTCTCGGGTACGCAGGCCGAGTCAGGAAGAGCCAAAGAGAATGAATTGTACATTTTGCGGCTGAGCAGTCTGTCAAAGATGGATCGTGGGAACCAAACAGACTCCGAAAGTGACAGCGACGACGATGACGATGAAGGTTCTTCGGAGCCGGTGCTTGAGTCGAAGTCCATCTCCCTTCCCAGCACGACGAACAGGATACGGGCCTTTCAACCCGCCTCTGCCTCGTCTGATCCGACTCAAATACCCCAGACATTGACCGCCACGTCCCTCGAAAATGGTCAAATTCTCATCCACGATGTCTCTCCTTACCTCCATTCTCTCTCAACTCCCGGCTACACAATGCCTCCTAACGCGGCGAAGCCACTCAGCACGTTGCGAATGCACAAAACGGAAGGCTATGCGCTGGATTGGGCGCCTTCTTCTTCTCATCCAAATGGGCGACTTCTGTCTGGCGATAATGCTGGCCAGATCTTCAGCACCCAACGGACTGAGGGAGGTGGCTGGGTAACAGACAGTAGACCCTTTGTCGGGCACACGGATGCGGTCGAGGAACTACAGTGGTCACCGAACGAGAAGTTTGTCTTTGCTTCAGCCAGCTCTGACGGTACGGTGAAAGTATGGGATATCCGGAGTAAGAGTCGCAAACCCGCAGTGGATGTGAAGATCAGCAATACCGATGTCAACGTCATGTCTTGGTCCCGGCAGACGTTCCATCTACTTGCCACCGGCGCGGACGACGGCCAATGGGCAGTGTGGGACTTGCGCCAATGGAAACCCCAACCTGGAGCGGCTCCAGGCTCACTCCTCAAGCCTAGTCCGGTTGCCGACTTCAACTTCCACAAGAAACCGATTACTTCGATTGAGTGGCATCCGACAGATGACAGTGTGGTTGCTGTGGCTTGTGCGGACAACACCTTGACTCTGTGGGATCTTGCTGTTGAGTTGGATGACGAAGAATATGGCAAGGAGGCCGGCCTGGGACTGGGCGAAGGAGCTGAAAAGGTACCTCCGCAGTTGCTGTTCATTCATCACGTCGAGGATGGGAAGGAACTACACTGGCACCCGCAGATGCCCGGTACAGTGATGGTGACGGGTGGGAGCGGCCTCAATGTTTTCAAGACAATCAGCGTGTAGTCACCACTCCGATCGACTCTGATTGTGCCCGGAGATGGTATGGGCGAAAGTTGACGATTCAGCCTGGTAAAGTTATGCTGAGGCGACAACATAGAGCCGCCCGGACATTGCGCAACTGTTGCATATCACCGATCGTAAACGAAGATTGTCACTCAAAGGTCAGGACTACTTAATGAACTATCTACCGTACATGTCAATGTACATTGGGCCCAAAGCAGACAGCAAGATGACTGTGCGCCTACACTATGTCCTCAACTCAAGGAACGACGAGCTCATCGGGTGCCACACAATCCCTTTCGAGCAACACCTCGTCCATCCTGCTTCCTGACTTGCCTTTCCAGCTCTGTTTCATCCTACTGGTCACAATAGTTGGGCCGTTGTACCTCGCTGTCTTGATTGTCGGGTCCTTCTTTGTCCTCCTCCTCGATAAACTCTATCATGGTATCCAGGACGTGTGGCCGCGCGGTACATATGTCGTGGGCGATATGAATTCGGATACCAACCACGTTCGGCGACCTCGCCAGGTTTCATGTTCTGACAATGAGGCAACGAAAGATCTCTCGCCCTCAGCGCTCGCAGATTTTGACTTTGACTTGGGGTCCGGAGCATCAAATCTCGATTCGAAGCAGGAGGTCAACGTTCTATCTGCAAACACACCCCTCGAATCTCTTGGTATGACCAGAACCACTCCTGACACGAGTTCTAGCCAGCCGACTCAGTGTTTGGTGGCAGTAGCTCAAGACAATGAGTCCGAGTTTGGATGCCTCCTTGATCATGATCAAGATCAAGAAAAGCTAGCTGTGCCACAAACTTCGGATGGAAAGCAAGGTGCGGTCGATGGGCATGGCTTGCGCTGGGCGGACCGACCCTCCGGTTGCCCAATTTATTCTAAAGAATGGAGACGACAAGTCAGAAAGGCCGGCATTTGGGGTAGCCAACCTGAACACACTGATAGTGTGGAAAATGCCAACGATATTCAGAAACTCGACTCTATCGCCTCTTCTGAAATTTCTTCAAAAGAATTTGCAGACGACAATAGTAGAAGGAGACATGGGCAGCATGAGCCACCATCGCCACAGAGCTGTCTGCCCACAACTTGTCTACCGCACAAGCAGGAGACCGCCAATGCCACAATGATGGAGGGAAGTACGATGCTGGCACGGCAGAAAGAAAAGTGTACAGAGCGTAAAGCCAAGAAGAAGAAGAAGAAGAAATTTGCCAGGATCAGAGCCTGGATCTTGAAGTATAGACGATCTGCGGAGAAGATATCACCAGTGTCTCCGGAAAACATCTCCCATTCTGCCGCCACATCCACAGCAACGCGACTACGTGGTGGAGGGAAGAAAATCTCGAATATGAGAGGTCGCGTTTTATTGTCCTCATCAATCTACATGGCCGAGCCCGAAATCCTGACAGATATCAAAATACGACGCGGTGCTCATATATCCAAGACACCAAATAGACCCCGATAGACCGGAGAATGAAGGCATAACCCAGTGATATCGTCCCATCCAAGCCATGGGCGACAAATCTACGGACAGAATTGGGCGCGGCGGAGAGCGTGTCGTTATTCCCGTATCATGGATCGTCTGACGCTCAGTGCAAGGACAGAGGTGAGGGGATGGATAACAACACGATCAGCCAACATCACAAGACGCCTCGAAACCAACTGAGGGGGTGTTTTGAAGATGCACTGCGCATCACAGACAGTTGGAAGCCGAATGAAACTAGAGCTAGTTCCTAACAGCGCACTCCGCCAGCCATCGTCGTCGTCGCCGTCGTCGCCGTCGCACGGCCTGACCCCTGCAAGACCCAAAGCTGCCTCTATCGCGTCTGGGCGCGGATGCTCGCAACCACCACGAGGCCTCTTGTCCAATATCCTAATCCACCAACCTGGCCGAGAGTGCATATATCCAGGCTTAGGACGAGCAACGAATATTGGAGGTGGACACGAGATACTGCTCCCATCACTTGACATAGCGGAAGCGACAGTTCGCAAATCATGTGCCCATCCGCATCGTGCTGGCCAATGGTCGCGCCATTAGTGGGCGAGTGTGTTGGTGTGTTGACGTGCAAGGACACTTAGCTTATGAGGGGCTCAAGGAGCACCATCAGTCTGGCGAAGTAGCGCCTAACAGTATTGCTTTGGCCGAGGCTGAGCTACTAAGGGTGTTGCAGATCCTACCTCACCCGGGAGTGGCTACCTCTGCTTAGAAGAGGAGAAGCGAATTGAAAAGACCGCCGAAGAGGAGAAGCGAACTGAAGAGCCCCCGAAGAACAGCAGCGTCGACTCCAAGCCAGCAACAGGAACACAACCAGTAAATACCACCAGCACGACCCAGGGTATATGCTTGCGGGCGTTTGGTCTTCTCGTTCACCACGAGCATTTGGCCCGGGATGAGGTGCAATCACATCAGTCTCGCATCACAAACATGAGTATATTTCACTGACCTGCAATACCACGTATGCAAGTCAATGCGGAGCACAAGCACACCGCCATGCCTCCGTCGTCGAAAGTAAAACCCCAAAGAGGGTTGAACCCCGGGGTAGATTGCGGGGTTGTACCAACTGGCCGATGCCGGTGCCGCGTGCCATGAAGGGCTCCTCGGCTCCTATGGTTTCGGGCCACGTCGGACGGGGTATAGGCACATGGAAGCTACCAGCGCTACGGGCGGCTTGCAGGGCTCTGGGCTCCTGAGGATGGCGCACGAGACACAGATGAGACAGGATGAACATGAACTTCGGTCCATGGTGCATTGTCTGATGACCTGGAACTGGAACGGGAAACACTGCCAAGGCCGGTTTGGGGCTATGCCTCGTCAGGAAAGGCTTCTGTTGCTTGAACCAACGTCGTCGGATGGTCTGATTGGCCAGCCGGCTTTCCACATGTCAATCTTATTTCGCGCCTCCCACCGTCCAACCGGTCGAGGAGCTTCGACACCGACCGACAAGTCGGCAGTGATCATCTGCTCAGATGGACGCATCATCACTTCTGTTGGCCGAGGCAGCAGCGTCCGTCACAAGCCACCTTACCGGCTCATTTACCGCATTGGAAGTCTAATCCTCAGCCTGGGTGATGAGACGGCATTCCAATTCTAACATTACGGGACCGCTCAAACACGACAATGATACCTACTTCCTGCAGCAAAGCCTCCAGACCGCGCGTAAGCTTCGGCGGAGCTACTCTCTCTTGCAGGGAACACCCTCTATCATATCAATGGCAATCAACATGCGTGGAGCTGATCGAGTTGTCACGAAGGATGGATATCATATGAATCATGAATTGCCCATTTCCACACAGTTTGAGTTTTCTGTTCTGTTGACATGCGGAGCGTTTAGTCGTAGACGGCCGACCTCGAATGTTGACTGCTCATATCTTTGACCTCTTATCTTGATTTATACTACCCATATCCAGGTCACGTTCATTCTCGCCATATCCTGGACACGCTCTCTCAAAATGATCTCCGGTATCAACATTCTCGCCTATATTCTGCTCTGCACCACCCTCGCCCACGCTGTCCCATTACAATTGAATGAAAGACGTGATCTCGCCCACGTCATCCCATTACGACTGGATAAACGAGGTGGTCTCCCGGCCTTCCCAATACGATTGAATAAAAGAGGTAGGTAGTCTCCCGCCCCTTTTTTTCCTGACCCCCTTTCTTCTCTCTTCTCAGCTGTACGAGTACAACGAAAACTAATCAACAATCATGATCATCAACCTATAGCCATATCGCAGGATCTGCTCGATACTTTCTCCCTGTACGAGCAGTACTCGGCGGCCGCCTACTGTGCAGACAACAACGTGCCCAGCTCCAACGGCACTGCTATCACTTGTGTCGCTGGGAATTGTCCGCAGGTCCAAGCGGACGGAGCGGAGTCGGTTATTGAATTCCAAAAGTACGGCCGTGGGTTTGGTTTGTTCTTATTCTTGTTCTTGGTTTTGGTTCTTGGTTTTGTTCTTTCGAGGTTCTGTCCTGTCCTGTCCTGTGCCGTGCTTTGCTTTGAACCCCTGGATGACGGCAACTTGTTACATGGATGCTGATCTGATGTTAATCTACCCTCACCCTAATCCCAACCCTACAAGAATGATGGTCTGATTTGAGTCCACCCTGACCCTAATCCTACAACAATACTGATGTCAATCTACCCTACCCTTAATCCTACAAGAAATGCTGGTTTCAATCTACCCAACCCTAACCGTACAAGAATGCTGGTTTCAATCTACCCTGACCCTAATCCTACAAGAATGCTGATTTCAGTATACCCTGATCCTAATCCCACAACAATACTGATGTCAATCTACCCTACCCTTAATCCTACAAGACTGCTGATGTTAATCCACCCTGACCCTAACCCTACAAGAGATGCTGATGCTGATCTGATGTTAATCTACCCTAACCCTGAACCCACGAGAATCCTGATGTTAATCCACCCTGACCCTAATCCCAACCCTACAAGAATCCTGATGTCAATCTACCCTAATCCCAATCCCGCAACAAATGTCAATCCACCCAACCCTAACCCTACAAGATTGCGGATCTGATGTCTTGCTGATGCTAATGCTAATATCAATCCCCAGTATCGGCTCTGGAGACGCAACAGGCTTCGTCGCCCTCGACCACACAACCCAACAAATCATCATCTCCTTCCGCGGCAGCCAGTCTCTACAGAACTTCGTCGCCGACGCCGAATTCCCGCTGTCCCCCTCGACCATCTGCACCGGCTGCGAGGTCCATACTGGGTTCCTGGACTCCTGGACCAGTGTTAAGTCGTTGGTTCAGGGGGCGGTCGAGACAGCTCGCACCACTTATCCTTCCTACGGGGTCGTGTCGACCGGACATAGTTTGGGCGCTGCGTTGGCGACGTTGGCGGCTGCTGATTTGCGGAATGGAGGATATGGGGTTTCGCTGGTTGGTGATCTCTGCTTGTTCTATGCCAATTACTGTCCCTTTACGTTGTCCTTGGCTTGTCTACCGCCTCCGATCTCTGGCTTGTTCTATTGCAACTACCGTCCCCTTCCCTGGCTTGTTCCATCCCAACTACTGTCCCCTTAGCCCTGGCTTGTCCTATTCCAAGTACCGTCCCCCGATCTCTGGTTTGTCTACCGTCCTTATCTCTGGCTGCTTCTATGCCAACTACCGCCCCCTTTCCTTGTCCTCTAATTATTCCTATGCCAACAGCCGTCCTCTTGACCTTGGTTTGTTCTACCGTCCCCATGTCCTTGGCCTTTTTCGATCCAACTACCGTACCCTTGACCCTGGCTTGTTCTACGGTCTTCTTTCTCTGGCTTGCCCCATTCCAACTATTGTCCCCTTCACCTTGTCCTTAGCTTGTCCCATTCCAATCACCGTCCTCCGATCTCTGGTTTGTCTACCACCCCCTTCCCTGGCTTGTTCTACCGGCCCCTTGTCCTTTGCTTGTCCTATGCCAACTACCGTCCCCCTATCTCTGGCTGGTCTACCGTCCCTTCCTTGGCTTGTTCTTGTTTTACCGCCCCCTTCACCTTGTCCTTAGCTTGTTCCATCCCAAAACAACTCCCATTCAGAATCTAACCCTGCCGTCCATCCATGTATATAGTATACCTACGGCTCTCCAATGGTCGGCAACATCGCCCTAGCGACATTCATCACCGCGCAAGACGCCAACTTCCGCATCACCCACGCCAACGACCTTGTGCCCAAATTGCCCGGCTACGGCTTAGGCTATGCCCACGTCTCGCCCGAGTACTGGATCACCTCTGCGACGGGTGTGGTCGTGACCGTCGATGACGTGCAGACTAGTGAGGGCGTAGTCGACGTTCAGGGCAATGAGGGCCAGCCTGGGGGCGATCTGGGCGATCATTTGTTCTACTTTAATGAGGTTGCTGCTTGTGGGCCGGACGTTTTGGGTTTGGAGGGGTTAGTGTGGGGGGGTGAAGTTGAAGCTGTGCAGTTGAAGCTGTGAAGCTGTGAATCTGTGAATCTGTGAATCTGTGAATCTGTTGTGAAGCTGTGAGCTGTGAAGTTGTGAGGCTGTGATGCTGTGATGCTGTGATGCTGTGAAGGGGTGAAGTTGTGAAAAGATAGATGAGATGAGTTGGGATGGGATTCGATGGTGTCAAAGGTTGGAATGTTCCATGTTCTCTATCAAAGGGTCGTAGGGGGAGCGCATGCTATATAGTGTATAGTATGCCTATACTAGCCTTCTGGTTAAAAGAGCAAGGCTGGGAATGCCTGAGTTTGACAGTGGGATGGGATTTGGTGGGTCCTTGCTACCGTTACCGTGACTATGACAGTGATTGTTACCGTTACCGTTACGATGTGAAGTGCTTTATGTAGGTAGGTACCGGACGAATGAATGGTGGACCACCTGCAGTCATGTAAGATCCTGTACTATAATCTACTGTATCATATATGTGCAGATTGGAAACCATTTTTCCAGGAATCGTATGTAGTATGTGGTATGTGGTATGTGATATGTGATATGTGGTTTGTGTATGTGGTATATGCTATGTGTTTGTGTATGCCCTTGGGTTATTTTTGTCTCTAAGAGGACCGTACGATGTATATGATGTATCCGATATGAGGTCGGTGAGGTCGGTAGGTTGGTGGTAAATAGTAGTATATGGATGATTATACTGAGATTCTAGCAGAATACTCAGCAACAGTCTTGACCTCCTCTAGATTTAGTTGAACTCCGTTTCTAGACCTAAGCATCCCCATCCTCATCCATATTCCGATCTTGCTCCGACCCTGCTCTGATCCTGTCCTGGCATTTGACCTGAGCCATGACTAATCCTCAGGTATGCCTTGGGTGCTTTTCTAATAAACTCCCGTACACATATTCACGAAACCTCCAACATCAGATCAAACACGAATCATATTATAGCTTAAGACTGATCAATCACATCATGCTTGACCTCCTCAGTCGCAGATCCAGATGGCAATTTGCTCCGAGACCTTGGCCTTGGATCTGAGTTCGGGTCGGACTTAGGCTCATTGATGGACCTCCACTCTCCCGCAAAGGCACTGATAAATGCAACGCCACTCACGGCAGTAGTGAAAATCCATGCGTCTCTAAGACCGATCATGTATGAGGCAACAACGGCCGCAAGGTCTTGAGGGTTTGGGAAGGCTTGTCGTAGTCCAGTGGCCCCTGCAGCCAGCACGTGCGCCGGAGTGACCACAGAGTTACTGTTACCAACGGGGAGCGTGTCGATGAGGCGATTGTTGAGGATGGCCTGACCAGTCGACACACCGAAACCTCCGCCAACAAATTGGGCAACTGTCGTGATAGACCTCCGAATTAGCTTTCATATCCTCAGGAGTCGACCGCGTCAGAAGCAACCAAGAGAAAACTTACACATGACCATGCCTACAGTGACAGATAAATCTTGTCGGGTTGAGACCCTCTGAGCAACCATGGGTGGAAGCTGAATGACCATGCCCTGCCCAACACCTGCAATGATTTGGTATCCAATCCAATGTCCGGCCGACGAACTTGGATGCAAAGTATAGTATAGACCAGATCCAATCGTGATTAAAGTGCCACCTAGCCAAAGGAAAGGCTGATAGTATCCAACCTTTCCCAGCATGATGGAACCGCAGAAAGCTGCCAAGGCTTTGTTGGGTGGCCGACGTTAGTACAATTGCTTTGAAATAGGGTTCGACTTTCCATACAAAATGACAGCACACTGGGAATGGTGCGGACGCCGCTGTTCGATGGCGAGACCCCTTGGACCGCTTGAAAGTAAATGGGAAGGGTGTATGTTCGGGAGACCCCACCGGCGTTGGAGCTTGGACACAAATAGTCAGTCTCAACATACTGTACACAATCCCAAGCTTCTCTTCTTGACTTACACGAGGCTGTACAGGGTACATGCTGCAATGGTACGGTTCTTCAAGAGTCGCTTTGGAACCAAGGCAGTGTCACCCTGTATCCACTCGGCGACAATGAAGGCGATGACAAGCAGCCAGAAACCAACGAGCAGACCAATGGAGAAGCTTGAGCTCCAGGCGCGCTTTACACCACCCTCCTGCAGCACGAGCAGCAAGCAAATCCAGAACCCGAGCCCCAACAGTACTCCCAAAGCATCAAACTCGCGATGATACTGTCTCCATGGTGGAGCATTCCCAGATCGAGATTGGGGCGGTGTACTGAAGAGAAAAAGGATGACGAGAAAGGCGACGCCGCCAATAGGCAAGTTGATCCAGAAGCACCATCTCCAGGTAAGATCTTGGGTGAAGACTCCACCCAGCACCGGGCCCAAGACAGACACACAAGCCCAAATGGCGCCAAACAGTCCCATCACCATGGATGAGTGGGAGGGCTGCACGATGAATGCGGTGATGATATAGCATCCTGAGGTGAGACCTGCGCCACCGAGACCCTGGACGGCCCGACCAGCGACGATGGCGACACTCTTGGGAGCGAGAGCGACCAAGAGACTCCCAATCTCGAAAGTAAAGATGCAGGAAAGGAAGACAATCTTTAAAGGAAAGTATTTGTATGCCTTACTCCAGACACCTTGAAACATGGCCAGGCACATGAGGAAGGCGGAGCCATACCATCCGACCTGGTCGACACTGTGAAAATCCTTGGTGATGGTAGGAATGGCGGTGGCGATGATGCTCTATGGAGAATGTTTGTTAGCCTGCTACTAACCGCAAGAGAAGAGGTGTCTACGGAGTACGGAGTACTTCGTACCACATCGAGGGCAACAATGAACATGGCGAGTGTCAAGGCAATGACCAGGATGGCTTGTTTGAGAGCGCCTGGGTACGAAGGCGCGGTTGCGGGGGTCGTCTGTGACTGCATTTCTGCTTCTGCTTCTGCTTCCGGGTCTGCTTCTGCTTCCGGGTCTGCTTCTGCTTCCGGGTCTGCTTCTGCTTCCTCAGTGGCTTCTTTGTCTCGGAGGGGGTGAATCTGATTGTTCAGAGACGAGGCATGGTCGGATGGGCGGTTCGAGAGAGAATCTGTCCATGTCAGATACTCAACCCCTGCAGGTGACCAGGAGAAAATGCCGGTACCTTCTGCCATAATGAACCAACAGTATCAGCAGTCTTTCCACGATGATAAGCCTCCAAACATGGGCAGATGTGAGAAGTGATGGATGCTGGATGCTGGAGGTACGAAGTACCGAGCATGAGGCGGTGTCACCATGGCCACACTCTAGGTTCTCGGTGCTCGGGTTTGGTGGGTTCCTAGGTCGTTCCAAGTCCTGGTCGGTTCCTGGTCAGTTCCCTTGTCAGTACTATGATCAACAGCTACCGGGTAGGTGCCAGGTATGTGTATGGAGTATGGAGCAGGGTACCCGTACAGCTCAAATTACTCGTTTCCAACGTTGAAATGGCAAATGATGCAAGGGGGTGGCGTCACTCAAACACCAAACACCACTGCAACCAACAGGGACTGGAGGAATAGTTGTAGTTTGGGGTGGATGGTGGAGTGTGATTGTGATAGTGATGGTGATATGAGGGTTGCATCTGCGTCTGCGTCTGGTCTGCGTCTGGTCTGCGTCTGGCCTGCGTCTGGGCCCGCGGGCTGGAGACTTGGGCAGGCACTCACGCTACACATGCAAATCACAAATATCAAATGCTACGCTGTACGGAGTACTGTACGAGTAGTGGCACAATCGCCGAACGCTGAATGCCTGCTCTGCTGTTCTAGCTCCGGCTATGCTGCGCCTGTCCTGCACCTACTGTACACCTACATCAACACCTACACTAACACCAACACCGACAACTACACCTACCTACACCTACCTATACCTACTGTACCTACACCGACCTATACTGCCCTACACCGACACCACCCTCCTCGTCTCCCCTAGGCAATCGTAATTAAACAACAGCCGATTCACACACGCTCGCCCAAAGTCCGGCAGTTCCTCCTCCGCCAGATAATCTCTGACCATCTTCCGCGTCTCCCCACTGAGCTCATACTCGACTCCGATCGTACGACTCAACAGCTGCACTGCACTCGCCCTCGGTCTACGAAGGCGATCCCACACCTGTAACCGTCCCGTCACCTCGCCCACGTCCTTGACTCCCTCCATGACCACCCCTAAGGCTCCTGCATCCTCGATCGCCATGCCCGCACCGTTGCCCAGGGTCGGCAGCATGGGGTGCGCAGCGTCGCCGAGCACGATCAGGTGGTCCTTGTGGTAGGTAGGCAGAGGGTCACGGTCCATCACTTTCCAGAGGTACATGTCGTCTTCATTGCAGCAGTCGAGCAGTTTGAGGAGAGAAGGGTGCAGGCTCTGGATGCGGTCGAGGGCGATTTGTTTGCACGTCTGCGTTTTCCATTTCTGCTCGTTGGCGGCAAGCTCGTTGGCGTTGTCGGCGGCGTAGAAGCCAAAGTTTTGCTCGAGGTTGCTGTCAAGAGCGCCATGTTAGGAGGCTCCTGTACGCGTACGCATACGCATACGTATACGCTGCGAGTGATAGTGATGTGACTTACTCCCGACATGGATATCGCAGAATCATGCGATCTCGTCGTGTCCCAAATGTCACAGAGGTTCCATTGGGGGCCAGCTCCAAGTACTCCCGTAATTCCTGGTCCTCCAGCAGTGCCTGAGTTGGCACGCACACCCGCACATTGCTGATTCCGCTCCGCTTCGCAGGTCTCTCTTCTCCATCTTCCACAATGACCTGGTGGGCTTTCGACTTCACGCCGTCCGCCGCCACGATGAAATCTGCCCTTGACACCTCTCCATTCTGCCGTGTAATCGAGCCCGCCGGGTCAAACTGCATGACCGAAACTCCCTCTACAATCTCCACCGGCACACCTGCGCCCTCTTTGCTGGTGGCCAGCTCTCGGAGACAATTGTGCAGGTCCACGCGGTGTACCGTCATCCACGGCGCCCCGTACTCCTTCTCGAGATTGGCCAACGATGACTGCCATAGCACTTGAAATGGCTGCTGTGCTGGTGCCGCTGGTGCCGCCTGGATGATTACCTCTTCGGTGCAGTACACCATACGAGCCCTCTGGAAGTCGACACCCAGGCTTCGTAGCACCCTATTTGCATTGGGGGATACCGTTACCGCGAAGCCGACCTCGCGCTTGTTGCTGTACTTTTCCAGCACGGTGACTTTGTGGCCAGCTTGACGAAGTGCTACTGCAGCAGCCAGGCCACCGATGCCCGCCCCGATGATGATCACAGTCAGTTGGAGAGGCATATTGAAGACTACCTAGGTCATCCAGTGGTATACAAGACAGAAGCGTGATCATTTAGACGACAGGAGTGCCAGGCCAAGACCTCTCCAGCACTCCGGCGATATTGAACATGGCCGAAAGTATAGTATCAGACAGTCAGTGTTTAGGGATGGTCCAACTTCTGGACAGTCAGTGGACACCATGTCAGGCTACTGCAGTCAGTGATGGCCCTGGACCAGTTCGGCGATTTCGGGGTTTGCAGTACAAGTTCACCGGTAAGGTATAAGATCAATCAGCAACATACTGTAATCAACAATGACAATGGCCTTGACCTTCAGCGCATCATTCTCGCATTTAAGTTGAAGATGCTTACCCCCTTGTTTCTAGCTTGTGCCGTGGTAGGCCTCATCTGGTTTCTTGCAACACCCTTGCGGACAGGACTATGGCGCTTTCCGGGACCATGGTGGCGGCGGTATACAGGTTAGCCACCATCACCACCTGCTCCTGCTGATATTTTCTTGTCTTTTATCAGCTCTAACACGCCATCAGATCTATTTCAAGTGCTCGACACATACCACGAGCGAACTCGTCTGGCCATCGGGCGCCTGCACAAGGAGTACGGCCCTGTGGTCCTAATTGGTCCACGCACCCTCATTTTCTCCGACCCAGCCATGATTGAACTGGTGTATAGCAACAGGTCACCACTTCCCAAAGTAGGTACATGATCAAATTGCCATGCAGATTTCACAATGCCTGGCCTGGCCTGGACGGGCACCGGCAACTTATCGCACGAATCATTGCTAAGTGTAGGCTATCGAATCTCCTCTTAGAGCCATCACTTTAAGCCGTTGCGACACGAGGTTAACGGCGTTGTTTATCCAAATATCTTGGCCATGGAGAGTCCCCAAGATCATGCGACCATTAAACGGCCGATTGCCGCCATCTATTCCATGTCCAACGTGACCAAGTCGGAACGCTTCATCGACGAATGTATCCTTCAGTTTGTCCACCAGCTCGATCAAGAATTCACCGGCCCAGGCAAGGCGTTACCCGTCTACCCATGGGCGCACTTTTGTGGGCAGAAGCACATACTGTACTCGATTTGTGATTGATCACTAACATTCCTCTATAGTTGCGTACGATACCATCATGAAGATCACCGCCTCGGTCGACTTTGGACTCGTTCGAGGTGAAGCTGATCGAGAGGGTATGTTCCGGGGCATGCATGAAGCTCAAAAATTCCGAGCCATGGTAGGTTAGGTTCGGTTTCGGTTGTACAACAAGATATGCAGAGGCGACCGTTCGCTGACATGGCGGAAATGCAGGCCGTCTGCATGCCTTGGATGTTCGAACTTCTCAAGAGGACCCCGTTGACTACGGTCGTGCTCAAACGGATTGGTTCCTTCCCACGGCGAGCACGCGAGCTCATCCAAAGCAGGAGGGCCATGGGAGAAACAGTCACCAAAACTTATGACCGTGAGGATCTTCTTGATCAGCTTCTGGAAACGAAAGAAAAGTTTCCCCAGACGGTCGATGAGCTGGTCCTCCACGGCTACGCCACGACCCCCCTTTTCGCGGGTGGTGAGACGATCGCTGCCACCATCACCGCCGTAGTCTACTTTCTCGGCAAGCATCCCTCCGTCGCTGCCACACTGCAAGACGAACTGGCATCCTCCGGCCTCCAGATGCCACCACTCTGGGTCGAGGTACAGAAAATGCCCTATCTGGACGCTGTCATGCACGAAACCCTCCGCTGCCTTTCCCTCGGTGCCGCGCTCTCCCGTCGTGCCGTCCCAGCCGATCGTGCATTCATCCTCCCGGATGGTCGCCGAGTACCAACTGGCACGACCGTGGCCATGTTGGGCTGGGCGACTCAATTCAATCAAGACATCTACGGCACGGACGCGCAGGAGTTCCGGCCAGAGCGCTGGCTTATAGGTTCTACGGAGACCCCAGAAGCGTATGCGGAGCGGCTACGCAGGATGAACAAGGCCGACATGACCTGGGGAGCGGGTGACCGGGCCTGCTTGGGGAAGAATATTGCGCGGTGTGAGTTGTACAAAGTTGTGGCGACACTGTATTCCAAGTTTGAAGTGAGTGTTTCTTTGTCGGTCTTCGCGCGCACGAGGAACTTGGACTTGAACTGCATCGGACTGACAGTCACATTTGCGCAGATTCAACTGGTAGACCCGACGAAGGAATGGACGCTCAGGGAGGCTCTGGGGGTGAAGCCAGATGGTGTGGAGGCGAGGCTTAGTTTGAGATCGGGTGCAAGCGTCGATCAGCTTCGAACTTTGAGCGAAACAAGGTAAGGTGGAGATGGAGATGGAGATGAAAGTCAACAGATAAGGCATTTGGTCTCAAGCTCAACGACACCTCCCATCTAGCTCGACATAGCCAGGACGTAGGCCTTAGAGAACAAGGAAGCTGTCAGCCAGCTGTCTCTACTCTATTCTAGTTTGCGAGGATCCTAGAACCTATTACGCTGCGCAGCAGTTCAAGGTGATGTACTCCGTATTCATCCGTGTGATTCATCCATTCATGTACTGGGTGGTAACCTGTCAAACTTAGGCGCATTCCCAGCCTTGTTCTTCAACCAGAAGGCTAGTATAGGCATACTATACTAATGTATATAGCCTGCAATCTCCCTGCGACCCTTTGAAAGCGAACATGGAACCTTTCAACCTTTAACAGGAGTTATTTGTGTTTGTTATTGTCATTATCATTGTTATTGTACTATAGGTCGTTGTACGGAGTACTGTAACTAAGTTCTCTTCAATTTCACCACACATTTCTCCCCCCTAAGTTCACGCTTGGCCACCATTTCCATCCCCACCAGCACCTTATCCAAGCCACCACCACCGCCGGCCTCGGCCTCGGCCTCCAGCACCCTCACCGGATGATGAGCCAGCCTACCCCCATCCAACAACCGCTGAGCCCACGCCCACAGCCTCGTCCCGTAGACCAGCAGCTCAGGACTCGGCGGCCGCGCATACGGGTCGGGCCACACGCAGCCCTCGCCGAAGAGAGACGGGCCCAGCACCCAGTCGGTCTTGACGGTGGCGCGGGTGGCGGCGCTGGCGGTGAACGGGTCTAGTGAGACGTATTTGCCGCCGGCGCGGCCGAGGGCTTTGAAGCAGAACGTGGTAGATTCGATAGTGGTGATGCAGTCGAGAGCGTAGCGGAGGTTGTTTTTCGTGTAGGTTTTCTGGGGGGAGTTAGCTATCATGGTGTTATATCGCGGTATCAGTATCAGTATCAGTATCGGTGTTGTAGTATTATAGTATCATTGCTCTGATGCTGGTGATAGTGATGGTGATGCTCATTCTGATGATACCGATGCTGGTGCTGATGCTGATACTGATACTGATACTATCCATGCTCATGCTTGTGCTGGTGGTACTGATACTGATACTGGCTCAAGTAATCCACTTACTATCTGATTCGCACAATCTGGCTCATGGTAGTCAAACGTCGTCTCGGCCCCGTAGGATTTCAGCCGTTCCGCATGGACAGGTGAGCAGGCGGTGATGGGGATCATGTCGATACTATTGACAAGCTTCCAGTCAGCCTCAGTCAGGATCAGTCTCAGTCTCAGTCTCATCACGTTGTCGGTCTTCGTCTGGGTCTCGGCATCGACCTCAGCTTTGGTGATATTGTTATGCCGACATTTTAATCAATTTCAATGTTGATGTTGATGTTGATGTCCGATATGACTTCAGGAGTTCAGGAGGAAGAGGAATAGAAATGGAAGGGCACTAGTCTTGTTCTTGTTCTGGTTGTCCTCAGACTTATACTCACAGTTTGAGTAGCTGGATGGCAATGGTCGCGGTGGCAGTCCCGCCGCCGTAGACGAGAACGTAGGCCGGCTTCTGCTTTTGTATTTGCTTCTTCTGCACAGAGGTAGGGGTGTGACCGTGACCGTCTCGATCGGTGTCTAATGTCTGGCCGTCTGGACCTTGACCTTGACTCTGATCCTGACCTAGACCTAGATCAGAGTCAAGGTCAAGCTCAAAGTCAAATGGCAATTCGAAACCAAGAAGCCGCAAAGCCAGCCCAGCGGTACCGAGGCCCGCGCTCAACGTGGCGCCGCCCTCGGTGCTGACCTCATCCGGCAACTTGAGCCAGAACGGTCCGGTGGGAATGTTGAACTCGCCAAAGGCGGCGCGGTACGGTCTCTTCGCGTTCATTTCGTACTGGGCGCCACAGACCCGGTCACCAATCTTGATCACCGAGTCGGTGACGCCTGGCCCGCGAGCAACAACCGTGCCGGCGTAGTCACAGCCGAGCATGGCGCCGGGCGTGACGAAGTCGCCGCGCATCTTGGTGTCGCTGGGGTTGATGGCCCAGGCATCAGTCCGCACCAGGAATTCATGGATGTCGAGGACGGGGAGGGGGACGTCGTCGCGGATGATGATGCGGTCTCCTGCCTCGGCGACGATTGCATGTTGAAAGGGGGGTGGTATGAAGGCGAGGTTGGGGGTGGTCTCGCTACTATTTGATCCTGTTGTGGCGTTTCCATTTGGTTCAATTTTGGTGTTATCATTTGATCCCATTTTGGCTTGTTTGGGAGTCAGTCGGCCAGTCAAGCCAGTCAAGCCAGTCCAGTCAGTCAAGTCGTTCAAGTCGTTCAAGTCGGTCAATCAGTCAAGTCGATCAAGTGGTCAAATCGGTCAAGTAATAGTAATTCAAGTTCGTCTGTCTTTATCTTCAGCACTGAGACCTGAAGAAGCCGGACATGTTGAGGAGGGAGGGCGATGGGTTAGACTAGGGGTGGACTATACGTAGGATCGGGCTAGGGTTAGGGTAGGTTAAAGTCAGGTTAGGTTAGGGTGAGGGCCATCCAGAGTCAGGTTAGGGGGTTTTATGATAACAGTATCAGTATGTATACTATACAGCAATAGACCAATAGACGAAGATCAGTACGAATACACCAATACACCAAGATCAGTACGTGCAGCAATAGACCAAGATACGGATACAGCCATACACCAAGATCAGTACGGATATAGCACAGTAGCTATCTTGCATTCACACCATCTATACATACTATACTATTCTATTGTATACACACTATACATACCACACTACCACACAATTCTACGGAGTATAGTATACCATACTCCTCGGATGAAGGAAAGGAAAATGCTGAAATACCACACCACCCTACTATAGTATACTTACTCCTCGGACGAATGAAGAAAAAAAGTAAAGGAAGCTATGGATATGGGGTTATGTTAGTATTAGTGTTGGGCCTGTATCTGCACCTGCATCTGCAGCATCCTACACTAAGAACTAAGTAAGTACTACTAAGTCCATCCAGGCAAGGTCTGCATCCTGCACTAAGTACTACTAAGTCCATCCAATCCAGACAAGGCAAGGCATGGCATGCATACATGTCCGACCCGGCACCCATCGTGTCATATTATCTTTCGGTGTTTTTAGGTGTTTTTCGGACAATTATGCACCCACCAACCCAACCCAACCGAATTGAGATTCATCATTATGGCAATGAGTGTGAGTGACGAACGGAGTTGGAGTAGGCGATAGGGGATCGAGGATCTAGGTTCATGATCAAGGAGCGAAGTGGTGGATTGAATTTCACTGCGCCGAACACAAGATTCCGAGTAAGATCCAAGACTAAGTCCGATCCTGACTCTAATCCTGGTCCTGATCCTGATCCTGATCCTAAGTAACTGCTTGGTGTCTAGGACTCAAGGTATACTGTCAAACACTTAGGTACGGCATCATATGATATCACATGCGAAGAAGTGGAAGTAAAAGCAGGAGCAGAACCAGAAGCAAAAGCAGAGCCAAAAGCAAAGGCAAAAGCAAAAGCAGAATCAGAATCAGAAGCAGAAGAAGAAGAAGAAGCAGCAGCGCTTTAGTTCGACCGGTCATAATCAGAATCAGAGATCAGATCTCAAAGACTAGATCAGACACCGAACCAGGCACCAAATCAGAGCAGAAACCAAACCAAAGCAGAAACCAAACCAGACACCAATGTCCATCATGACACCCCTAGAAACTCCAGCTCCTGCTTCATCTCCTACTCCAGCTCCTGCGCCTACTTCAACTCCAACTCCATCTCCATCTCCTGCTCCAGCCGGTCCAAAGAAAAAAGCACTTCTCTGCTTCCACGGCACTGGCGCCAAAGGATCCATCTTCCACGTACAGATGGCGAGAATCTGCTACCAGCTCGGCGATACCTTCGAGTTCATCTTCCTCGAAGGCCCGCGCCAGTGTGGGCCCGGACCTGGGGTGTTACCCATGTTCGCTGGACAAGAGCCGTATCATGGCTGGTTTGGCGGTCACGACGTGAGCATTGACGATAGTATTCGAGAGATCAACGCTGCGGTGCGGAGGGGGTTAGAGAAGTGGAAGAAGGGGAGGATGAGAAAGAGAAATGGTGATGGAAATTTAGATCATAATCATGATCAGAATCATGATCGGGTGGGAGATGATAAGGGTTTGAATGGTGTTGGTGGTAAAGATATGAATGGTGAGGTGGGTGGTAAGAATTCGAATGGTGTGAATGGTGATGTGAATGGTGGTGTGAATGGTGGTGTGAATGGTGGTGGTGATGACCTCGACCTCGACCTCGATATCGTCGGCGGCATCGGCTTCTCTGAGGGAGGGCTTGCGCTGATCTTGATGCTGTGGCTGCAACAGGAGCAACAGCAACAACAAGAACAAGAACAAGAACTGCAACTGCAACTGCAACAGCAGAAACAGCAGCAACAGGAGCAACACCAACATCAACCTCAACCTCAACAGCAACAACAAGAACAGTACCAACAAGAAGAGCACCAACAAGAAGAGCACCAACAACAAGAGCACCAACAAGAAGAGCACCAACAAGAAGAGCACCAACAACAAGAGCACCAACAACAAGAGCACCAACAACAAGAACACCAACAACGAGAACGAGAACAGGAGCAGCAACAACACCACCAAGAGAACCAACACCAACGCCAACTCTCACTCCCACCCCTACCGTTCAAGTTCAAGTTCGCCGTGATCAGCTGCTGCTTCTTCCCGCGCGAGGCGTCGGTGTGGATGAACATGCGGGCTCAATTGCGGGCTCAGTCGCAGGCGCAGGCGCAGGTCAAGACAGTGTCATCAGCAATAACAGGTACAAACTTGGTTGCCTCAACACCACCAGGCACGGACACAACAACACACTCGCTCTCACCTTCAACAGACACAGGCACAAGCATACCTACCTCAGCAACACCCTCACACTCGCTCTCACCCTCAACAGTCATACCTACCTCAAAAGGCACAAACTTACCTACAGCTCTCATCGATATTCCCACCCTCCATATCCACGGCAATCGCGACTTCTGTCTCGGCCGCGCCCGCCAGCTAGTGCGGAACCATTACCGGCCGCAGATGGCCACTGTCGTCCAAGTCGACACTAGTCATCACATGCCGACGCGGAAGGAGGACGTGGCTGAGGTGGTGAGACAGATTCGAAGATTGGCAAGTGGAAGCGGAAGCGTCAGCGCAGAGTAGGACAGCCCTAACCCTAACCCTAGGATGGTTAACCCTACCCCTACCCCTACCCCTAACCCTAGGGTAGGATACGATAGAATATGATAGATCAGCGTCAGCGCCAGCGTCAGTGTCAGCGTAGGATACGATATGACTGTCACTAGATAAATAAATACCATGCAGTGTCGAACCTGTCAAAGGGAAATGTTCCATGTTCCATGTTCCTGTTCGCTACCTACCTATCAAAGGGGTATAGTATGGGGAGCCTCAGCAGACTATATAGGGATGCCTATACCAGTCTTCTGGTTAAAGAACAAGGCTGGGAATGCCCAGGTTGGTGCCGAAGTTTGACAGAAACAGGTTCAAAGCTGAGGTAAATACACCTAGCAGGTGCTAGTATGTCAAAGGAGGACTTGTAACCCTAACCCTAACCCTAACGTAGCCTCTAGTACTCTGTACTCTAGTACCTACCTAAAACCTAACCCCTACCACTACCTCCCTCCAACGTCGTATCTGTCACCCTCAACACTGGATTCCTCGCAAACGTGTTCAGCATGGACAAATATGCCTGCATCACCGCCTCCGCCGCTCCAGCCCCATACCGCTCCTTTCGCAACTTCACCGTAATCAGCGGCTCTCCCTTGCTCGGATCATCCCCCATTTGCAACGTGATGTCGTACGGAGTCCCCGCCCGTGGAATGTTGGTGTCGACCATCTTCGCCGGCCCAATGCTGCCACTTTCCGTCTGCCCTTGCTTGTAGTCAAAGATGGCCTGGAAGAGCGGCGCCTGGGGGGAGGCGTCGGCGGCGCCCAGTTCAAGACGGTCCAGTATGACGGGCAAAGGAACCGCGCTGTGGAGGAGGGCCGCGCGCATCTGTTCTTTGGTGGCGCTGAGCGCTTCGTTGAAAACGTGCCCCGAGTCATAGGTCAGGCGTACAGGAAGATAAGACGCGAAAAATCCCATCGTGGCCTGGTCGCTGAGCGAGGCCCGGCCGGCGTCGGCAACACCAATGGTGATGTCTGCACAGCCGGTGAGGCGGGCAAGGAGGATGTGGAACGAGGCCAGGTAGAAGTGCATCGGGCTGACTTGCCGTTTGCGGCTGCGGTCCTTGATGCGCACGGCAACCATGCGGTTGAGCCGTGCCGAGACCTCGTGCGACGTCCAGTCGAGTGTTTCCGGGCTGGGGCCGGGGTTGGACGACTGGCTTGGCTGGGTGGTGCTGGAGGGAGAGCTGACGGAGACGGAAAGCAAAGGCAGGCGGGGTGGTCGGGTTTGAAAGAGGTCGGCCCAGTAGTTGAGGTCGGCATCCAAGGCGCCTGATGTGAGCTGGGTGCGCTGGCGGATGGCGTAGTCGAGGTAGCTGGGCGCGGATTCGGGTTGGAGTGGGAGGCCGCTGTAGAGCTGGCTTACCTCGATAAAAAGGTGTTCGGTGGTCCAGCCGTCGCCGACGAGCCGATGGTAGCCGATGACCAGGAGGTGATCGGTGGGCGTCCAGAAGTAGTCGATGATCTTGAGGGTGTCCCCCTTTTCGAGGTCGTACCTGACCCCCTGGAGGTCCCTGAATGCTTCGTCGGCAGCGTTCCGGTCTGCCACGCGCACCGATTGAAACGAGTTTCTGGCTGCTCTCATGATTGCTTGCACCGGTCGCACCGAGGACGAGGACGGGTTCGCGTCTGGATCCGGATCAGAGATGAAACATGTGCGGAATGCATCACTGCGCTGCAGAGCCTGATCAAAAGCCCAGTCGAGGCGATTCAGATCCAGAGGGCCTTGCATGTACATGCCAATCGTGCTGTTGAACGTGGCCGGATCCAGGGGGAGCTGCATCTGCTTCCACGTGTACTCTTGCATGAGCGAAAGCGGTCCGATCCGCTGGAACCCGTCGTCGGCCGAGGCTTCAGAAGGCTGAGAGGGCGGCGTCGGTATGCCACTATCTGTCCCACGTTCGATGGAGAAAGCAAAACTCTCATTGGACTTGGACGTACCGACAGTCGATGGTGATGGTGACGGCGCAGTCGGCGGTACGTCCCGGTCCTGGCTGATTGGCACCGTCACCGTCTCCTCGAGAGAGGTAGAATCCACCAAGGGAATCAAGTCGGGACTCAAGCGGGAGACAGCATCGTCCACCAAGTCGGTCACAGAGGCGCCGCCGAGAATCTTCAGCAAAGGAACGTCGAGGTTAAGATTCTTGCCGAACCACGAGGCGACTGTCACCGCGCTCAGAGAATCCACTCCCTGGTCGATCAGAGGCGCGGTCAGATTCAGCTCGTCGGTCGCCGCGAATAGCAAGGCTCCTCGAATTCGGCCAGACACGCCTGCGAGGATGATGGCGCGCACCTGGTCCAGGGTTTCGGCCTTGGCCAATTGATCCTTGAGCGATCCGACCGCCCCAGTGGCTTCGTCGCCGGTGGTATGACGGTCCGACAGCTTGAAGGCGGCAAAGCGCGGGTCATTGTACCAGGGAATTCGATCCTGGTCCTTGTCATCCATATGTACCATGCCCGTGACCAGCTCCACGTCGTCCAGCTCCCGGTTTCGGCCAGCCACCACAGCTTCTGCGAAGAGGGAATGGAGCTCCCACTCTTTGACTTCGTCGGCGAGGAACTTGCGGGTTTGCGTCTCGTTCTCACGTCCGGCGCGGGAAATGAAGCCGACCCCAATGACAGCACCGATGTCGATGGTCGATGCGGCCATGCCGCGAGCACGTCTTTGCTGGGCCAAAGCGTGGAGATACGCATTCGCCGCGCTGTATGCGGCTTGTCCCGGGTTCCCTACCACCAACACGATAGAGGAGAACATAACGAAGAAGTCCAGCGGGTTGGCCGGATCAGACAAACGTTCGTTCAACAGGCGCGCTCCGGTGACCTTGGGTGCCAGAACCATCTCCGTCATCGGGAGCTCCATGTTCTTGAACATGACGTCTTGGAGCAAGAGCGGTCCAAACGCCACGCCGGCGATTGGAGGCATCAAGGCACGCACCTCTACCAGACCTTTGTCCACCGAGGCTTCGTTGGAGACATCCCTGGTTTCACACGGTTAGCATGCTTTTTCTATCATACGTGCCATGACGCCAACATACATTGGAAGTACCATGACTCTCCCTCCCGAATGAGCAATGTCGTCGATCCAACGTTGGTCAATCTGAGGGACACGACTCGACAGCACGATATGGCGGGCGCCACGCCCGACCATGAATCGAGCGAGCGAACGACCCATGTCACCGGCAAGACCGATCAACAAATACGTCTTGTCTCCTACAAAGAGGTCGTCCGACTCAATGGGTCGGATGCGACTGGTAATGAGCTCGTCTGTTGCCCAGTCGATCAGGGCATTCAACTCAGGAGCACTCTTGGAAGACAAAACTTCATGGCCAGTGAGAACAGGGACAGACATCTTGTCGATATCGTTGCATTTGTGCACGGTTTCAACAGCATCGGCGAGGATCTGCGTCGCTGCTAGAGAGTTCAACCCAGTCATTGGTGTCGCACCGTTCTGGAACAGGTGGTCGGGCCGGCGGATTGAGCAGCTGGGTGGAAGGAATCTGACCAGTCGGCGACCCAAGCTTGCCGGGTTTGGATCGGCAACCAAATCGTATAGCACCGAAATGTTCGTTGGCAGCTTCTGGCGCAGGCTTCGTTCGGTCTCTCTTTGGTGTAGATGAACCCACCGGATTCCGCCCACGCTGGGCGCGGCCTTGGTGGAAGCAAATGTCAGGGAGATACCCGCAGCCGCGGCTTGATCGCGCAGACTCTCGATGTAAAAGCTTGGAGGGTCAAAGACGAGCATGTCAGCACCTGAGACGAGGTCCGACATCAGAGTGACGGCGACAATGTTGGCCGAGAGGCCCCCCAGGAGCGATGACTTGGCCCACTCTGCTCTATTTCCAACATGGATAACTTGGTGAGAAAGCACTCGGACTTGGGAAGCGTTCCTGTCCGACAAGGCCACCACGATCGTATCTTCGGCACCGGCGACGTGGCCCTGAATCAGATGATAGAACCCAAGTCGGCCGATACGGAGAGCCTGGGCGAGCGAAAACTGCACCTGGACCTTCACCGAGGTCTCGTCGGGGAACAAGGGTACAAACCGCTCCACATGGACTCCGAAGAAAGGCTTGGGCGTCCCTTCATCGTATTCTAAGCTCAGAATCTCTTTGCGGGGGTCCAGGTCGGCCAGGATGGGACGGCGGCCAGAGTTGAGTCGGTTGTTCCGGTCTACGTCGCGTTTGAGACGAGGGATCAGGACCTTGCCGCCAGACAAGTACAGCTCGGGCTCCTGTGTCCATAGAAGACCGCTGTCTTCCCACTTTGCGCCATGTTCCAGACGAAGTACAGTCTCGACCAGGAAACGCGGCTCCAGATCTCGAACGTTGTCAACATTCAGCACTTGGATCTGAATGTCGGGATATTCGTGGCGCAATGTACGAAGCAGGCCGATGGTCATGGCTTGCTGGGCATTCTCCACCCAAGCGTCTTCAGTCACCCACAAGACATGGTGAGCAGCGTTGAAGATGGTCTGTAAGGCGTCGAACTTTTCGTCGTCCAAGCCTGCAAAGGTATGCTCATCAAGCTCCGAGAGCACGATGAATGTCGACCCTGGATGTAAGTCAAAGTTGATGATGTCTCGGAGGCTGGGGACCGTGTCCCATTTGCGTGCCGGTAGGATGCCGGCGAGTTGAGCCACGAGCTCGGCTGTCTTTGGGGAAGAACCTCCGACGACAATCAGTGGCCCAACACCGTCCTCGAGCGGGGCAGTCAGGGGAGAATCCAGCTTCGCGACGAAGTCGTCGACAGCATGGCTGAGGAACACGCCGCTCGGGAAAGTCGTACTGTCCGGATCGAGAGAGCGGCTGTCAATGCCAGAGAACCCGGTCCTCTTCAATATTTTGTCCCATCCCTCATAGGGAATGAAAGGCTCCAGCACACGGCCGTCATCATGACCGGACCACCAGTCAGGAAACAGCCCGAAGATGAACCCCACACGAGTGTGCTCGCGGTGGGCAATTTCAATGACAATGAGCCGACCGCCCGGTTTCAACAAAGACCGGACGTTTGCCAGAGTCTCTTCGAGGTTGGGGGTAGCGTGGAGCACGTTGGACGCTGCGATCAAGTCGTATGAATGGGGCTTGAATCCCTGTTCGCTGGGAGGCCGGCGGATATCAAGGGCTTGGAAGTCCATCTTGTCGGCGTGTCGCTCAAACTCTTTGGCGGCTGGCTCGAAGAAGGTGCGGGAAATATCGGTGAAGGTGTAGCTGTTGAAAGAGAGCCGATCGTGGTTCAGGAATAATCGTGTCGCTCCTCCTGTGCCCGCTCCTGTTGTACCTGTTAATTGACATTGTGCTGGGAAGCCATGTGGAATACGTACCAACTTCAAGAACGTCCATGTTCGGGTGACGGTGGTTCATTTGCTCCAGGAGTCGTTGATAGTAGTAGTAAGACTGGCCGTAACTCACTTCCCCGCTGTAGAACTCGGTGAGCAGGCCGTCGTGGTCCAGGAGATCGAAGGCGTTCTCATCGTTGCGAAATTTGTCTAGGGCACCTTCGCCAACTCTCTGAATGAGACGGACGAACGGTTGGGATATATTCCTAGATGATCCGTCAGTCAACCCTCCCATTCCTGGGCTGTTGGTGAGAACTTCTGTCTTACTCTCGAATCATGACTTCGATGTCGGCACTTGTATCCTTATCCCAATCTGGTGTGTACCATACATTGCGACCGGCTTGGGCTTCCGTGAGCACGTATTCACACCACTGGATATATTTTTTGAAGTGAAAGCTTGCTTTCTCCCGATCCTCGACCGTCACATTGGCCAGGACCAATCTGATATACCAATATGCTATCCGCTCGATGACGGCCACGTCCTTCTTGTCCTGCTCTGTGGCGTGTCTCTCGACCTCGTCGAGCAATGCATCGGGACTCAAAGGGCCCCAGCTCCATTGGGTATACATTTCATGGTCGTCTGCGGCCGAGGGCGGGATCGTGGGCTTGAAACCAATGCCCTCAATGTGGAGCATCGTTGCCTTGGTCACGGGGTCAAAGACCTCGATGTCACCTTGCATGTTTGTGCCAACGCTTGCTACACTGGTGGAGATGAAGTCTACCTGACTAGATGAAGCACTGATCCGATCGGCAGCCCACGGGTTCAGAGCGATGCGACCAATTCCAGTAGGAATTAGTAGAGATCGTAGACGCCCATCACCAGGAACAGAATACGCTCCAATCATGCTCTGAAAGGCCACATCGAGCGTGCTGGGATGGATTACCATGTTACGGCGGCCATCTTCCAAGCGATGGAAGTTGATGGTGCCGTACGCCTTGTTGTCGCCGCGTCTGAGGACGGTGATTCCACGGAACTGCTTGGTATAGTTGTAGCCAACCTTGTCGAGCATGCGGTAGAACCGGTCGATGCTGACATCATTGAGGTGCGCGGGTTCCTCCAGCGGGGTTGGCAGAGCCTCGCGCGTTGCTGACCCGTAAGTGATGGCGAGTGTGCCAGTGACTGAACGAGTGAGTCCGGTTTCTCTGGCCAGGCACGAGTTGATGGTGAAGCCATACACGGCATATGCATCCGTAGTCTGCGACGGGTCCACGTCAAGACCGAGGTTGAGCTCGACCATGCTATTCTCATCTTCGAAGGTAACAGCCTTGTCAATTTTGAGGTCCAAAACTTCCAAAAGCTGAATGCTCCGCTCGCCACCAAGCTTGACGGCAGCCTCCATAGCCATGACAACGTAACCAGCCCCAGGGAACACAATCTGTCCCTGAAGTGAGTGACCGTCGAGCCATTCAATATCCCGTGGCTTGATGAAGTTTTGCCATTGCATCGATGACGGAGTGCTGTGGGTCGATAACCTGCCCAGCAACAGATGAGGTCTTTCTGCGTCAAGCAATGCGCGAAGCGCGCGGGACTCCTTCCTGTACGAGCGCGAGTGGTCCCAGGAATAGCTTGGAAGCTGCTTGGACACATCACGGACGTGTGCATTGATGGATAGGCTGCTATACAACTTGTCAATATCAACCGCCGCTGAGCCGAAGTGCGACCATATGTATCCCAAGCACGAGGAGAAAGCTTCCGTGTCGTCTTTCTTCCGCTCCATGCAGCCCACATATGGGAGGTCAGAACCGGTACAGTTTTGGATCGTCTGCAGGGTCGGATTTTTGAGCGCAGGGTGAGCACCGACTTCGATGCCAATGTCAAGGGGCGTGTGCTTTAGGACTGCTAGCTCGACTGCTGAAGAGAAGAGAACCGGAGAGAGCAAGTTCTCTTTCCAGTACTCGGCGCTAAGGTCCTCGGGCCGCATGATCTTCCCTTCGTATACGGAAGAGAGCCAAGTGCTAGTGCTTCGGGGCGCAGCGCGCGAGGTAAACGTGTCACACCCGCAAGCTTTCAGAGCGGCAACGTACGGCTCTGCGCAAGGACGCATATGGTGTGAGTGGTAAGCTTTGTCAACTTTGAGGACTCGAGCAAACCGCGCCTCATCAATAAGAATATCGTATGCCTCGAGGATGGCATCCTTATCTCCGGAGAGCGTGACGGTGTCTGGGCCATTACTTGCTGCAACTGTCATTCGACCCTCGAAAGCCTCAAGCGCACACAAGTCGTTCGCATCGTCGAAAGAGGTGCCCGCCGCCATCATGGCACCCTCTATACCATCTGGCCCACCCGCGTATTCTGCGCTAAGCCCGCGGAGGTATGCAATCCGGATGGCTTGCGACGCTGATATGAAGCCGGCAGCGAAGGCGCAGGCTATCTCCCCTGAGCTATGCCCGATGACAACCTTGAATGTTACCCCAGCCGCTTCAAGGAGGTTAATCAGCATGATCTGGACCGCACAACACAGCGGTTGAGAAAAGGCAGCATCGTGCACATTGGAGTCTTCGCCCTCGAGAAGAAGCTGATCCACGAGGCTCCAGCCAGGTCGGTATTTGTCTGGCAAGGTCTGAAGGCTGTCATCAAGCTCTGAAATGATACTTCGTGCGTATGCGACCCCAGAAATCAGGACCTTTCCCATGGCTGGCCACTGAGCACCCTGTCCAGTGAAAATACCAAGAACTTGAGGTTTTCTCTTCACGTCCGATATCGTGGCGGCGGCTTGCTTTCCCGATACCAAAGACGCAGCGCGGCTGAGAGCCTCGCAAAGTGCTGGCACGGTTTTTGCTTGGATGGTATGGCGGACTGGGAGGACCGACCGCTTATTCAGTAGTGTCCAGGCCAGATCGCGCATCTGGAGTTCCGGCTGACTGATTAGACTTTGTTTGAGGTCGTCCATGGCAGCTTTGAGTGAGGCAGTAGAGTTTGCGGACAGCACAATTGGGGCCAGGCAAGGCGTTGGTGCTTGCTCCAGTGCCAACCTCGAGGCAGGAACGTACGATTCCACAATCACATGAGCATTGGTCCCACCAAATCCGAACGAGTTGACACTGACACGTCGTGGTTGATTGAACTTGAGCGCAGGCCAGGCCCGTGGCTCTGTGACGACCTGCAGATCCGAATAAAACGGAGCCACTCTCGGATTCAGCTCGTTGAATAGCATGTTTGGTGGGAGAAGGCCGTGCTGTATGACCTGTGATGCTTTAATTAGGCCAGCGACCCCTGCCGTACCCTCGGTGTGACCGATGATGGTCTTTATACTGCCCACATACAGGGGGTCTTCGTCGACAGCACGCTGTCTATCGCCGAAGAAAGCAGACGAGATGGCACAGGCTTCTTGGGGATCTCCTGCCTGAGTGCCCGTTCCATGGGCTTCGAAGTATTGACAGCGGTCCTCGGGCTTTGTGACATCGAGACCTGCCGATTGGTATACTTGTCGAATAAGTGCCTCTTGTGCTGCAGGACTCGGCATTGTGATGCCAGGAGTCTTGCCATCTTGATTGATGCCGCTTTCGCGTATGACACATTCGATGGTATCACCATCTGCGATTGCCTGCCTGAGGGTCTTGAGCACGACAGCGGCAATGCCTTCACCCCTGGCGTAGCCGTCCGCTGCGGCGTCCCACATCCGAGAACGGCCAGTAGGTGAGAACATGTTGAGCTTACTCGCGGTGACAAAGGGGGTTGGACCCAGGATTAGATTCGAGCCGGCTGCAACAGCGACCTGACTTGCTCCTGTTCGAAGCTGCTCCACAGCAAGGTGAACGGCAACGAGAGATGAGCTGCACGCGGTATCGATCGTCATACTTGGGCCATGCCAGCCAAATGCGTACGAGACCCTGTTGGAAAGAATGGACGCCGCGGCTCCGGTGGCCGCGTATGTGGACAGTGCATCCAAATCGTAGTTGGAGTTATCCAAAAAATCTCGCTGCATCAATCCCACGTAGACGGCAGTAGGAGAATCTCGAAGATCCTCCATCTTGAGTCCCGCCGATGAGAGGCTGTCATAGACGGTCTCCAAAAGGAGGCGCTGTTGAGGATCGATTGTGTCGACTTCGTGGGGAGAAATATTGAAGAAGCCTGGATCAAACGCGTACGGGTCTTCTTCGAGAAAGTATGCATATTGTGCATTTGTTCGGCCATGATGAGCTCCGTCAGGATGGTAATAGCCGTCTACATTAAATCTTTCTTTGGGAACTTTCTTCACCAAGTCTCTGGGAGATTTCAGTAGTTCCCAGAGACGAGAGGGGTTGCTTGCACCACCAGGGAAGCGACAGCCACTGCCGATCAATGCGATGGGCTCTTTATGTTGAGCTTCCAATGGACTCATGGCTGTTTAGGCACGAGACTTGTGACGAAGATTGCGGTCGTGGTCGTGGTCGTGGTGATGTTGCGCAAGCGACCGATAACATCAGAGAGAAGGATCTCGCGTGAAGGTCCGCCGATTGATGATTGATGACGAAGGGATGAAGAGGCTGCGGTCGATAGGGCAACACACGTTGTCCGTCTCCGTCTCTTCATTAGTCTGAGCATCTTGCCTAGCTGAAGCTGAGGCTTCATCATTAAGAGAGAAATGTACTCGAAACGCCTGTTCCCCTGCCCCTCTAACGCCGACGTTCGACTCTTCGGCCTCACAGGCGCACATGTCTCGAATCTCGGGAGAGGAATGCTCGCTTGTTCCCGAAGGGGGTATCGTAGGATCCAAGGATCTAAGCAGCCATGCATTGCGTACAAGTATGGAGTACATATGTAGTGTAGTTACACTGCATGCGTGGCAGTGGCAGTGGCAGTGGCAGTCATATTTGGCAACCTTGGCCGCCTTGGCCGTCTTCGGCTAGTGGCTTGGCTCCGGGCCAGGATTGGCGGGGTAAAGACGGGGACCGCCGGGGGACGGCTGGTTCGCGCCGGGTAGCCGCCCGGGCCTGGAAACCCCCTGGAACTCCCTCTGGAACCCCTGCTACGCCGCTGGGCCGAATATACCTTGTGCTTAGGTGCCTAAGGTAGCCTAAGGGCCTCTAGGTATGGCTTTCGTAGGAGAGGAAGAGCGATTGTCGGTTATTATTGGAGGCCATCACGAATTCCTGAACTACAAGCATGAGGATGCCGGAGACAAACCACCGAGCCGTGCATATAGAGTTCTCACGCCGGTGATTCTTAAGCTTTATGGTGACCTGTGGTGCCTGGGTAGTGGCTTGGCCTACAGCGGGGCAGCAACTCCGGCAGGCATGTCTTTAATAGAATACGGAGTATGGTACTCCGTACATGTACCTAAGGTACTCTGTACATATGTATCCTGCACCCGAACCCAAGTCCAAAGTCCAAGGTATCACACCGCGATATGCGTGGAAAAAGCAGCCAATCTAGACCCACGTACTTATCCAGACTGCTTCAGTTCGGCGTCTGGCACATGCATGCCCATATTAGTACACCAGGCGTACCATGAGTTGTCCTTTCGTTGCCTGATGACTGTCGATCATTTCATGGACAGGTATAAGGATATTGCGTGTATCGGCATTCTCGCCTCCATGGCCTGTCCGGCGTTTCATCATCCTGTTTTGCTCTCTCACTTTCGCCGAGAACCGAATGTCGTCGCATCTTCACCTGGACTATGTGTCGACCAGGACGGCAGATCCGGGTACGGCAGAGGTTGCCGTCGTTCGCCGCGCCGATGGTCGAACATTGCGCAAGTCGTGCGACAGGTGCCACCAACAGAAACTGCGATGCGTGGGAGACAAGACCTCGTTGACTCGGTGCAAGCGCTGCAAAACGGCTGGACTCGAGTGCGTGTATGGGGCGAGATCCAGCAAGAAGGCAAGCCAATGCAGTATCGATAACTTTGCCACCTGGGACAACTGGCCTGGTAATTCCGCGACCCCAACTCTGAACGAGGCGGTGAGCGAGCTAGACACCATGTTTGGTCTTGAGTTGACCCATTTCGACGAGGTCTTTCCGATGTCTCCCGCGTCTCGGCCCGATACTGGCGGGAGTCCGTCATTTGTCGCCCCGAACTTGCCTGCGCTTGAGCATGATAGTGCTGGGATTCCCGTCAGCTCGGCGATAACCATGCCCTTGCTAACCTCCGGGAGCTCTCCTGTAGCAGGAGATGGACCCATCACCGAGTTTCCTGAACTGTCGGCGCAGCTGGCCCAGGCTTTCCAGGAGTTAGAAGCAACTTTTCTTAGGACGGTAGAGGATCAGACGAGCCGCCGAACTCAAGATTGTATGACGTTGATTCAAGTCCCAAGAATCAAAATGACTGCAATGCTGATTCCAGTTTTCAGATCCTATTGGCGAAGTCTTGAGCGCCCTCGGCAGTTTCTTGGGAGTTCTGAAGCTGAGCAACGTGGTGGGAGCAGGCCCCCTTAGCCGCCCTTGCACATCTCAAACCCCCCAGGATGCGCATCTGCGGAGCAAGCAAGCATCAATAGCAGCGCAAGGCTATGTGCTGTGTGTCAGGCTTCTAGCGTCCCTGTTGGAGCAGATGCTCCAGAGTCTTTTGGCATCGCCATCGCCATCGCCAACTGTTTCCGGCAGCTCAGCCAGTCCCGACAGTGCTCAAGACGCAAGCGGTCTGGGGGCGACAGGGAGCAACTTCTCTGACGCGTGTCAAGTTCCACACAGTCTTCGACTGGGAGATCTGCTCGTGCCTCCAGATCATTTCGGCCACGCTCTGAGTTCCAGCGTCAACCTACTCCGAATTGGCTGCAGCCGACTCAACGAGATGGAAAGTTTACTTGGGATACCCTCTAAGCAACGAGGGCAAAACACATCGTCCCTAGTCTGCCTGGAGCAGGCAGGTGTTGCTCAGCAGGCACTCCCAGATAACGGTTCCTCAGGACCGTCGTTGCCGGCTCGCTTCGTCGCGTCAATATGGGAGGACGAGACAAGCATCAACAACAAGTCTTCGGTGGTGCACCTACAGCGCTGCCGTGCTGCAATTTTGGGCCTTACCGAGCATTGTGCATGATATGTAGTGTCGCAACATCTCGATTACAGTAGTGTAGCTCCCTAAGGTATGAATATGGCTTGCGAGGCGTTCAATGCAGCGCAGCCACTGAAACGTAGAAGAGGCATTGCTTAGCACAATTAGCGCGCTTGGCAGAGAAGGACGCTCCAATACGGCCCCCGGCTATCCCGGCTGCAACAAGTTTCCTGCAGGGCAGATGACAGGGGCTGAGGGGGCCAAATAGCGGCGTCAGAAGCCTCCTAAGCCTCTAGGCCAACCCTATACGCCGTACTATAGGCCAGGATTGGGGGCCCCTAAGCCTAAGGACCCCTTAAGCCTTAAGCTAAAGCCAAGCCCACCAGCCCGGCAAGAGTACTCGGTACCTAGAGCCGAGGCTTAGGGTTGCTTGAGCCCTAACTTTATCTGTGTTCCACCATGCTCTGTAGAGTACCCAGACATCGACAATATACAGAGTAGACGCGATACTTACGGCATCACTCTACTCAACCTCAGCCTTAACTTACCCAGCCGCCCTAACGGTATCTGTCTGTTAGGTATTGAGCTACAGTGACCTCGGACAGCGAGACAGCAGCGACCTCTCTCTACTGCCGATTAGTCAACGGTGCGATCTCCGGTCTCCTTAGCCTCGTTTCTTGAAGCGCGATTTGCGGATCCCAACAACAGAAGGAAAGAAGAAAAGAGACCACATAAGTACCATACTATTTTTACGACTCCATCTCTAACTAATCAGAGAGGAGACTGTGGCAGTGGCAGGCCATGCTACGGATTCCAAACCCGTCTTTATGCAGAACATGATTGGTCTGACTCCCGATGGACAAACACGTTCAAATTGGTAGGTCCATGGTAATAAGGTATGGGGATCCACAGACCGATCGAAGGGCGTTGCTGTCCTCGATTCTGCCTTGCACCCCTTTAGATTGATTCCGGTTTCCACCTCATTATGGTCGTTCAGCGGCCGGATCAGTCGGGGAGGTGGATTAGATACAATACAGGACGACTGCATCTTTTCCTCAAATTCTCAGGACGGGTTCTCCTTTTGACCACTGACCACTGACCACTACAAGCATAACATACCGACCAACATGATGATCTTGCCCGTCTTTCTTTCAGTTGCGCTATCGCAGGCGTTCGCGAACGCGGCGTCTTCTTCTGCCCAGACCTCCAACATCACTGCTTCCAGTTGCGTTGATCCAAGCGGCTACACGTCGTGTTTCAACAAGGCCAACGACGTCGCGCTCAACTGCTTCTCGGGCGCAGGAACCGACGAAACTGTGCAACAATCCTGCGGCTGCGAGCTGTATCTTGACGAAATCCAATGCGCGCTTGAAAGCTGTTGGAACCAGGTATGTGTGGCCGGTGAACACTGAATGAAAGGGGATCGAGAGTGGTCCCTATTCTGTCCCAACCCAGCCAGGGAGGATCATTGTAGTTGCACGGATACTGGTAGTTAATATGCTGATACTGCAATGCCCACTCACAGGTATATTCGTGCGAATATCAAGAACTGGCATCGACGTTCCTGATCAACTGTCCCTCCACCCCAATCCCCTCCTTTCCTGCGCCGGATGACGCCCCTAACCGATGCTCGTGTAATCTGGGATACGTTATACAAAACGCAACAGGCAGCTTCAACGCACCGTGCTCGACCGAAGCCACTCTGGATGTAGATCGGACATTTGCATGTACATGCTGCATGGAGTCTTCGGCCTGGACATCGTAAGTCTAAATCTGTCTTTTCTCCATCTGCCAACTCATACATTTATCCTCGATGGATATTGCTTTTGCTTCCCTTTTTCCCCCGATCACACGTTCGCATGTTTGTGGAATTTCAACAGATCCAACACCTGTGACCTGAGTTGACAGAATGAGTTACTACTAATGAACTCTGGCGATATGATTTAGCATCTTTGAAATCTGCCCCGACACGGATCCAACCTTGATCGGCTACAATCGCATCAACAATGAGCTCGCCTATTTCAACGAACCTTTCGATCAGTGTGGCCAGTATCTCGAGTCATACAATTGTGTCAATGATCTTAGCTTCACCCCAATCGGCGACATCCCTTTCTTGTCCAGTTTCCCTGCCACAACTGGGACTGCCACGCTGTCGAATATTGGTGGCAGCGTCACGACCCCGCCCCTTGGTGCCACTTACACCTGGACCGCAAATGGGGTCCCCAGAACGATCACGGCCGCCGACGCAAAGAAAACTGGAGCCAGCAAAGGTTCTTCGACAACAAAAGGCTCAGGAGCTGCTGCTACTTCTGGAAGCACCACTACCGGCTCTGGCAGTACTTCTTCTTCGAGCTCAGGGGCCTCGGGTAGCGCACAGAGTTCTTTGGGTAGTCACGCTTTGGTCATTGGAGTCTCTTTGCTGGGGTTGGCGTTCTTGTGAAGCAATGAACGGCAATGGATGTTCAACAGAGCACTTGTACGTGTAGGAGAGAGATTCAGGAGTTGCTGGCTCCTTGTGAATAGAATATTCTGTGTTCTGTAGCCAGTCAGCGTCAAAGCACGTGATATTCGCCCACGTGATAGAACTCTGCTTACCTAAGCGCGCCCGCCCGGTCTCACACTCCATCTCTCCTGCGGCGCACAGGTTGATCGCAGCAGACAATCCGCTGTTACTGCAACGACCCGTCGCTCCGTGGTGCTGGCACGATAGCGACTCTCTAGTCGCGGACGGCAATGAGCAATGCTGGAACGGTAGTACTGCGCCTAGCACGACAATGCTTGCAGCAAGCCTCGACATGTCGATCTTTTACCAGGGCGCACTTCGATACCCTGCCTGTGAGCATCTCTGCTCTCCCTAGCCTATCCCGTTCACACCGGACACCTCCAGGAGTGCATCAAGCCTCGCAATGCATCCATCGCCAACGGGCCTTTTCGCAAGGGACGCAGCGTGGCTTCCACGAGACATTTGCAGCTTACAAGCTCAAATCGTACGAGTCGGACAAGAAACCAGAGAAAGGCTTGAGGTTTCAGAAGGGCGAGCTGAACAGTAAAGAAATAGTGGCTATCTTCGGACCGAAGCCACCGCCAGTGTCATTTGCCAACCGACTCCTCCGAGTTCTACACGGACGTCGCCATGATGGAACTCTCGATCTTCCACTCCCCGACGATGTGCAGTCCGAGCTGCACAAGTATCCTTACGCTTTTGATGACGGTCTACATTGGCTCAGACAAGTCTACCCCCTGGATGAGGATGCTGCCATTCTCGCTCGCATTGAAAGAGAGGAGCATGCTTTGGAAAGAGACAATCCCGCGGAGCTGATACAAAGGGGACAAGACCTTGGACTCTACAAAGGCCCACAGAGCGGACACTACCATGCCAAACTGAGCGACAAGGAAGGCGATGTCTTTGGTGTTAGTGAGCTGGACCGGATCCGAGCAGAAAATGAGGCCGCGGCTCAACGGGAAGAGGAGGAGTTGCAGGCCCAGATTGACAAACGCATGGCCCAGGTCCAAACCGAACGGTCTCAAGCACTCGCCGAACGACCGGAACAAGGGCTTGAGAAGGCGGACGAGTTCAGACCGCCCAACACATTCGAGAAATGGGTGCTCAAGGCGCAAAATCGAGCGCAGTCGAAATTGACGCTCGACTCTCCCGAGATTACCCAGAGGAACCTAGTACGACGACTGGTCCCTTCGTTCCTACTTGTCAGTCTCCTATGTGGTGCGAGCTACCTATATTCCCAATATTGGACTCGGCCGAAACAGTCGGATCGGTTCTTCCCCGACATCTCACTTTCTTTTGCGACCATTGGTACTCTTGTGGCGCTGAATCTAGCCGTCTTTGCCGCTTGGAGAGTGCCGCCTATGTGGACCTCTCTCAACAAGTATTTCATCATCACTCCGGCTTTACCATACGCATTCAGCATGTTGGGAAGCCTGTTCAGCCATCAGAAATTCACCCATCTTTTGGCGAACATGCTCACCCTCGTCCTCTTCGGTCTTCCGCTGCATGAGGAAGTGGGCCGAGGAACCTTTGTGGCAATCTACCTCTGCTCCGGGTTGATAGGAAGCTTCGCAAGTCTTGCGCGTCATGCCGTTCAACGTAACTGGTTGACGAGTTCTCTGGGAGCCAGCGGATGCACTTATGGGGTTGTTGCGGCCAACTTGTACCTTCACACTGAGTATGAGACACCATCAAATTCCAGACCGATAAACGCTAACATGAGCATAACAGTTCCACATTTTCCATCATGTTCCTGCCACCTGACCTGGCTGAAAAGTTTTCATTTACTGGAGGCACAGCTTTGGCGGCCCTCACCGTGTATAATCTAGTGCGTGCTTTGGGACCTGTAAAAAGGATCGATTACGTCGACCATCTGGGCGGGATTGCGGTTGGAATTGTGGCGGCTCGCTGGTGGAAGAGCAATAGAGAGAAGGAGAGGTCGGAAAGGAAAAGGCAGGGATCATGGTGGCAGACTCTTTCGGGCTCTACAAAGTGAGGGACAGACAGGTGAGTGGTGGAATAGACGAGCCGGCCTGGTGTCCATGGCTCTGTAGGAGCTCCAAGAGGCTGTCTATATTGCCGGCTTTTGTATGATACCATAGGTACAATGCATCTCTGTGACATTGCAGCTCCTGAACTGTCGCAACACTATAGGGCTCCTGAGGCTATATCACTCAAGCCAAGCCAAACAAGGCTCTACCAGCAGGGCAGCGAACGTAGAAGGGTCTTAAGGTCAAGCTCAAGCTCGACTCGAGTCACTCTTGTTGTGCAATCCAATGTCCAGCACTCTGGCCGTATATGCGTACCGAGTACCGAGTACAGAGTCGAGTGTGTACACTGTACAGTGAATAGTAAACTGTAAATAGTCCAGGTGCCAGGAGTGTGACTCGGGAATGCAATTCCTATCGGCCCTGAGCGCCGGAGTTCGGCCTCCGCCCCGCCGACCTCGACATCAATTTGCCGGTGGAAAAGCTCAAGGATCAAGGATCAAGGATTATTCCGTCCATCTTACCAAACCGCAAGAATTAATTAATTCCGCGGGACTGAGACTCAATATACCACCTCACAACTCGAACCTCACACCCACGACCCATGCCAGGCCTGTGACCTCGACGGCCATCTCAATCTCGGGCCTGCTATCTTTCATCTCCCATCTCCCACCTCCCACTCCCACCTCCCGCCCCGGTGCGTCCCGTGGGACTCACGTACCAACGGTTCCAATATGGCCGCATCGCCGCCGCGGCCGCCGACGACGACAAATCCTTCGTCCCCGTCTGCGCCAGAACTCTCACTCCTCCAGGTCCTGCAGTCGCCGGCGTCTGGGCCTTCGCGATCATGGCAGTCCATGCCACATCCCGACCCAGCGACACCGCTGCTCGCCTCGGCGTCTGCAGACAAATCCGTGAACATCTGGAGCTTGCGCGACTTTTCGCTCATCTCGACCATCAACGGTGGTCATAAGCGCAGCGTGCGCACCGTGGCGTGGAAGGACTTTGGGCAGAGCAAGAGCAGCAAGAGTACGAAAAAAGAGAGGAAGCCGGTGGTGCTTGGGACGGGCAGCTTCGACGCAAACGTCGGCATTTGGATCTGGAACGACGACCGGCGGTGGGCTCGGTTCCGCGAGCAAGAGAAAGCTTACGGGGGCGGGAATGGGCCATTGCAGGCGCAGACTGGGGAGCCCGGCCAGCAGCATCCAAACACAACTACGAGGGGCGACAATGTTGGTGCCGAAGCCGATGCGGATGTGGAGATCGACATGACGCGCGACCCGGACGAAGAAGACGAGGAATGGCATTTTTCTACACTGCTGACCGGCCCGGATTCCGAGATCAAGTCTATTGAGTTCTCGCCGCCGCACTATTCTGCAAACCTGCTGGCGACTTGCTCGCGTGACAAATCCGTCTGGATCTGGGAAGAGGTCGAGCCGGAGGAGTGGGAGACGATCGCGGTGCTGAGCGAACACACCGGCGACGTCAAGTGCGTGAGCTGGTGTGCCGGCGCGCTGAGAGGCAATGGACGCCAACGGACAAAGGGGGGGAAATCGGGGGGTGAGGTTTTCGGACAAGCAGATGGTGATGACGATGTCGAGATGGAAGACACCCATACCAATACCCAAAGCAATGGTGCCGGTGCCGGTACCTATGCTGACCATGATGACCCTTCATCCGAGCAAGTCGTACTCGGGTCGCGCGAGCTCCTGGCCACCGGATCTTACGACGACACGATCCGACTGTGGCGCGACGTCGAGGAGGAGGGCGACTGGATCTGCGTCGGCGTCATCGACAGCCACAAAGGCACGGTCTGGGACGTCAAGTGGGAAGGGCACATCAACTACACCCAGCTCGATCTGTCGCAGACTCCACCTTCGTTCCAAGACGCGGATGCAGTCCTGGCCGAATTCGAAGCCGACTGGTCGCCGCGCCTGGTGTCGTGCTCCGACGACCTCACGGTGCGCGTGTGGCGGCGCGAACTCAGCGAGGCGGAAAAGGCCAGAAAGGCTCAGTCGCGACCGTTGTTGGGTGCCGCTCCCACCGGGTTTGCAGGTACGCGTCTCCCCAGCGTCATCCGCCCGCCGAGCAGCCTGGAGCACTGGGTCGAGGATGCCAGGCTACCGCAGGTCCACGTGCGCAGTGTGTATGCGGTAGACTGGTCTCGTCGCACGGGGCTAGTGGTCAGCTGTGGCGGAGACGGTACTATTGCCGTGTACAAGGAGGTCAAAGTTGAGGACACAGACGGGGCGCAACCACATGTCGATGACATGGTCATGAATGGTACTACTGGTACTGGCGCCGGACCTGGAACTGCCACTGGATACGCCGACCCCCAGCTTCCATATAAACTACACAAGATGAAATGGACGGTCGTGGCTCAAATCGAGGCCGCCCATGACGAGTACGAGATCAACCACGTCTGCTGGGCCGTCAGGGGCGACAGGGGGCGTCGATTCGCAGGAGAAGAGGTCATTGTGTCGACGGGCGACGAGGGCAACGTGAGGATCTGGACCTTGCCTGACCACCTTGCGGTTGCGGTTGAGTCTGGTTTGTAATGGCTCGTCTCGTCTCGTCTTTGGATTGCCATACCCTCCATACCTGTGCTGCTCAGTGTTGGTTGGTACTGCCATACCCATCCATATCTGTTCTGCTCAGTGCTGGTTGGTACTGCCATACCCATTCATACCTGTGCTGATATCAGTGTTGGTACCTGTGCTGCTCAGTGCTGGTTGATACTGCCATACCCATCCATATCTGTGCTGCTCAGTGCTGGTTGGTACCAGGCCTGACACGATTGAGTCGAGACCAGGCTAGGCTCCATCGCGAGAGGTGATTCACCAGGACATGGATCAGAATCTAGACGGACTTATTGCAGGACCATGGATCAAATATCTAGACGGACTTATTGCTGTGCCGCGTTGTACAGTGGAGATATCCGGAGCTGGTCCGGACGATAGGATAGATATCTGGACTTATTGCCTTGGAACCCTGTCTGTCGCAGAGAAGAGAATCCGATTTTTCCTACGACCACCACCAAGACCACTACTACGATCACCACCAAGCTGAACGCGAGGTTCATTGTTCATCCTATCTCCTATTTCGCGGGACAGACAGAACCGTGGGTATTGGGACAGGATATCGAACAAGATACCAAGCAGCATACCGGTCCCGATACCGGTCCCGATACCGGTCTCGATACTGGTACTGATTGATTGATTGATGAAGAGCTGGAGCTGAGCTGGAGAGATGGGGAGATAGACAGATACCCTTGACAAGTTCATCCGTTTGTTATATTAGGTAGCTAGCTATCTAGCTACAACTACAGCTACAGTACATCAGCTATCTTGACTATGACTATATTGCCAATGATGAATAGAGTAGAATTGATTGTCAATACCAATACTAATACTAGATCAGATGCTGGATCAATCTCAATCTCAATCAATCTCAATCAATCAGCCTGGAGTTGTGCCTTTGACCTGCCTCTTGACTTTCTGGTCGCTTCTGTGGTGTGGTGTGGTGTGGTGTGGTCGCTTCCCTGCTATGCTGTGCTGTATTCTGGTTGCTTCCGTGCTGTGCTGTACTGTGTTCTGCGCACTTCGCTCACGGCTCATCGACCAAGATGGTAGATAGAATCCGGATGTAGGAGTAGGAGTATAGGGAGGAAGCCTTGGCCCTAGGCCCCTTTGATTTGATGTTGAGCATTCTCGACTCCGAATCTGATACCTTTCCTTTCCTTCACTGTACGGAGTAGTGCTCTCTCCTTTCCTTCACTGTGGTGCTATCTCCTTTACTTCACCTTCACCGTTGGTGCTGTTACTCCAAACCCGCACTACTTCACTGCCAATACCCTCACTCCAACGGGCACTTCACAGCCAGTACGCTCCACGAAAAATCACCCTTGATATATTTATAAGGTGCAATTCCTGCCAACAATCTAAGGAAGTTCGATCACTGGGTGCACACGATGTATGAATAGTGTGGTATTGCACTGAATAGTGGTATCGCACGGTTCCAGATGGTGTGGGGTTCATCTTAATATCATCCTTCTTCCAGTATCCGACCTCTCTTACCAGGCCTACTCCTCGGGTATGATGTCGGAGAGATAGGTGTGATGGGTCTTGACGAAATAAAAAACTGTTCCCTGGGTTCGAAACTAGGATTAACGGTTTCTCCTGCGAGAGTTTTTGTCACTTGGACTTGTGGTGCAGCCAATTCTTTTTGTGGTGCGACGCCTCTCGAGGTGATCAGTGAATTCATCACAGTGACGAGCCGCTTAGCCATGTAGATGTAGCCAGTTCAACTTCCAAGATTCTGTCTCTTTAGTAAAGAGGTCTAGTGTGGCCAGTTGAAGTTCAATCCAGTCTCTTTAGTAAGAGGTCAAGTGTGGACAGTTGAAGTTCAATCCAGTCTCTCTAGTAAGAGATCTAGATTATCTTTTTCGTTTGGATGTCCGAGTCTGAGACCATATCGACGTCGCTATCTGTATCCTCTGATGGCTCTTGTCGACTGTTGATAGGGCTGTCTGTGCCTGTAGCTTTCTCCCTGTTCCCAATCTTACTACCTTAACCAAGGAAGTCAAGTCTGTTACCCTCATCCTCCACCAAAATATGCCTCTTTCCGCAATTGTTTGGCGGCTTTGCGCGCTTGATTCATGCTTCCACCGTACATGTTGAGCAGCTCGGTCCGGTGGAAAAGCGCGTCGTCTGTGACATCGTCCAGCACAAATCGACCCATTTGGCCACTTCGCCAGCGTTGGATGAATTGCAGCGCCGAGGACTCGAAATCAGGCTCGCCTCCTTTCTTCAACCGGCCTTGTTTCCTGGCGAGACTTTCCAGCACGACGTGTATATCATTGGTCGGTTCGGAAAACATCTCGTACAGCGTTGAGTCGCGCAAATTCAGATGGAACAGCAAGTAGTCGGCGATCGTGGTCGGAGGGATGATCGTGTCCTTGACGCTGCCGCACAAGGCCAGTTTGAGCATACTTTCGGCGTCGGGAACGTAAGGGACAAACACGCCAGGGGTGTCGAGCACATAGACTCCCTCGGTGCCATGTTCTCCCTCGATGATCTTGACGCTTGTCCCGATCTTCCGCGTTACACCGGGCTGATCTCCAGTTCTTGCGGCCTTCCTTTTCCCCAAACTGACGTTGCGGAGAGCATTGAGGAGAGAGGATTTCCCGACATTGGGCATGCCGACCACCATCAGACGAGTTCCGAAGAGAGACGTCGACTCGTTCGCGTGAGCTCTCGCAAAGTCCAGAACTTTGGTGATGGTCGACCGAGACTTGACGTCGGTAAAGAATGAGCTTGCGGGAGCGTCCCATTTCCGGATGACGGCTTCTCTCTGTCCACACGTCAGAATCACACACTCATTTCTTTCCTTCGTCGTTGGGAGCCACCCATACCTTTTTGTCCTCGAGTGTGAAATTACTGCCCAGGTCTTGTTTCGTGTAGACAACCAGTCTTGGCCGTTCCCCGAGATTCGCCTCGAACAAGGGGTTCCGGGACACAATCGGGGTTCGATAGTCGCGGCATTCGATGACGAGGTCGATTTGCGCAATCATGGACTTCATCTTGGCCAGCCCGGCGGCGTGATGTCCTAGGTAATAGGATCGAGGTATGGACGACAGGTGCGGGTACACCTGTCGAGGGACGAAGGTCCCCATACTGGAATGGACGAAAGGAAACGAAGATGAAGGCTAGGTTCACTAGCCATGGTGTCAGCTCAAGGCTTCAAACATGCTGGCTTCTACACATTGAGGTAACGCGAACAGAGACTGCGAAGTGGTTCAACTTCAACGGAGTCGGAGTCGAGATAAAATTTACGGTGGAGCATATGTCTGAGACGTGCAAATTCAGCTATGAGTTTGGTAACGTGGGATTGTCTCAGCCTCTGCATGAGGAACGACACAGTTGCATTTGACGGTCCAACATATCGTCTCCCTGTCTCCTCTACACGCTCCCTATGCGTTTTCACCCTTCACAAGATATCAAGCGGTGAGCAGATTCGCCGGGATAATGGTTCTTCATTTGAGCAACGGTCCTGCAAAAGAATGACTTTCATGAATGGAATCCTTGGCTCTGTAGCCCCATGTAAGACCAATTTGACACCAGACAATGCCGACGTCTAAGAAGAGACGACCATATCAAGCAGAGTCCCATCGTGTCTGTGCACACCTAGGGTCATGGTGTTTGTTGGTGCTCCATGCATACATTGCCTCAAGTTGAGCTGGACAGCCATGCTTGCTCAAGGATGTGTTCTCTTGAAGGAGACTGCTGACTTCATTCACCTCTTTTCACACCGCTGCCGGAAGAGCCTATCCCTCTGCCATCGGCCTTGGCTTGGAAGACTCCGTCTCCATCGGGGTTACACCACTGTTCGAGTGCCGGTTCAGGCAATCCAGTGTCTTGTCATACTCACAAGAGCTGCTCGAGTATTGTAGCATTTGGTGGTCCGGCTGGGATTAGCACTGGAGGTTTGTCTGAGAATATCCAGAAGGTTGATCAAGTTGGCGAAGGGGCAGCAATGTCTGTGACGCTGAACACGGTATTAAGGAACTAGAATAAGCTCACATAAGTATAGGGATTGCAAGGCTACTCATATAAAAGCTGCACTAGCCTCCCATATGATCGACAATCGGCCCAGGTGAGGTCGAGGCTGGCCGCTACTAGAACGAGACAGCGAACCGCATAGCTGGAGAGAAACCAGATGGCCCCGTAGAAGCTCGAGGTACTGCATGGTCTTGTAGGCTATCCCTCTACGATTCACATACCTTCATACCTTCCCACATAGTATGAGGGGCAGACAGGGACATAATATTTCCGGTTGTACAGGTAGCGCCTGCTCCCTGCAATCAGTGTCTCATCACACCCTTTGTGGGCGGTGTAGTGGTCGAGCAGATTCGATCTGCCGGCTCGAGGCATCTCGGCCAGAGCCTGAAAAAAACCACGGCCACGTGTGGATGAGTCGGGGTGATTGGACGGCCACTGTTGAGCACAGTCGCACAGAACGCCAACCACTGCAAACTGGTCTCTTCGAGAACGATTGCTAGTCCCACAGTCAAGACAGGGTCTCGGTGGATGTGTTGCACAAGGAGCAAATTGGCTTCTGGCAGGCCGGCTGATGTTGAAGAGCCGGGCAGGATTGGACGCTGTTACACGCAACCAATGTCCCTTGCTGCAACCTCCCGGTCCCTATGGTTGAAGGGCGTTTGCTGCCCCATTTCGATGGTCAGAGCAGAAGGCCACGAGGCACAGACGACGAAAGGAGAGGAGGACAGAGGGACGGTGAGACGGTGGGAGAGGAAACGAGACGGCGGCGGCAGCAGCAGAGCAGCAGCAGCAGCAGGAAAGATTTGCCTGAAAGAGGAAGAAGCGCAGGCGGAGATGGGTAGTGGCTCGCTGGCCAATCAACGCGCGCCGGTGGATGGTTATCGTTATCGCTGTATCGCCAGGCCGCTAAGCTGCTTTGGGCAAGGCTGTCCGCGCAGCCAACCGCGACGCTTCGCCGCCATCTCAATCGCCCTCCATCTGTCTCCTCGCTCCCACCTGTCATCGGGCCTGGATGTGTGGATGATATCGATTGCACCCGCCGCTGCTTGGTACCAGCTACCAGTACCATGCCAGTCTGTCCGTCTCTGCAGCCTGGGCGGCCGGTTTCCGTGCAGCCAGCCCGATGCTGGCACCCGGTTCTTCGACATGAACCACTGCGGCCAGCCTTCGAGACTACCCCGAACCACAGGCCACACGGTGCGGCGTATAGGTATACAGATAACTAGTAGGTATGATTTCCCTGCCGGTTGACCAGCCCAGCTGTGGGGTTCGGTCGCTTCCTCTGCGGGACACGCTCCTCCATCTCTACAGTCTACACCTTGTTGAGCTTAAATCTCCCCTTCCTGGACCCGTTCTCGTCCCTTCCTTGCCTTGACTTGCCACAGCGGGGATTGTTTATATCTATTCCCCTACGAATGCTCCTCGGCGGTCTTCGCTTTACTACAATACTGTCAGACTTGGATCTGTTTTGTGTCTCGGTGGTGTGATTGACCTATTGTCTTTGTTCTGCTTGTTTTTTGTCCTGTTCTGGTCATCTCAAGGTTCGACCGTCATATTTATACCATCGGCCGGTGCAACTCGATCGTATATTCTTCTACCTGCATCCGTGTCTTCGGATCTATCGGCTCTACATCGTCTGTTGAGTAGGTTGGCCGTGGTTGCCATTGTGAGCAGGACTCGTATTCAAGGACGTTCTTCAGATCTTTTTTGGTTTTTGAAGATCCATTGGGACCCTGCGGCATTACATCGCCATGGCTTCCTTTACAGATGAGAGGACATGGCTCTACGTCAGCCTCGGCCTTTGTATAGGCGCCATCACCTACTTGAGCCTAAGCAACCGGCAAAAGCAAGTCGTACTCGAGCGTTTAAGGCTACGCGGTCGTCGAGCATCGTCCGCGGACACTCCACCGCGGTCTCTGTCACCAGACAAGAAACAACCGAGTAATGCTCCCCTCAAAGCCTCGGAATATGTCAACAGCTTTCCACCCCTGATCCGCGATACAGTCGAGGAAGTTGCCAAGAAACTCGGCCCGGCCCAACGCAAGGCTCTGGGCGACCTGGCCTTCGATGAGAAGGCCTGGACGAAATCCGTTCTGGGATTTGAGGAGGACTATCGGAAATGCGATCCCAACAAATACATCTACACTGGGGTCAAGGTCCAAGAGGTCCGGGCGCTGGGAGATTTCCCCGACTATGCAACACTGAGTGGTGTACCGCTTCCCAAGCCATATCCTGAACACGACATTACCAAGGCACTTCCGCGCCCATATCGCCCATTCCGCTGGGTCTATCACCAGACGATGTGTAAGTGGTGACTGAGGCTCTCTTTCCGCGCCGGCCGTCGATGACTGACCATTCACTTGCAGCGTTGACCAAGATAGAGCCTGACTGGTGGCTCGAGTTGGAAAACACATACGTCAAGCGGATCGCTGAGCGCAAACGCCTATATGCGGAGCACGGCGAATCAATCCTCGGATGGCTGCCTGGCTCCGAACTGGCATGCAAAGAGCTGATGGAGATGTGCCTGCAATTTCTGTGTGCGCGATACCCACAATATTTTGTCCTCCACGCCGACAACAAGACATTCGAGAACAAGATTCTGGGCACCAAGCAGGACGTCACCGCCAAACACCCCTTATTGGTCCTGTTGGACAATGTCCCCGAAGACTTTGGCATAATGCTGCGGAACCCGGAGACTGGCTACTACCATTTGCGGGCGGGCATGATCTGCTCGGCTCTGGGCTGGAACGTGGGCACCAAGATTGGGATGCAACTGCACGAGATCCACGCGCCGATTCCAGACTACAAGGAGAAGATGCAGTTCAGCATGGACCGGTAAGTTTACTTGCTAGATTGTCGACTGTGATTCTTCCGATTGTGTCTGCCTTGTTTCTATGTCTTGCGGGTCTGGTTGGTGCTTGTTGTTAATTTTGGCTGCTGTTTTGTTTTCCATTGAATCACCAGCAGCTTGCTACCACTATCACAGGTTCTGGTTGTTTTTTCTTCTTTCTTTTCGCACATGGTCGAAGCTAACTTTGGTCGTGCTGTAACACAGCTTCTTCACCAAAATGCCGGCTCAAAAACCCATCCAGCGCGGCTCTTGGGGCCTGGAGATCGACCAGCCACTATACATGCCGCCGGGCGACCCGCACGAAAAGTACCGCGACTTCCAGTCACCCGACCTCGACGCGTCACGCATCCATCTCCGTGTGGACTGGCAGACGCTGCGGCGGCTGCCGTTGTCGGGCGCGATCGTGTTCAACTTCAAGGCGCTCTTCACGCCGCTCAGCGAGTTCCGCGACGAGGCCTACATCCCGAGCTTGCTGCTCAAAGTGCTGCGCGAGGGCAAGGAGAACCTCATGAAGTACAAGAACACCTGGCACGTCGAGCACGTCGTCATCCCGGCCCTTGTGGAGTACGAGAAGGAACAGATTGCATCTGGCCTCATAGAAAAGGACTGGCAGCCCCATACGCTGGACGAGAGCCCCTATTTTCCCGGTTGGCGTGAGAAGTGGATCAAGAATCAGGGCTATGCGCCTTCCGAGTACCAGGAGTGAGATCTACTTTATGAGCAGGCTATGCGCCTCCGAGTACCAGGAGTGAGATATCTACTTTATGAGCAGGCTATGCGCCTCCGAGTACCAGGAGTGAAAGATATTTACCCTATCTACGGAGTATTATCTATCTAATATCTATCCACGGACTACTCGAGTCGGCAGAGCCAGGCTCTAGCAGATAAAACCAAGCCAGCCTTGAGTGAGACAGATGAATGCTGTCCGTCGTCCATCGTCGCAACGAAACAAAAAGAAAACGTTCCATCAGCATTTTGTTTCTTGTTCTTGCTTGTTGCTTGTTCCTTTCTTTTTACTTCTTGCTTTTTCATCGTGCGTGGCTTGACTCCTCGTGTGCAAGAAAGTGAGCCTCACGCATTACGCTCCACGCTTCACGCTGCGCTACGCTGCGCTACGCTGCGCTACGCTGCGAGTTGCAGGGAAGGGAAAGCATTCTCAGATGATGGCGACACCTCTTGCCAGTCGACAAGTCATCAAGTCATCAAGTCACCAAGCCATCAAGTCATCAAGTCAATCTGAAGCTGAGGCTGAGATTGAAGATAGCATTTCCGACAAACCCCAAAGACGAATTCAATCTATCTATATCACTAATATCCATATCTATCAACCTTACCTACATCACATATCTCTCTTTGAATAGATAGGATCCTAATCTAGGACAGGGTCTGGATAAATCTCCCTATCCTACCATTGACGGGCTTGGGTCTTGGCCGGGGTCAGGGTCCAGTCATCAAAGCATTCATCATTCATCATTGCTGCAGTAGTATCCCGTATCATTCATCATTATACTACAGTATCCCGTACTCGTATCATTCCATTCATCATTGCTGCAGTATCCCGTATCGTCGTAGGGATCATCGACTAAACCTTCCCTAGACCCTTAGACCGTCATCCCTGGTGGTGGATCGGCTTAGGACGTCACAGTGCAGAGCATTGCGACGCGAACTTGGAATTTGTTGGCTATTTTAGTGGCTACAATTCGTATGCAATATGTACGTATGTCGACATCCTTATCCTTATCCTTATCCGTTCACTAATTACCTACCTACGTAGTACCTACTCGTAGTAGCTGGTAGGTAGTGCCTTTTACTCGTACTCTGGAATTTGGAGCATTGCGTACTGCGTGCGGAGTACTGCATACTGTGGTGCTAGGGCAAGGAGCATGTGATAATTGCTATGGGTATGGAATCTGGATAGATTGTCGTCACCAGTAGTCCTCTGTTCTCTGCACTCTGTCTGTACTGTATCTAGATTCTCAGACTCCCGTCACTTCCATCACTTCTCCCTCCTCAACCCTTCCATCTTTCCGTCTTCCATCTTCCATCGCCTATCTCCTTTCTTTCATCGGCAGTATCTGGTTCAGAGTCGTGCATGCAGCCACTGGAAGTCAGTTATCGGTCTAGCAGCCCAACACTACACAGTACACCCTGTCTGCCTTGGAATTGGTTAACCCAATCCTCACACAACATACAACCCCAGATCATCACGCCGAGTCGAGGCCAAATCGTGTTCGTTAGTAGCACGAACGAGCACAAACGAGCACGGACGAGCACGGACGACCAAGAACAGCACCAACGAGCACGAACATCTCATATAGCATCAAGATGGCCGCTTCAGTCGAAACTGGTAGCAGCATGATGGGATTACCAGCAGCCCTCGACATCAGAGTGGAGGACATCGTCGCCTTTGATCTCAATACCAAAACTGGCGAAACGACGAACCCCGGTGCAACTGCAGAAGCAAGTGCTGGTACTGGTACTGGTGCTGGCTTGATACTCGTGGCAAAGACCTGCGATGCACTCACAAAGATGGGCTACGAAGATGCAGACGTGCGCAAAGTAGGAATCCTGGTTGAACGAAATTTGATGACTGCTCTGTCGACACAGCTTGCAAAGGTACCGAATGAGGACGAGCCAGAAACCATAAATGAAGACGAGGTGGCAGGAGAAGTCGGTTTGATGCTCCAAGGACTACTGGACAAGAATATCCCGCGGTCCCGCAACGTGCAAGTGAATTCCAACGAACCGGTTGTGTTCATCAATCGATCAGATACATACGATCGGACCGTCTTCGCTCATGTTGTGGACGAAACCGTTAGGCTGTTGCAGCAGAAGTGGAATATCTGGCCGGTACGCGTGTATGGTGGGCCGTGTGTCAAAGCATCCACTGACGGGTTTTCCATTACGTTGCTGAATGTGGTGAACACCGATATTGGGGGTCCAAGTATGGTGCAGTTGCTCGACGCCGCGTGTGGTGCCCCAGAGTGGTGTTCCTTCACCAGGACCGAGGCATGGAGGGAGAGAGACCTGCTCTACCGTGAAGAGAGGGATGTGCCGTGGAGGGAGGATGAAAGCGTGTGGGACGATATCTCCGAACGGTCCTCGCAAAGTGATGGAGATGCTTCGCTAGATTCGCAGCCTCTAAGCCTGGTGAGCTCATCTTCGCCGGAACCAACAGAGCCAGACCATGAGCAGCAACCGGGAGGCGATGATGCTGGTGCATCTCTCACTCCGGAGGTCATCTCGAAATATGAGAGTGCAGCTCCACCTGCCCAGGAGACAACGCCGGCTGATTCGGAGACAGGGGAGCCCTCTTGGGCTCACCAATACCAATCGCCAGAGAGGCATGTCGAGCATCCAACATGGGATCGCCATGATGACAGCGTCTCGTTGCTTGATTTGATCAAATCTCAGGTATCAAGGCTCGCACCGTCTGACAAGCATGAAGATGCTTCAGATGAACGGCAAGGGGAGGCGGTCGACCAGACCAGCCAGGCACAGGACAATCCTGCCACTGAGGACGAATTTGTGGTCGTCTGAGCCGAATTCTAGCCTTTTGCGACAGGAATCGATGAGCGAATGGCTGCTTTGATGTTGCCTTCACCCGCTAACAGACCCGCTTTCACTCCTGCTGCGACTCCTGCTCCTACTGGCAGATCTGGGGCTGCCACCATTTTCACTCGCTGTGCCATTGCGATCCACCACCTCGGTCACTTCATCCTCCTCTTCCATTGCATCCAACTCGGCTTGGAGAGGACTGACCCGTTCCTCAAGCTGGTCCAGATCTTCCAACAATTGTCTGGCTGGCAGTTTCCATAAGCTGGTTCCACAGACACGCTCTTTCGTTAGAAGATTATCCACAAATTCATCCATATGTATTAGTTCGTATGTTTCCTTGCGTCGCAGTCTCAGTTTCCTCAAGTCCTCAAGTAAAGGCTCGAGGGTTTTGTATACATCGGCCGGGTCGAAGGTCAACCTCACGTAGAATGCAGCTAGGGCGCGCAAGTATTTCCATTCTTCTCCTCCATTGTTCAGGTATTCCAGGATAATTTCCTTGTCAGGAACCAAGGTCAACAACTTGAAAGCCAGGCAGATAAAAGGCGTCGGTTTCATTGCAACTCCGTATGTACCGCCGAGGTAGTTGAGTTCGATTGCTCTATCGCAGAGGGTAGCGGCATTGAGGCCGAAACACTGCTCTTTCCAATATAGCGAGTCCGTGATCCTGTCACGCATCGGAGTCTCGAAAAGTAAGGCTGGGTTCTGCCCTCGCACCAGCGGGCCCGAGTATCCCCGGTTGTCGAGTGTGTTGGATGCATCGGCGCGGTGCGTCATTGTCAATGTCGAGATGTTTGACAGGGATGAATGTGCGACAGCGGCAACGAGGAGATGCGGGTTCAGACTGTTTGTGTCGGGGATGGTGACTCCCTCGAGGGCAGTTCCTCAGGTTCTGCTTCTGTCTGTCTGCGCTTCTCACTTTCGAAAGTTCAATTTTGCCGCAGCGTCATTGTGCCAAGCCTACGCCCACTGCCATAGGCCAGTGGTTGCTGTGCGCAACGCCGCTGTAAACATCCAGACCAAGTGCCCTTCGGGACTGTACGTACTCCGTACTGCAGGTGGTCAACTCAACTCATCGGCCCTTCGAGGTGGTCCCGACATACAATTTACCAGTTCCCTCCCAGACGCACTGTACCAAAGGAGCACGGAAGTCTAATACACTCGATCGACCCTCACATCAAACCTTGGCTCGGCCAGCACCCTCGCATCAACCACGACCTGGATCACAACTTGGTCCTTGCACGGCCATGGTGCTTCTGACTTCCTCCGCCGTGTCAGTTGCAATATCGGGCGGGGTGGTCTGCTTATTCACTTTCCTGCTTTTCCTGTCTGGCTATGTTTTGCAACAACAGACAGTTAGAGCGTTGCAAGATGCATTTCGACAACCGCCAGAGCGAAAACCAGTCCCAACTCTGCCTCCCCAATTTCAGCACCTAGACAATGACACCATCCATGTTGCCTTGGAAGAACAACCAGATGGGACAGGCAGCGTGGTATCAGGGACTCGAGGGTCAGACGAGGCTGGAGACAACCTGAAGTCCATCCGCGTGCCAGCTGTTGTCGAGGATGCCAGTCAAGCTCCTCTTGGAGGCTTCGCTCCAGATCAGAGTCTCGACAAAGATACACTCCCCAAGCATTTCGCCTATATATTCGCACTTCTCAACCCGTCGGACCTATGCGCCACTCTTCTTTTCGCCAAGGAACAACGATCTTCCTCACGACTTGAAACCGAACCCTCAATCATCCTCCTATACCCGTCCACATGGGAGTCCGACTCGTCACCTCTTCATACATTAGCTTTGAGTTTTATGCGAGATGTGCAAGATCTATACGATCTCATTTATCACCCTGTTCAGGTGCGAAATGGATGGGATCTGAGGGCACAACTTTTGGGAGAGCTTCAGTGGAAGCGCTGGGACTACGACCAGGCACTGTATTTACGAACTCCGGGACTAATACTTGACAGTAAAGTACTGGACAGTGCTTTGGAGTCAACCAACCCCCGAGGCTCATGGGCTCCGCTTAATCCATCATCTGGAGACAATCCAGATGTTCTGCTCGTGACTCCCAAAGGTCTGCAAAGCCCCCGGAAAGAAATGAGGAAGCTAGCAATGCCTGCGGGAGCCGACCACACCCAGACAGAGGGCGACGATGTCAATACTGAAGATGCCGCAAGAAATGCTGCATATGTACTGTTTGGTGAGGAAGATCTGGGACATGTCACGTCTAATAATCAATGGTACCGGGACCATCTGCGTCGTTTCGATGAAGGAAGAAGGTCGGTCTGTGTCGGCAGCGGGCTGCTAAATAACGTCCCAAAGCTGATCTGAAGAGGAATACCAAGAGGAATCTGTAACAAAAAAGAATGCATCTTAGCGGTCTATGATGGAAACGGGTCTGTATGTAGCATGTAGGGATAAGAACACGAGGGAAAATGCCACTTTTAATATTCTCGCTATCGGAGTTGTCAAATGGCCTTGATTCCTAGGGCCATCATTCATTTCCTCTCAAGAATAGACAGTATGGTAGAGAAAGGAGCCATGACCATTCAAGCCTTCAGCCATGTGAGCGCATCGAGGCAGTTGTGGCTGTTTCCTACACCGAAGCACCTCAATCACAGCTCTTGAATCAATCCGCTTTCGCAGGAGCCCTACACGCCTGCTATTTTCGCACCTCGCTTCCGTTCTTGATGAAATACATTCTGACGGCAAGCAAGCCTTGAAAGGACCAGATCAGATACTGCCACGCAAACCCAGCTACCATGATTGCCATGATCTCCAGCCAGCTCAATCCCAAGACACCGCCACGGAGGCTGAAATTGCGAGCGGCATTGGCGTCACATCGAGCGAGATTGCTTTCGCAGAGGCGGTGACAATCCGTCTTGCAGGTTTCGTGCTCGATCGCCTTCTTCGCTCGAGAGTACTGTGTGTACGGGACCAGTAGTGCGGCAAAGGTAAGGATAGAGACGAGCTGGATGACGGTGCGGAGGGTGTTGAGAGAAAGCCATGGTTTAGCGATTCCAGTGTCTGCTGCATCTCTAAGTTTTGCCGATGAGATTGAAGGATTTGCCATCTGCTGCGGTTAGCTTCACTGAAGTGATCAATCAGCTTTGATCTCGGTACTGTAGTGCTTCCTGGGACCGCTCTCGCGGGCTTCTCCTTCAATGTGATGCGTTCGGGTTGGGGTTGGAGCTGGGGATATTGAGGGACAAGATGGTCGGCAGTCTCAGTATCGGATGTCATCGTGATAGTTGTGCGTAGAAGACCAAGCTGTGTTGTTACAGAGATGACGATTTGCATCTGAGGGAGGCAGTGCGGTCGAATGTCAAACAGCGGCTGCGGTTGCACAATGGAGGAGAGAAGCGCAGCTGCCTTAGAGGGAGGCTGCAACCTGACGACCTCGTTTGACTCAACATGATTATCACTCACATCGACCACTATCTCTCCCAGAAAAAGCCCCTGCTCCTCGGATCATAATTCTTCCTCCAATTGCGCTGCGATGTGAATATAGGCTGAGGCCAGGAGAACCAACCGTCTTCTATTTTCGTACTTGGCGACATTCGTGCTTCAGCCAGCACATATACATTGCCTCCACGCAGTCCTTCAAAAGTATCGCCACATCACTGTTATATCTCAAGTAGCCTCCGGGGTATAACGTGGTATTATCTTCGAATCCAAGTCTCCAGCATAAAGTGCCGGAATTCAAAGTCTCCTTGGTGTCACAACCAGGTCCACGATCCCTCGGGAATTGGCCAAGTCTTCTACAGGGATCCTCGCGTCGAGATGCAGGCCCAGGAGATGCAGGCAACATCTTGTCTCCCGCAGACTCACATAGGTAGAGCCGTCCAAGCCGCCTACATACGGCGTTTGCATAAAATGTGCACTGCCAACATAAGCCTCATGTGCTTTCCGAAAGAACATACTGGTACACTCATGTGTTCTGGCTGACCGGAGACCGGGGCCCACAAGGCTCAGCCATGGTCTAGACTCGGACTTTACAAAGCAAGAAGGAGAAACAACGGCTAGGTGAACGTCAGGGGTGGGAATTCTTCCTCGGACGGTTCGCACCAAATCGGCTGGTGGGGAGCTCGCTGAGTAAGGGAAAAGTTCCATCTTCCAGAGCTACCGAGGCCTTTCGACAGGGATAATGACAGTTTTCCAAGCCACTGGCCCAAGCTCTCGCTACAGCAACGAGGTGATTGGTGCAGGTGGTGTTGTCCCCTGTGGACCGGTACAGTAAACGTCACAAGAACGGAGAACGGATACGGAGCGGATGGCAGATGCGCTGGTCTAAGCTACCAGGTATGATTACAGAGTACAGCGAGTGAGGAATCCAGTGATTTGAGATACCGTCCAAACGGCTGACAGAGACGCCTACATATATCAGGGCACGTTCGCGCAGGCTTCCATGCAACCATCACACTCTTCAACTGACCACTTCGCTGACCCCCTAAAAGAACGCAGCTGTCTTGCTAGACAATCTGTACCCGCATCGGTCTCTTGAGCCGCTCAGATCCATCCTTCATCATGGCTACGCCCAAATCTTCATCTTCTCTGATCCCGCCTGACCCTGCAAAGGTTATGGTGATTCGTGATGTGACTTCTAACATCACCACTCTCAGCGTCCCCTTTGCACGATTCGGTCACATCAAAGTTGGCGGTCGTGCGACCCTAGTCAAACTACAAACCGGCAATGTCGCAGTTTTCTCGCCGGTCGCACTCACTCCCGACGTCAAGACTAAAGTCAAGTCGTTGGGTCCTATCAAATACATCGTCGCACCCGATATTGAGCACCATATCTTCATTACGCCTTGGGCTGCGGAATACCCTGAAGCGGAAATCATTGGGGTGGAGGGCTTACCGGAGAAAAGAGAGGGTAACGCAGATACAAAAGGCACCAAATTCCATCACGTTTTCTCCTCATCCAACAAACTCGATCTCCATATCAGTCCCGAATTCGATGAGGAGTTTGCCTCCGAATTCTTCCACTCCCATACCAACAAAGAGCTCGTTTTCCTCCACAAGCCTAGTCGAACCTTGATCGAAGCCGATCTCCTGTTCAATCTACCAGCCACGGAGCAATACTCGAAATCAGGCGTTGATCCTCGGTCGGGACTCTTGACCAAGCTGTTTGGAGGCCTCATGAATATTCGGGGAGATATGCTATGGCAAAAACGATTCCTGTGGTACTTGGCTGCCGGCAAGGATAGGCAAGGATTTGCCGAATCGGCTAAGAGAATCAAACAATGGGATTATGACAGGATTATCCCTTGTCATGGGGACGTGATTGAGACGGGAGGAAAGAGCATTCTGGACCAGGCGACTGCTTGGTTTACGGAGGGCAAACATTGATGCAAGATATCCAGGTGCAATTTGGGGGCGAATGTGACATACTAATTAACTGGAGCTAATGTGATATTACTGACTGGAGGAATTTCCGCCCAATGTTTCCTTTGTAGATGGAGTGCTCAAAGCGCATAGAGAGTTAATCATTAGCCAGTTGAACAGACGAGGACACCTTGACTACATTTGGCCAGATGAGTCCGGCCGAGCCTCAGCAGACTCCTACAGGTAGTTGCAGCTCCGGCGCAGCGACTAAACTTTGGAGCGGACAAGACGCCTCAGGATGTCGAAAGTATCGACAGCTCTATGAGCGGTTGGATCCAGTCCAGATCTTTGCCGAGACAGCAAAGGTCGCGGTGAATTGGGATCGGCCAGCTTGACACTTAGCAGTTCTAGCTGCGCTGAAATGGGGGGTTTAATCAGTTGGTCAGCAGAGCAATATTGCTTGAAGGTCAGATTAGACCAGGCACTCTGGATGTAGGACTGACAATGACTCTAGAGAAAGGCTTCAAGTTGTGATAGTCGCATCACTATTTCAGTGCCTCACCATAGATACACCAGAGCAGAGATCCTCGAGGCGAAGTTCTCCGCCATTTACCGCGTGAACGCGCTCAAAGACAACGCGCGTGCAGCGCGGTACCACTATAGGTTAGTAGTTAGCGGGGGCGCGTTTCAGGGACTGCTAGCCGGTGTCGGTGTCAGACATCCGTCCCCTCGATTAAAGGGCTAACAAGGGGCTTAGGGGCTTGAGGTTCCTGAAATACGTTTACTGAAGAGGTGGTTCTCATTTCGATCATATCCTGCTTCCGAGTATTATCTTCCAACTGCCATCCATCTCAGCACAATAACACAATCACAATGGCACAATGGCACCTGCTCCCACCCCCCAAGAAAGGTTCGAGCTGGCAAAGCAGAGCGCCGCGCTCTTGCGAGCCCTTCTTTCCCACCCGGGCATGTCTTTCAACGGTGATGGATCGCCTAATAGAGCCGGCATCCACCCGACCCTCTACAATGTCACCGACTTCCACATGTCCACCTACACCAAGTACATCCTACCTCTGCTTCCACCTAACGCTGCCGAGAACTGTTCTGCCCTCTCATTTCAACCAAACGCTCAGATCACCGACAAGACGGACCTGCTAGCAGACGATCTATACCCTCGCATAAAGTCGGGAGCATTGAGGGAGAAGTGGAGCGACACACTCAGCCGAAATGTGATGATTGCCTCCATCATCTTGGACAAAAATCAACAAGTGCTATTTGGTGGCACCTTTGACTTTGGGCCGGAGGTGCAAGCTGCGGCTAGGGCATTACGATCTTGACCGCTCAGATGAAGAGATGGAGGATGCTGGGAACAAAGACATGGTGGATTCGCCATGGTCCCGTATACAAGGGAGTCAGTTCGTCTAGTGTCTATGGGTAAGACATGGACAGTCCACGGAATACGACGGGCAGGCAGATGCTGTGGTATGAGGGATTCCGTCATGACGCTCAGGCTGTGGTAACATTAATGAAAGAGATGGAATTGCATCTTCTCCCGAGAGTGAGAGTGCGTTATACAGGTTGCACCCCACACTCTTGGACTTATAACTGGTCTCGTGCCGCTACTGCTATTGCTACTTTGGCTGAGGCTGAGCCAGCATGAAACAAGGAGCAGGAAGCAAAAGTTGAACATGCTGGCTTTAGCCCCTCGTTCAAAGGTCAGCCTTACCATGACGTCACCCAATCTTATTCTTCTGCTTCCAAGTGGCTGCGCAGTGTGACCGACTTTCATCGTTGCCTGCAATCCCAGTTTCCAATCTGGCTTGACTCTTGTAAACCCCTTCAACTTCCTCCGCGGCCAGCTTTGGCACCATGGTTCCCTGTTTGGGCAGACCCGTGTCTGCCAACATCCCAATGATGTTGTGCCATGTTTCCGTCCGGCTGTGCGCGTGACCTGGCATGCGACGGCGTGGACAAATCAAAAAGACACGAGGCGCGAGTAGGTGTGACACACAATCAAGGTCGGACAGTCGTGGCAAGCTATATGACAACCATGACTTGAAATGCTGGCGGCCGCCAGCAAGGAAGCAAGCAAACAAACCCCTCCAGCTTTCCCTTGGCTGCATTCTCGTTGGCAGTGTCACTCAAATATTGCCTGTGCCTCTTCTTCTGCCTCACTCCGAGATTGATTGATTGCTTTGATCGAGACCTGCATCTTTCGTCTTCTTTCAAACCCATCTCAAAACCATCTCGCAATCACTCGACAACCAGCCTTCTAGTTGTTTCTACCGAGATCAAAGTCACTCTCCAAGCGTCCTCCAAAATGCCTGTTATCTCCAGACTCCTGTCTATTGCCTTGCGTGTGGGCGAGATTGCCTTTGCTGCTGTAAGTTCAGTTGGGCCTCACATCTATCTCCTTGGATGGCTCTCATCTAACGTACCCGTGCGCAGGTCGTGGCTGGCATCGTCGGATCATACCTCCATGACTACCGTTCCGGCAGTGGTTTGCCTTTGGCACGCTTCATCTACATCGAAGTCGTCGCCGGTTTATCCATCCTCCTCGCCCTTCTGTGGCTCCTCCCATTCGCAAGCGGGTTCTTCCACTGGCCTATCGATCTGATCCTCTCGTTTGCCTGGTTCGCCGGGTTCGGTCTGCTCGTCAACTATGTCAACAAAACCACATGTGGCGGCCACACTTTCGACTGGGCAGGAATTACTCATGGCGGCTTCTGTGGACGTTGGAAATCAAACGAGGCTTTCTCCTTCCTGTCTGCCATCTTCTGGCTTGTCAGTGCACTTGTTGGATTGTGGTTCATTCATCGCGAGAGAAGCAAGACAGCCCCCGCGGACGATAGAGCGTAAGACACAAATTCAGTCCTGATTGGTTTCGTCTGTGGGCTTACATATATTGACGGCAGTTATCCTCGACGTCGATGGTACCGCCGCAGCCGTGTCTGAAGACGTACCCACCACCACCACCACCAAACGGTGGGGAGACCTGACATGGGATCGGACAGGAGTTGCCTAGGACGGAGTTGGACACCACGAGAGCATGGAAGTGTGTGAGGCCTGTTCCGGACGCAGGGCAAATCTAGGGCTCACTATCTGGGTCTGGAGGGGAGTTGGTTCGCTTCAAGCATAAGCGTACATACGACAATCTGCAATTGATTCCTTGCGCGGCCTTGTCTGGCCTTCCCTCCACTTGTAGCCTTGCATGACACTAAGAATACCAGCGGCCACACCCTGTCCCCCGTCCTTTGGCTGTGGTGTCGTACGGCAGACCGCATCGCTGAAGAGATACCGAGAACGGAGTAGTGTACAGCCATCCACCTTGCTCCAGTCATACGACCAACCTGATCTCCTCTACGCAGATGGTCATCACCATTTGTAGTGTATGCTGGTGTCTTCCTGCCTTGACGGAACACCTTCTCTTAGTTATACGGGTATCGCCCACCACAGAATACAGACATGGCGGCGGGGATCGAAGGTGGCGGGACTGACGCCCTGCCGTGCCGTTGCTCTGCCGGACAAAAATACAAAGTTCAACCTCCCCGCCCTGTCAATCCTCAATCTCCATGCTCGATGACGACCTGATTCGACGGATTCGATGCAATACTCCTGCGAACATGAACATGTGGGAAGGCGATCTTGCTACCCGTCTCCCAGCGATAAGGTTCTGCATGAGTCAACATAGTAATCGGGTGAAAACCTTCTTTGAACTGTCTCCCTCACGTAGGGGTGGCAATCGAGCCCATCCATCCCATCCCATCCTGCACTACCCTCTCTTCCCTTCCATCATTGTCCTAGCTTGGACCTAGCCGTGTGTTCAATTGCTCTTCCCTTCAGCCGTCACTCCCAGACGATCCTGTTTCTTTCTCCCTCTGGGTCTAGGATCACAGCATTGATTTCATCGCTTGTTTAGCCATGGCGCTGCAGGGAGCAGGTCTCCAAATACCCGATGCGCGTGACCGTGATCGTTCCAAGCTCATCAAGCGCCGGAAAGTCACGATCGCCTGTGAGCAATGTCGCGAGAGGAAGCGCAAGTGTGACGGAGTGCGTCCCCTGTGTGGCTCCTGTGCCCGGCGGCAGCCGCCCTCCAAGTGTGTTTGGTCGCAGGAAAGATGGCGGCACATACCTGCGCTGGAAGCGCTGGACGCGCGCATCAAGCAGCTCGAGGCCTCCCGGCCCGGCACCAGTGAGACTAGTGCCAGTGACTCCTCTCTTCCTTTGAGCCAGGTCAACGAGGGCTCGGTTCCTTCAAGAACCACGATGACGACCAGTCACCGGCGGCGGCCCGTTCAGCCTGGTCCATGGCAGGAAGGCGCTTTCCCTCCCGCACGTCCTCAGCCAGAGCCCCACGGCTACGGCGAGGTTGATACCGCTCGGAAAGCGGACCCTCACAAGCTGTCGATCCAGAGCATGCTCAGTACCGAGAACAACATGGAGCAAGCATCTGAGAGTTCGCGGGTGGATGCCATGGGCACAACGTCTGCGTTTATCGCTCGGTCAGAATCCACGGAACACCCTGGCTCAGCATTCTTCGGCCCGTCTAGCACGTCCAGCTTCCTGGGTGTGGTCCGGCTCATCATTGGGAGGTCGTCTAATGTTCCCGGTCGAACACCACCAAGTCAGCATACAGCAGAATCGCGATCCTCCAATCTGTGTTCGGCTACATCATCCCATGTCTCCCCTGAGCAAGATCTTGGCTGGAAATACAGCAGCTCGGTGTTCGAGCTCCCGCCTCGAGGGGAGGCGGATATGCTGGTTGCCAATTACTTTACATGGGTTTACTCGCTTTATCCGATCATCCATCGCCCCTATTTTAACGCCAGATATGAAAGATTGTGGCAACGGCCGCATATGCATGCTTCTCCGATCACGCTGGAGGACATTCTCTTTCATTGCATGCTTAATGCCATTCTTGCCCTGGGGACGCAATTCCATCCCGAACTGGAGCCACACAGTAGGGTATCCAAAAGCGAGTTGTTTTTCGCGCACTGTCAACAGCTTCTCACGCTCGATCTCTTTGCGCACAGCGATTTCATGACGGTGCAGTGCCTCCTCCTCATGTGCTATTTCCTCCTGAGCACGGACAAACCGGACTACTGTTGGAATCTTTCCGGGCTGGCTCTCAGAATGGCTCAGGCCATTGGTCTCCACATTGACTCGGCCGATGATTGCAGCCAGACGGGCTCTCGACGCGACCAGGTGGACGTTGAGCTCCAAAGGCGAGTTTGGGGGGGCTGTTGTTTGCTGGACAGGTAAGTATATACCAACATATCTATCTCAGATGTACTGAGAGAGCAATCTTTTTGGGCACCTCTGTTTGGGTAGCTCCTTTCTTGGCCTATGCACACAACCTGACGGCATCACTCAGATCTCTTTCCTTTCTATACGGAAGGCCTTTGATGATGTATCCTCATTTGACCTCGCAGTTTGTCTTTCCATCGTTGATTGACGACGAGTATCTTACCCGGCTTCCCGATCCGCCTGGCAGTCAGCCGGAAGGCATCCCGAGCGTCATGGCTACCTGGTCGCATTGCCTGAGACTGGGCGAAATCCTGGGCGAGATTATATCCACCTTCTACCAAGGCAATCAATCATCCATCTCCACGCTCGGAGACATCAAGCTTGGAAGAGACTTTGGCAATCCGTCCCTCTTCAGCAGACTGAAGCAGGGCGATTTCAAAGACTTGTTCACCCTCGACGCCAGGTTGCACGACTGGTACGAACAACTTCCTGCCTATCTGAAGATAAGTTCCAACCCAGACCCGGGAATGCCTGGCGACGGTGGTGGTGGTGGTGGTGGTTACCAATCCCACTGGGACTACTGTTTCAGTTCCACTTCTACTTCCTTGGGCCCTTCGCCGGCAACCGATGGTAGCTCTGGTCCGTCGCCCAGCGGCCACTATGGCGAAGCGAACATTCCCAAGATCCGCAATTTCCAGCGGGAGGCCAATGTTCTCAAGGCAAGGTACTTACGATGCGACTGGACCGTGTCTTCCACTCCACTGTTTTCAAGGGTTGAGGCGATGGCTAGCTAACTGAATCTGTTTTGATCAGATGGCTCCATGTCCGCGTCTTCCTCTCTCGACCTGCGCTTTTGGTCATCCTCGACCGGGACCAGTATGCTTTCACCTTCGGCTACAACGAGGACACGTATCTATCCCGATCGGTCTTGCATCTACGCATGTTGAGCAGCCTGGCCGATCTGTGTGTGTCGGCGGCTCAAGATCTGGTGGATTTGGTCTACAACAATTGCCCATCTGAGCATAAGTTGCTTCACGTGTGGTGGTACAGTGTTTGCTGTAAGGACTCTGATACAACTCCGTCATGATCCAATTGAAGTGCAGAAAGGTGAAATTACACTTGCTGGGCTACGGTGAAAACTTTTCAGAAAGTACAGACACTTGGCCACAAGGAAGCGGAATTGCCCTGCAGAATTCAAAGAAACCGAGTCCAATCGAAACAAACCCACATATGGTTTGAGTCTTGAGTCTTGACTAATCCGTTTGTTCTCCAGATCTGCACTACTGCGCCATTGTCATCCTCATCGCCCTGCAATGTCCTTCTCTCCATAGCAGTCGGCCGGCGCCGTCGCTGAAGGAGAGCTGGAACAAGTGCTTGCATTGTCTCCAAGGGTTTACAAAGTACAGTGAGGCAGCCAGACGCTCCCACAAGGTCCTCCAGTTGATCTATAGCCAGGTGATTGGCGAACAATACGGTACGTCCAAGGAACCTTTAAGCAAACATGTCCCTCCAACTCTATACCTATCCATATCCCTCGACTGTATATCTCGTCACCTATATATCTATCCCTCGACTGTATATCTCATCACCTATATATCTATCCCTCAACAGTACATCTCATCACCTACTACCTACTAACCAGCACCTATTATTGTTCTTGTTCTAGATCGACGCCGCTCGTCTCCTGGCAGCACCGGCAATGGCAATGGCAACGGTACTGATGCCGGTCCAGGTCCCAGTCGATCCCAGGCAAGCACGCCCTTCTCCACCGCCAAACTTGGACATGATTCAGCAGGCGATCTGTCTGGGTTTGCGTCTGCGTCCGTGTCTGCGGTCGACCCCAACTCTGGAGCTGGAGTCGGAGCTGGAGTCGGAGTTTCCGATCCTTTTAGCCAATTCGACTGGTTAGCAGGAGCTGGGCCAGGAGCTGGAATTCGAAGCGACATGAACATGCCCGTTATGTCGGAGGGGGACTTGTGGATGGGCGACCCGGGCGATATGTCCTGGTTGTCGGTGATGCCGTTTGTCACTGACATGAATATTGGGTGGTGACGACGTCAGAATGATTGTCTGTCAAACACCGGCCCGGCCTTCCCAGCAGGGCTTGAGTAATGAGTATTCAGTATTGAGTATTCAGTATTGAGCCTTGAGCCTTGAGCCTGAATTTTGAGTCTTGACCTTGAGTCTTGAGTCTTGAGTCTTGAGTCTTGAGTCTTGAGTCTTGAGTCTTGAGTCTTGAGTCTTGAGTCTTGAGTCTTGAGTCTTGAGTCTTG